AGCTGTCATTCTTTCCAATTCGAAGGGTTTGACAGACGTTATACAATTGGGACTTTGACCTCATGACTAGGAACAAGTAGCGACATTTACATTGATAGCTACAGGCTACAATTTCCGCTTAACTATAACACCGTTAACATAACATTATTAAACAAAGCCGTTAATTTGTTTTTATTTCCTTGTCTCACTTCCTATATTTATCCAAAATTAGCTCAGATTGGACCTCTGCTTTAGAGTTTCTTGCTGATTTACGTAGTTGCATTCGATGGTCAAGAATGACCGCGTCTCGCGACATTTCACGGTAAACATGAAAAGCAAACAAAACACTCGCGGGACGACCTTTCGATACAGTTCCACTTATACCTATTTAGTTTCGTGTTAATAAAAGCATCACAGTAGTGTCAATATGACGTCCCACATTTTTGTTTACATACACAGACCCAACGGTAGATTCGTTAGTAAGCTGTAACTGTATCCAGTTGGTCGTTGAATTTATACCCTTACGCGTGACCTCAATTGATACCGAAACACATCAAGACGCTGATAGATATACCCTAAAAAAATTCACTAAACATAACTACGTTGAAGAAATGAACACGATGATCTTACAAAAAAGGTGAATGGCTCCAAACGTTGCATTACATAATGTACAAAAGATTCCGAAATTAGACATTTACACACGAGACGGAGGTGCTTCGTTTAATTGTGTTTTACCATAACATAATTGATCACGTAACCTACTAGTTCGACATTTAAAAAAAATACATATACTATGTACTTTTGCTTTTTATTGAAGGCACATGCACATGCAGCTTGATGATCAGAGATCACCGTTGCTTTTGGACATAAACCCTCCATAGGCACAGCCAAACCAATATCAACTACTCGGGCCTTTTTGAGACACGTTTTAGTTTAAATAGGATAGTCAATTCAATTGAGACATCATCTTCTTTTCCCAAGGCATGCTGTGAAATTCGCGAGGTTATCTTTATGGCATTTGATAACCCCTGAACACCAGGTGGGTAATCGTAATAGTTTTAAAGAGTCTAAGTTCAGGATTATTTTTTTATAACCGCTGTCCCTCCTTTCAAACCTGAACTACTTTGTGGCCGAAGTAAGCAGGATGTTGGTGGTATCTACCGGTGCGAGCTTAAAAGGCGCCCTTCCACCAGTAAAATATTTGTTTCTTTGTTAATTATTTGTATTTTATGTATAGCTTACTCTGTACTATTTATGATTTTAAATTTATTCTATTTAAACACTGAAAATCAAGATAGATGTATCCCTGACAATAAAACATAGAAATCATTTTTAGCGTTAACAAGATGAGCTATATACAAAACTTTGAGGGTGACTTTGTTCTAGAAAAAAAGGGATCGATAATACGAAAAGAGTCATTTAGACAACACATTCCGTGGTTCAAAATAACCAATTAAGTACTTAGGTAAATTGTTGTGTAACTAATTTACTACGATAATTCGCACTAACAATATGATTAAATTAATAGGCCAGTTTGTGTTATTGTACACCTTGTTCAGATACGCGTAGATAATACCATAGAATTGGCATGTATCACACAGTGACAATGACGTGATAAATGTAGTGAAAGCTAACACGCATTGCCTGTTACAAATTGACAGATATCATTCATCGCTGTTATACATACCGAGCACTACGGCGACGTACATAAATACTAATATATATGTAGTACATAGTACAATTTTAAGCTGACCTGTTGTTAAAATTTTTCATCTAAATAATTTTTAATTTATTTAATTAGACTTATTCTGTAACATGTATAGCCACAATTGCATTGTTTAAATTTCAAATTTATAGATAAATTGTGCCTAATCCGTATTATAATAGTTCAAATAACATATGTTTAAATAGGTATAAACATGTATGTGATATTTAAAGTAAACACGAATTTAAAGCGATAAAATAAAATAGAATTGTTTTAATCGTCGTTATCGTGGAGTGGATAAGTGGAGCGCGCCTTACACGTGGTCTAATCGAAAAGTTTATTTACTATCTGTGATTTCATACGATAATATATATTAGTTATAATATCTGAGGGCCAATCCTAATCAGGATTTCGTAAATTATAACTATAATTACGTAGATACATTATTTTAATCGAGTAGGAAACTAGTTATGGGGCATATTGTAAGCCCTTTCGAGTAGGTACCACTATACTGCGTATTTGTATCGCGAAACTGTCATATGTTCTCTCTCTTCGAGTCTATGACACAATTGAGGTTCGTAATTCAAGGTAGGTGGCGACGGTCACGGTGTGACTATAGCACGGTGGCGGAGGGTTCCGTTTATCCCTAAATACCAGTTGGATCATAACCTCAATCACCCAACGGTCACGCAATGCCAATAAATATTTTTAATTTAAGGTTTTGTCATCTCATTGGTTAGGAAATCTTCTTCTCACAATTAAAAATATATTGTTGATGTGTCAAGGTCACCGCTTTTATCTCTTTCCGGCCCGATATGATAAAAAATGTATTCAACAAAATTCAGACAGTAGCAGCTTTTTGAGCTGGGGACCGAAACCCCCTCGAAATTTCCGCGCCTAGGGGGCGCGAGGGATTTGTGAGACTCGGAGGCTGAAGAAATTAAAGGCCGGCGCCGAAGACGTTAAACCTTCGAATTAAATGGCTTTTGAATAAACATAGCGGAACACAGCAGAATTAAAGTTAGAGCATAGGTAGTATTTTTGTACTATATTGTGTCACATAGATTAAGTTTTCAAAACTAAAACTATATTTAGAACACTAAAGTAAAAAGAAATTTACTAAGATTATTATATTTCTACTTGCCGCAGAACTCGAAGTATGGATCTTGGCGCATTATTTCATAAAAGTACTCCAGGCGTTTGACTTATGACATCACTAAAGTGTCACACAACAACAACGCTTCCATTGAGATGGTCCATATACCTATTCTCACACATTCTGTTACACTTTTATGTTAGGTTAAAAAGTGTTTTAATTTGCATAATGCAACAATTTTTTTTAATTTTGCGTTCACAAATTTCTCAATTTCGTTTAATATTTATGATGTACATAGAAATCACCAGACTGTAAAGTTTCGACTATGGTTGATAAGAAACATTTCCTCGAATATCTTATGAAAATCAAATACCATTATTTTTCTGCCTGTTGATGTACTTACGTCAAGTTGATATTATTTTACTTACACCCAGTACCTTTAATACTGTATTATCATCCGTATTTACTTTTAATTAAATGCAAATACTATTATTATCTTTATGTTTTTTCAAATTTGTTTTAAATTGTTTTTTTTTAAACTAATACCACGTTCAACGGCTCATAACTAGAAGTATTATCATCCTTATTTACTTTTAATTAAATGCAAATACTATTATTATCTTTAAGTTTTTTCAAGTTTGTATTAAATTGTTTTTTTTTAAACTAATACCACGTTCAACGGCTCATAACTAGAAGTTTCTCTTTTGTTTTCGGTACTGGAAGTATAAGAACAACTCATGAAAGTGTCGCGAACGACCTAGACCAACGAAGCGATCATATATAGGTTGTAAGGGCACTATGAGCACGTTTTTTTTTAATTTATTGCTGAAATGGGTGGACGAGCTCACAGCCCACCTGGTGTTAAGTGGTTACTGGAGCCCATAGAGACATTTATAACGTAAATGGCGACACCCACCTTAAAATGAGTTCCAAGGTCTCAGTATAGTTACAACGGCTGCCCCACCCTTCAAGCCGAAACGCATTACTGCTCACAGCAGAAATAGGCAGGGTTGTGGTACCTACCCGTACGGACTCACAACAGGTCCTATCAGCAGTAATCACACAAATTATAATTTTGCGGGTTTGATTTTATTACACGATTTTATTCCTTCATGCGAACATTTGTTGAGTACGTATTTAATTAGAAAAATTAATACCCGCCTGCGGGATTCGAACACCGGTGCACCGCTAGATATGAATGCACCGGACATCTTACCCTTTAGGCCACGACGACTTCATTTACTTACTTATGAAACATAAAAAAGCTGTAGTTTGGTTTAACTTACTTTATTATGTGGAGACCGGCTGCTGTCTGATAATTAATATCCCCCCAACTAGCAATTGCAGGTCTTGAATTGGCATTTTCGAATTAATATTTTGCATAGGGTTGATTTTTCAAGACAGTCGGAAAATAATCTAAATATACTACTTACTTCGACGGACGGATAGTAAAGTAGTAAAGCTTTAAATTGTGCTCAAATTTTTGGTTCGAATTTCGATAAAACTACACGTTACAATAATTCATTAGTTACCCTAATCCAGCGGTCGGGGAACTTTTTTAATTATTACCCCAAAATATTTTTGTGTAAGTTGATATTACTCGATGGCGAAGAACAAAAAAAAACGAAATCGCTTCTTTTTAGTATCTTTCATATTATAGCCCCTATGATAATTTTAAAAAGAAAACAACAACAAAAAATTTTACGATTCTAAAGAAGTTTCACTTCGATATATACTTTTGTTATATATATTATTAATTTTATCATTAATTTTTACTCACAAAAGTTTCATTTTTACCCGCCAAAATTTCATTTTACCCCATTTGGGGTAATTTGCCTAGGTTCCCCGACCGCTGCACTAATCGATGGTAAGCTATGCAGTGCAAAGGCTATCGATTTTGAAACTAAACACAGCAAAGAGTTATTTATTTACTCTGATTTTGTGTCAAAATTTATCAAACGACATTTATTCGACTATAGTTTTACTTTTTTTGTTACTGTATTATTTCGACATTTCAGTTTTTAAATTTATCAAAGTGCAATACAGCCAACGTTGTTAAATAATTATGGTACTAAAATAAAGCCAAACAGCTTTATAAACATAGAAGTATAATTATAAGGAAAATTTCGTCTTCAATATATTTATCGCAATTGAAATGTCATCTCATTTTACACAAATTGACTGCATAAAGTTCAATTTTATTTACTGCCTTTATTCCAGATAGCCGGGCATTACACATACGATTCTAATTCCATTGAAATGGATATAATAATAAAGAAGTGCATCTGGACCGGGGTTCAGGGCGGATAACCGCGAGTCGAGATGCGGGTGAGGGCGGCTCGGGCCCTGCGTGCTTTAAGACGCGTGGCACTCTTGTTTCCGCTAGTATTGACTGCGCTGGCGCTAATCCTGCTGCCGCGCCCGGGACCTCTCACACCCCTTGCACAGAATCCTACCATTGCCGCACAGATCCACTCGCTCAAAGACGACCAGCATATTCAAGTAAGTGCGAACAAATTATACAATAGTTCTTTTTTTTATTGCTTAGATGGGTGGACAAGCTTACAGCCCACCTGGTGTTAAGTGGTTACTGGAGCCCATAGACATTTACAAGGTAAATGCGCCACCCACCTTGAAATATAAGTTCTAAGGTCTCAGTATAGTTACAACGGCTACCCCACCCTTCAAACCGAAACGCATTACTGCTTCACGACAGAAATAGGCGGGGTGGTGGTACCTACCCGTGTGAACTCACAAGAGGTCTTACCACCACTAAAAAATCGGATACCGACCAAACTATAATGCGAGCAGACTTATTTGCGAGATTTTAAGGCAAAAAAATTTAGAGAGCAGGTGCGAGAGAGGACCCGGAGTAGGTACTTTGGGTTTTTCGGTTTCCTCTTATCTTTTAAGTCCTAGAAATATCGGAACACTACATTAACTCTACCAGTAGAAACCCAAGCATCCAATACCAATACCAAATCCAGAACTTGAAAAAGGCAAATGTTGTGAAATACTCCAATATCTCGTAAAGATCTAACATTGTTTGTTGATTTGTATAATGTATTTCCAAAAACAGTAACTAAATGATAATCGTAAGGAAATAATCCGAAAAAGATAAACGAATCTATTATCCAGCTATTTTTACATTTAAATATAATAATAAATTTTGCGTTGTATATTTGATCATTTTTAGGCGCATTTTCCTGCTGAAATGTGAATTATAATTTTCAAATCAAGCATTCAGCTATTAAGGTCGATACTTATTTTAATATTTAATTCCACGTACTTTACAAGCCCGTTAAAGTTTTATAGCTACGATATCACCCGCATTCATTTGATATCGACCTTTAAAACAATTCGTCACGGTAAGGTGGCTAATTATTTTGTAGTGAGATCGTACTCATTTCCATATGTATGTACTCACATGCTGTGCTATTATTCTCTGTATTATGCGCGGAAAAGTTAAATGATAACAAAATTTTAAATAGTAATTTANTTTACAAGCCCGTTAAAGTTTTATAGCTACGATATCACCCGCATTCATTTGATATCGACCTTTAAAACAATTCGTCACGGTAAGGTGGCTAATTATTTTGTAGTGAGATCGTACTCATTTCCATATGTATGTACTCACATGCTGTGCTATTATTCTCTGTATTATGCGCGGAAAAGTTAAATGATAACAAAATTTTAAATAGTAATTTAAATATTTTTTGAAACAGGTAGGTACGTCAATGAATTTCCTTCTTGTTTGCGTAATTATTGGTGGTGAAAGGTATTGTGAGAGGGTAGTTAGCATCATCATGTTCATTAGGGTCGCCGAAGAATTTTGCTACCTGTCTTGAAAGGAAGGAAGTATTATACAATAATCAATGATACCTCGGTCTCACGTCTCAGGCAATGATATAAATTCATTAAAGCAAAAAAGGATTTGTACTGTACTATAACTGATTTATTTGTATTTTAAGGATCGTTCCAATGAACTTCAAGAAGAGGTGCTGCACGAGGAAGGTGACACCGTATCCCGTCGCCACTGGTTCATGCGCGGAGGTGAACAACGGCCTTGGAAACACGATCCTAGTGCACAAATATTCCCTGAGGATGCCCCTGGGGATGACAGGTAACAACACTTGACACTGCTATTGAGTTATGTAAAAGAGCCTTCATTAATTTAAACTAAGATTCAGTCGACTTTTTGGCGGGAACGCGAGGAGTGAAGTGGTGTGATTTGTTTTATTTTATCTATTTAGTGTTTCTTCAGGTTCAGATGTGTAATAACGGTGGTTTATTAACGGTTTAATATCTGTGACAGTGCACAAATGTGGGAAAATGAAACAAAGCCGCTGAACGTAACTTCTCGGGATCCTCCAAAAAGTCCACTGAAAGGTCTCAGTAAATGACCACCATTTTACTGTGATTATATGTCATTCCATATCATCTCATCTCATTGCGTTTAATTTCATCCCAGTTGATTAATGTCTCAAATTAATAATCTTCATTTCATTTCATTTCCCTCCATTCATAAAAATAAGAATATAAATTTAAAATAAGACATGACTTAAAGGTCTTAGTTACTAGGTCATTAAATCTCTTAAAAAAAAGATTCAGTCAAAAAGATTAACATTTTATTTATATCTATCTATCGTTTATTATGGACGTCGGTAATGGCTGTTACATAGCCCAAGTCACGGCTTATGGCTGACAACTCTTATTAAATTCCGTTTGAAGAAGGGCACGTCAAACCTTCAAGAGGAGTTAGAAATTATGTCTGAAAATGCACTGTACAATCCTGAGGGATTTTGGTGCTCTTTGAATCGTCTGAGAACGACATTAGAGGTGCTGACTGATTTCATTGCATTAAATATCACTTTTTTGAAATATAAGTGATATTTACACTGAAATTATTTTAGTTTTATTAATACTTTTTGCAATTTAATACCGTGTTTATAAAATTTCTAACGTTTCGGATACGGAAACAACAGGAAATTGTTCTAGTCAAAAACGAGTAAAGTGCACGACATTCGAATGTTATGCAAACTGCGATTTTTATTTATGTCTGTTTGTTTGTTCACTAAATAGGCCTCAATCACCTCTATTAAAGTTAGGATATTGTATTGTTTTCATTGGCTTCGCTATCAATTGGAAAAAACTTTTTTCATAAGCGAATATGTACTTAGTCTGGCCATAAATACAGTTACCAAGGAAAATAAATAAAAATCTATTGCAAATAACATTTATTACTTTTACAGTGTGTTAGTTTAATACATAAATATAAAATAATTTAAAGTATAAAAAGCTTATTCGAAGTGGTCTCCATTGGCTGCAATACAGTCCTTTAAACGTTGAGGCCAGTTATCAATAGAAGCACGCACTCTTTCCGTGGGAAAAATTTTCACTGCCAATCGTATGGATTGTTTTAGGGACTCCAAATTATCATGGCGTTTAGAGCAAGCCGTACTCTCTAAAACTGACCATAAATCATAATCCAGCGGATTAAGATCGGGACTAGACGACGGCCAGTCTTCAGCTCTGATGAAGTCCGAAACGTTCGTTTCCAACCAAGACTGCGTAGACCGAGCTTTATAACCTGGCGCCGCGTCTTGCTGGAAGGACCATTCTTGATTATTGAACATGGTGTTGTTAAGGGGCTTCACTACCTTCTCAAGAATAGTATCTTGATACACTTGTGCCGATGTTTTGATACCTTTTTCACAAAAGTATGGCTCAGTCACTCCTTCATAGCTAATACTCCACCAAATCATCACTGAAGTCGGATAGTGCCCACGTTGCGCTCTGTCGACTAATTGGGAAGCTTCCTTAGAGCTTTGAGCATAAATACGGTCATTTTGTTTCTTAAAATGTTGCTCATTGTAAAAAATTTCTATGACCTCCCTTTACGTACCGCTTCAGTAGTTGTTTCGATTTTACCACCCTATTCTCTTTTAAATTATCAGTTAAGAAATGACCAGTACGTCTCTTATAGGCTGCAAGTCCTAAGTCATCTTTTAAAATACGCGACATGGTTCTAGGTGCTATCTTCATCTCCCGAGATAAAATCATTTGCTTTCTTCGAATTCTTTCCCTTACTGCTTTGACCACCTTTTTCGTACGAACACTACGTGGACGGCCAGATCTTTTTCTGTCACAAACAGAGGAGGTCTCATTGCACCTATTAATAGCCCGGTACACAATCATTTTACTAATACCAAGCGTATGGAGAGTTTTAAAAATTACATTTGGCTCCATACCTACTTTGTGTAATGCAATCACAGCGATTCGGTTCTCTTTATCACTCCACTCCATTTTAATATCGCAAAATATTGTACAATGTATTGGTGCCAAAATGAGGAAACTCAATGAGCAATCATATAAAAATGACAGATTCCAAATTCAAATGTAATATTTTGTTTATTTTCAATTGTAACAGTATTTATGGCCAGACTAAGTATTTGGAGTTTGTCAATCATTAAAGATCTTCTCGAAACGTCAGATATAACAGACAGGAGATTAGCTGTATGTAGTTTTAATTATGGATACAACTCACAAAGGCTGAAGATAAGACAGTGATACAGATAAATCATAAAAAAATTAGATGATCTCCGCAAAAATTAAACAATGGAACTGAGACCCGGTTTTGCAAATTTCGCATGCGTTATAATAATAAAATATGTACACATTTTGTAAGAATTAACTTAGTCAAGTTAAGTTAGCCACAGTCTAGAGAAACAGTTTAAAGTAAAGAAATAGGGAGTAATTTTATTAGAAATCTGGACGTACAAGTCTGTATTTAATAATACATTAAAATAGTAATTTAAAATTCGAAATAAATATATAACTAATCAACTAGCACACTTCTGACACTATTTAATTTGGTTGGTATGCGTGTATGTTTATTTGTTGTTTGAACAACGGAATATTTGTTCCGGCGGCCTTGAAGATGTCGGATTAATTTGAAAATTTGCACTGCATCAAGAACCGGTGACAACACAATAATGTTATAGCTTCACTCTAATATCCTGACCAGTAACAAAATGATAAAAAAATAATTATTTATCGCTAGTTCTGTTTGCTATTTAAGCGTGTTTTTTTTAGTTTTTGAACTGCGTGTATTAGTTCTTCTCTCTCATCAACCGGTTGTGTTTGTTTGCTAGCTTTTGACGAGCTTTAGTGTTTTCATTTAAGAAATGGAAACAGTCCAGTTTTTCACACTCGCTTTGATAAGAACTGACAATAACAAAATAAAAGAGAAATAAAACACATAAAATGACCTCAAATCCTGAATATATTTTTTTATTGCCCTTGTAGGCAGACGAGCATACGGCCCACTTGATGGTGAGTGGTTACCGTCGCCCATGGACTTCAGCAATGCCAGGAGCAGAGCCAAGCCGCTGCCTACCGCTTAATACTCTCCACAAGCCTCGTTTGAAGAAGGACATGTCATAGCGCTCGGGAAACACCGTGGAAGGGAGCTCATTCCATAGCCGGATGGTACGTGGCAAAAAAGATCTCTGGAAACGCACTGTGGATGATCGCAGTGGCGCCAGGTAGTATGGATGAACTCTACTCCGGTGGCGGGCGGTGCGATGGTAAAAACGAGATGCCGGTATCATCTCGAACAATTCCTCAGAGCACTCCCCATGGAATATACGGTACAGAATACAGAGGGAACCGAAGTCCCTCCGCAGACCCTGAATTGTCTATTTAAGGTAGAATTTCAACACGAACGCAAGTAACAAAAAAAATTATTCGTAGAAAACTCTAAACAGAGTGTAAATATCTCATAAACTGTTTAACACATTTCTAAGCCACTTTTTTACCTCGCACGCTTACGCTCCAATATAGTCTTAGTGCTTTTTTTAAAGAATGTAAATATGAAAGTCTTTGGAAGTCCGTAGCTTGGTCAACTCCAACATTACCCGCTTAATCCCCCTAACGCGGCAGAATGGCGGTGATTTCCTCCTGAACCAAAGAAACAAGGTCCGATCTTGAGACGTGGTTTATCGCACAAGTTGGTGTCATCGTCCTGCCTATTTCCGTCCCAAAGCAATTCTGACGCGTCCAGTTTGAAGGATGGGATCACCGGATATTGAAATCTCAATTTATCGTATTCATATTTTTACTTACCGGAAACTAAGAAAACTGATCCTTTTTAATCTACTGTTACTTTTTTCAGAATCGTTCAACAGCTATCATACATATTACCGAACGACGAGGAGGCGCCTATTAAAAAAATACTACTTGCCAATGGCCTCGGGGCGTGGGGCGTAACCGGTGGTCGTACAGAATTCCTCCGAAACAAGTGCCCCATAGACCGGTGTCATCTTACGGCGGACTCGAGGGATGCCGCCTCTGCAGACGCTATACTCTTCAAAGATCACCATACGCCTTTTAACGTCAAAAGATCTCCTAATCAGGTAACGGTATTTACTGGTGGTAGGACCTCTTGTGACTCCGCGCGGGTAGGTACCACCACCCTGCCTATTTCTGCCGTGAAGCAGTAATGCGTTTCGGTTTGAAGGGTGGGGCAGCCGTTGTAACTATACTGAGACTTTAGAACTTAAATCTCAAGGTATGGTGGCGCATTTACGTTGTAGATGTCTATTGGCTCCAGTAACCACTTAACACCAGGTGGGCTGTGAGCTCGTCCACCCAACTAAGCAATAAATAAATAAAACCAAATTTTCAAAATCTTACGTGCTTCACGTTCGATTAACATCTTTCTTTTTATAGTTCAGATGGATGAACGGGCTCACAACCTACCTGGTGTTCAGTGGTAACTACAGCTCATAGAAATTATAAAAACCATAGTTATTACAATAGGAATGGTATATGGTATTGTACAATGGCTATCCCTAACTACTTCGCGACAGAAATAGGCAGAACAGTAGCACCTACCCGGCCTTACAACGCTCTCCCAGCAGTAAAACTCAACCAACTGTAGAGACGAAAAAATAAGAAACAAATAGTACATGTAGTTATAAATGTGGCGGTAGCCGTCACAGAACAGAAGGTATTTGACAGATGCCTGAATTTCGCTGACGTCATTTGCAAGATAAATTGCTTAATATGTATATATATACAAGTTCCGAACAAAATTCGGACAGTCAACCGAGCAATATCACCCGCTCGATGGAAAATCTTCCCTCCGTCGTTAAACATTACAAATCTAAACCTACATATTCATATTCATATTCATCATATTCATAATCTACATATTCAGAGAGGCAGTAACAAGTGGGGATGTTGGTTAAATTTAATTTGTTATAATGATAGAAAAGTTATATATTTTTACCGATTTATATTAGTTACGGCAGACTTCGTAGTGCCTCAATCGATAAATAAAATACCTAATCTTTTGTATAAAATAAACTTAAAACAAACAAAAGGAATCCGTCCGACGAGGGACATTGTGTCCCCCACATCAAAGGAAAAACTAAATTGTTATTTTTATTTAATTCCGAGCATTTTCATATTTATCTACCTTTTAAACCTTCTCAAAATTAGCCAAATCGGTACAGCCATTCTCGAGTTTTAGCGAGACTAACGAAAAGCAATTCATTTTTATATATATATTAGATATTAAATTGTATTTTTAATAGTATATAACCTAATTATGTAGTTGTGCTCCCTTAATTTCAGATTTGGATTCTCTACTACTTGGAATGTCCTTACCACACGGCTTCCTTGCGGTCTTCATCCTTCGACGTATTTAACTGGACTGCAACTTACCGCAGAGACTCTGATATAGTAGCACCTTACGAAAGATGGGTGTATTATGATAATTTGATTCCTGAAAAAGATATAGAAAGGAACTATGCAGCTAATAAAACAAAGAAGGTACAAAATCACTGGTCCCTATTAAATTCGAATGAATAATCTCTTATCTGTTCTCGAATAAGACTTAATCTGTGGGTGAACAATTTGTTTGGCTACTTTTTATTGTGTTTTGCGAGTCATTTCTCTGTATTAGTATTTTTAAGTACATATTTGAAGAAGTAGAATTATGAGATAGTTCTAACATAATTTAAACTAGAACGTGTTAAATTCTGAGTCGACAATTTGTGGATTATATGGGTTCTAATTATTATGAAAGTTTATTTACTCCTTTTATGAGTTCAAACTCTCAGTTTTATAGTAGGTACAACGGCTACCCCACCCTTCAAACCGAAACTCATCACTGCTTCACAGCAGAAATAGGCTGGGTTGGGCTACCCGTGTGGACTCAGAAGAGATCCTACCACCAGTAAATATGCAAATAATATTTTTTACGCGTTTGATTTATATTACACGATGCTATTCCTTTATCGTGGAAGTCATTCGTGAACATTTCCCAGATATCACGACAGAAAAATTGGTACCCACCCGCCTGCGGAATTCAAACACCGACTCACTCATCGATACGAAGGCACCGGACGTCTTATCTTTTAAGCCACACCGTACTATTACTTATATTGTCTCTGATTCAATTTGATATTTAAAACACACCGAAATACCTCTATGTTCTCAGTATCCTATAGGTCTTCTATGTTTTTATTTATTTATTGCTTAGATGGGTGGACGAGCTCACAGCCCACCTAGTGTTAAGTGGTCACTGGAGCCCATAGACATCTACAACGTAAATGCGCTACCCACCTTGAGATATAAGTTCTAAGGTCTCAGTATAGTTACAACGGCTGCCCCTTCCTTCAAACCGAAACACATTACTGCTTCACGGTAGAAATAGGCGGGGTGGTGGAATCTACCCATGCGGACTCACAAGAAGTCCTACCACTAGTATGTTAAAAGCCCACTGGGTTTCTCGCCGGATCTTCTCAATGGGTCGCGTTTCTGATCCGGTGGTAGATTCTGAAAAGCATGGCTCTTGCTAGGGTTCGTGTTAACAACGTCATCAGGTTTGAGCCCCGTGAGCTCAACTACTAGTTAAGGCGACGCTGATATAGCCTCTCAAGGCTATCATCAGATTAGGCAGGAAAAAAAAAGTATGTTAAAATGTCCTACTAGTATGTTATAAAAATCGCATTTAATTTTTTTAAACTTTATTTGCACAGGTAGCGTGGTTTGTATCAAACTGCCACGCTCGCAACCGTCGGCTCCAGTACGCGNTTTGAGCCCCGTGAGCTCAACTACTAGTTAAGGCGACGCTGATATAGCCTCTCAAGGCTATCATCAGATTAGGCAGGAAAAAAAAAGTATGTTAAAATGTCCTACTAGTATGTTATAAAAATCGCATTTAATTTTTTTAAACTTTATTTGCACAGGTAGCGTGGTTTGTATCAAACTGCCACGCTCGCAACCGTCGGCTCCAGTACGCGCGGCAACTCAGCAAATTCATCCAAGTGGACATATACGGCGCGTGCGGCTCTCATCACTGCCCACGAACCGACCCCAACTGCTTGGAAATGTTGGACAAAGAATACAAGTTTTATCTGGCTTTTGAAAATTCAAACTGTCGGGATTACATAACGGAAAAATTCTTCGTCAATGGATTACAGTAAATATATTATATATTAGATTACTTAGTATTCTGAATTGATAGTAAACAATATTTAAGCATGTTGTTCTAAATGTATATGTAGCTAGTGTCAGAGTACGGACACGTTTTTTTCTCATGCTGTTCGCATCTCACAAATGTAACTCAATAAAACTCGCCTTGGCTCAAATTCCATATACACTTAAACAGAACTAAACGAAGCGAGTACACATATTTTACAAATCGGTATTATCCGATATTAGTGTTTAATTATTATTTCGGCTCGGTCTGCTTACACGCTGTATCTTTAAGGACACTCATTGTTCAAATAAAACTTAATACATAACATAAGCATTTAATACTTTGTATACAATTAAATTCAATTAATTATTCCTATAATTTAATTTTAAGACACAACGTTTTACCGATCGTGATGGGAGCCCGGCCATCGGAGTATGCAGCAGTGGCTCCACGTAATTCGTACATTCATGTAGAAGAGTTTGCCGGTCCTGAAGAACTCGCTGCGTACTTACATCGCCTTGATGAAGACCAAGATCTATACAACTCTTACTTTAAATGGAAGGTAATTTACTTTTAGAAATGTTCCAAATGAAACATGAAATAATGGTTTTTTAATATCTAGGTATCTAAATCCACGATTTAAACAAAATAAATTTACATCTACGTAAATACAGTTATCTTAATGTTTGCATAAAATGATGCACAAGTATAATAAATTTTTACCATTATAGGGAACAGGAGAATTCATTAACACATATTTCTTTTGCCGCGTATGTGCGATGATTCACGCGAACGAAAGACGGCAAAGGAATACTCACTACAGCGACGTGCAGGCATGGTGGCGGGACTCCACGTGCACGCGAGGCGAATGGCGAGCCATGGAATCTGATACTAAAGATAATGGATAAATTATTGACCAACCAGCCTTTGTTAATCTAAGCAATATTCGTCTATGAGACGTACATGTGAAAACTCCGAGCTTCAGAACAATAACACTAGGCTGAAAAACAGCCTTATCCAATATGTACGCGTTGCTCGTGTTCAAGTTGCTGAGGCCATATTTAGGTGTTGCTACGAATTATTCGTCTTCGCGTCCACAGTTGCGTTAAGTGTCGATAGAAATTGTACACTCATTGACATACATTTTAATTGCAATCAAATCATCAAATAAAGAGAAAGCGTTGTATTTTATGAAATAAATTCTTAATTAACAACTATTTACAACGATAACGTTAATGGAATAATACACCAGCCTCACAGAAATCTTAGTGATAAGTAATTATACAATTTGAAATACTATAATATAAATCAAATATGTCTACTTTTTTTACATTTCTGTTACAGTTTACATTGGCGCCCAACGTGAGGCTATTTTACTTGATCTCTTTATTTAAATTACCTATGCATTTACTACTTACTAAGTTGTTTTTGAACTGTAACTTGTTTAGTTTAAAATAATATTTTGTATTGGATTTATTGACACACATTTTAGTTTATAAAACTATTTTGTTGAATTTTGAAATATTTTAATGGTATTATTTAATAGTTTGGGTTAATAGCTTGGAAAATTTTTAAAATATCAAATGCAAAACATTCGATATTGATGTTGTACTGTACGACTTACTTTAAGAAAATCAAAATAACTTCTACACTTTTGACAAGTCTAGTCACGATGCCATTATTTGAGTTAGCACAAAAAATTACGCATGCAACTTTTCGCACAGTATAAAACACCGTAGTAACTATAGAACTTAATATATAAGTAAAAAAATATATTCAGTCATCAATATTGTAATATAATTTCATATTGTTAATAAAAACCCGTTAATATAAGTGAATGTATTTCATGTTACAGTTTAAACTAATTCTAAGAAAATTTGTTAAACTTTATTATTATTTGTATATTATTATTGAACGCACGGCTCATTTAACCTTATTTAGGTGTAGTGTTTTTAGAATTCCGTTTGTACTGAAGTTAAATTTACTTTAGTAATTTTTTTATTTACTTTTACTAAGTATATATCAGGGTACAAATTTTAGCTTGTTGTTTATCATTAAAATGTGAACCTGTGATTCTGAGGTTAATTATTGTTATTATTTTTGAGATTTGTTAATAACCACAGATAACAGAACACATTTTTATTGTATTTTAATTGTAATCGTGATTAAAAATTGACATCATGATACCACAGATAACATCACATTTTTTGTATAAACATTTATTATTATATTCCTGCAATCTGGTTAAATATTTGATAAATGCACACAAAATTACAAACATACTACTAATAAACATTAATCAGTAAAACTCGGTATTACTCTGCGATCACGATAATGAGGTCTTAGAGTGACTTAGAGGAACTATTAGCATTAAGTTCAATTGCCTGTGTTATCTTGTTGTTTATTTCTTTTTTCAACTGTTATTTTGCATAATGTTTAAATTTTGGATAACTTTGTTGTAAGTATTTGTTAAATTGTAAATGAACCAAATTGGATACTAAATTTTTATTGGAACCGATTTAAACACATATGTGTGCTTAGTGCGAGTTTTTTAACTTCTCGATCGCGTAAAAGTTAGGTAACTCAAATTTGTATTGAGTTGGAATGTAGCTTCCCTTCGTTTGCCACTAGGCACCGCTTGCACTAAGCACGCTGTGCAACATTCACTGTGTGTGTAACCCAAAAACAACGAAACAGCTTAGAGTTAAAAGGTAGATAATATGATATACATAAACATATACATTATTAAGTGTTTATAAATATTGTTTGACAACCTACTTATTTTAGTGTTTTAACAAAAATACTAAAGAAAAACCAGGGTAAGTAATTCTTCAAAATATTAGTAAATACCTATGTCATGTGATTTTTTCCTTAATTTGAACTTACGCAAATGTGACAATCTGATAATACAATACATATTGACAATTTAGAATGTTTAAATTAATGTTTTGGCATTCACAATAGATAGGTACATACATTATAATATGAATACCTATTCCACAATCTTGAGCTTAATTTACAATACATTAGATGCGTAATCAATTATAGTAAGCGGCACGTAAGTTGGCAAGGTTTTGGTGTAGTGGGGGTAATGTCGCGCATAGTGCACATTGCAACAAAAAATGGTCACTTTTATTGCCCGCATATAATTTTATTTTATTTTTATTTGCCATAATTTGTTTTTAAGCCTGAGTGTTTAGAAGAAAGTTAAAGAAATGAGAGGAATTCGTGAAGTGTATTAGGTGTTATAAATAAATAACAATTAAAAGTTGGAAGTTTATTAAAAAATATATACTTAATATTAAAAATTATGTGTTGCTGTCGTCACTATCATTTTCTAATAGTGCTACCCCTTGGATTAAATTTATGGTAGCACCTGAGCTGGTGGAAGGAGTTAGCTCCTCATCGTTGACATAACGAAGAATGCTGTCGTCACTGGCGTAAATAATAAAACGCTCAGTGACTGAATCGACTATATGGTCATTGGTATTTGGTCCTGGCATTGCAAACAAATTTAAAAGAATAACACTCGTAACAAAAACTAAATTTAAAACAATAATAACAACTCGTAACAAAAACTCAATATAAACAAAGGGTTCCTACAATTTAGTAGGCGCATGTGTAATCAGGAGCGAACGGAACGTGGACGCGGTGCGGGAGGGTAGGGTCGACTGACTCAGCAATCGCGCGCTCGGGACGGTGCTACGTCTTTCCCCGCGTCCCGCTAGACAACCAAAGAGACCTAAAAAACGACTTCTGCGCATCTAGCGACTCTTGTCAAGTTACGTGCCGGGGACTATACGTAGAAATAAGTTTTTTGTATTTAAAGAGTACATTAAAAGTCTCCATTATAATTGCACATAAACTATATAATATATTATATGACTTCGTAAACGGATGCGTACTTTGCGACAGAAATAACTGAATGTAAGGTAATACTTATCTGTTCGGCTTGAAAATACGACAAATCAGATTATGCAAAATTAGAATTCTGCAAATATCATAAATTTATTTAGCGTACGACATTATTCATTCGTCGTGGCAGTCATTCGTGAACACGCATTAGTTACGGAAAACTTGGTCTACCTGAAAAAATTGGTTCCGGACTTTCGGCAAGTTTTGAACCCTGGTATCGGAATGGTGTATTAATACAAAATATTTCAAAACAAGATTCAAATTAAAAGTTTGAACACCATTTTCTAAACAACTTTAGTTTTCTAATTTTGTAACGACGCGTGCAGCTTTTACTTGATTTTCTTTTTTATTAATGATGTAAAGTTCATCAAAAGGACCGTTACATATTTTCTTAATTGTTAATTCGATCACAAAGAGTTTTTATTATGAACATTAATTGTGGATTTTAAACAGATTACGACCTATCTATTTAGTGTTTAGATGCTACTAGAATCAATGTACCTCCTAAATACAAAGTGAATGCCACAGCCCCCTTTAAAATAATATGTTGATGTTACACTATACATAGATTTGGTCATCGGTTTAAATATTTAGTAACGGTTTAGGGTTAAGTTAGGGTTCATACATAATAATATTATAAACGAAAACTGCCTGCAAAATTAATGGACAATATTGAATGACATAAATGAGATTAAAACATGTAAACTAACTGTAATTTGATTAGATGTGCATAACTTTTATAAATTCTAGTATACATATTAACCAATAGCCGTAAATGATAATCTCTATATTATAGAAAACTGTTCTTTCTTTTTAGCTCACTTGAATAAAAGAGGAGGTTGTTCGGTTTTTTTTATGTTCCCTAGGTACTCCGACATTTATCAATAATATGTTTTTGGAATGAATGATTACTGGGGGCTCTGTGGTCTTTCCAGTTTTACCAGGACAGGTGGGCGGAAGAAGGCTCAGCCACGAGGGAAGGGATTTGCTAACAGCTGTCCGAGCGCCTCTCCAGGAGACCTATCAACTCAAGGTTGCTTCGCAAATGCATCTTCTACTGGATCGAAATCGCGACCCACTGAAAAGATCCGGCGAGAAACTCACGGGCTGATGTCAGGGTTAGGTTGCATATCGAATTCTTTGTCGAGTTCGACGAGTACCCTGCTCCTAGTGTTATAGCTGAAGGCGTCTTATACAAGAATTATTGGGTCTGATAGAACCGTAATGACATGTCTAGGGCGGTCAAATTATGCTTTTATTTGAAAGTATATATTTTTAGTTTGGTTTCACACAAATATCAACAAAATCGGTTCAGTGGTCTCTTTTCTAAAACCAAATTATTAGAAAAAATGTTATTAAAATACCTATACAAAATTTGTATTTAGCTTTTAGTGATGTGTTTTATTATTGTTGTCAGTATTTTTACGGGCGCCCGTAAAAATATTTAGGTACTGACGGCTGGTCGTAGGACCGTCGAGGCGATTCGCCCGGTTCTTGTGAATTGGGTGGATCGTGTAAGAGGACGCCTCACTTTCCAGCTCACGCAGGTGCTCACTGGGCATGGTTGCTTCGGTGAGTTCCTGCACAGGATCGGAGCCGAGCCGACGGCAGAGTGCCACCATTGTGGTTGCGACCTGGACACGGCTGAGCATACGTTCGTCGCCTGCCCCGCATGGGAGGGGTGGCGCCGTGTCCTCGTAGCAAAAATAGGAAACGACTTGTCGTTGCCGAGTGTTGTGGGATCGATGCTCGGTGACGACGAGTCGTGGAAGCCGATGCTCGACTTCTGCGAGTGCACCATCTCGCAGAAAGAGGCAGCGGGGCGCGTGAGAGACGCACAGGCCCGCCGCCGTCGAGCGGGGGTCAGGGAGGCGGATCTCGCCCAAGTCCTGGCCCGCTAAGTGTTTCGGGTCTCCCTCACATGTCGGCCTGGGGACCGGCGAAGAGGGCCTAAGAAGACGACGCGCAGCTGCTCCGCACGCGTTTTATGCATGAGCATCCGGGTGATGGAAGGCCGGCTATCCTCAACCCACGCTGGTTTTGACCCAGCGGGGTATTCCGTAGGATAGACCATTCTAACCGGCGCCATTTAGGCGAGCTTCGGATAGCCTGCCGACCGAGAGGGCTGGTGATCGTGGCGCTGACGACCGCCAGTCCGGCGTCCCAAGGGGGACGGTGATGGGGGAGATGTGCTCCGCACTAAACGCTTCACTTTCCCCCCTTAGCCTTTTCATGAGTTCTATCTCATGCGAGGTTTGGATGCTGGTTGTTGAGCGACAGGAGGTATTAGTCGGTCCGACTCCGACATGCCCCGCCCTCCATGCCCAGTGAAGGGCAGAAGTCCAGCGATTTCTTCCTGAAGAAAAAAAAAACCTAAACATTTTTAGGTAAAAATCTCATATTTTTTAGGTTTGTTTTTTCGACAACTCCAAAGATAAATATAACTTATGTCACGCAGTCACAATAATTGGCATTTCAATATACATAAAAACCCAATTAAAAAAATACTGACAACAATAATAAAACACATCACTAAAAGCTAAATACAAATTTTGTATAAAAATTGCCCCGTAAAAATATTTAGGTACTTAATATTGTAAACTTGTACACATATTTCATTGATTGGCATCTCTCAATATCATCTGTTGAGGAGAAACTACCGTCCTACTTATTTCTACATTGGAGCATTTGTGCATTCCGATGTATAGGGATAATGTATCACATGTTTTGTTTCGAGTCCCGGTAAACCAAGTGGACCATTATCTTCCCACTTAATGTAATTAAAAAAGGAAAGACAATTTCCGACTGCTGAGAAGCTATTTCACGTTAATTTCTTTGGTGCTAGTTGGTTTAACTTCTATGTCAATACATACTTACTGAAGTAATAAGTAGTAGTAATATTATGAAACTTGTCATTTCATGTACGCAAAAAGCACATAAGAGGCCATTCATTGATTATATAAAGATCCTGACAAGTAGGTATTTAAACTTCTTCATAACCATATCTCGGGAGACAGAGGGATAAAGGAAAATTTTCCAGTCCAAATGAACATATTTCAATATAGTATCGTGGACATTTTAGAGAAAATTTAGTTACACAGACATGAATTTTATAATTTCTATTCATTTCAAATGTTCACTTTTTTAACAGTATAACCTTAACAGTGATAATTTAGTAAGATAAAAATCTTTGATTTATATCAAGGTATTGAGTATAATTACTGTACATGATCCTCTTCCAATGACATTGAAATCTTTACGAAAACTAAACATAATCCTATGTAAGACAGTCAGGGAGAAACAGAAATATTACATGGGAGTAGAGTAAGGTAAAAATAATGTGTCATCTTTAGGTAATTAATCAATGGCCTCTAATAGGCTAAAAGAGACAAATGTAACAATTTAAGTGAAATAAGTAGGTACTAAAATGAAAAGTTTATAAAATTTCCTAAATATTTTTAATAATACACAATCGAATTGCACATTACATAAGATTGTATTTTAAAAGTTGTTTAGTTTACTTATAATTACTTATGACATATTTCAATTTCAAATTATCAGACGTCATAATTTTTTTTTGTTCAGATATCTTTGTATTTTGAGTTTTCATCAAGGCTCTCAATGCATATATTGACATTTAAATACAGATTGGATAAATTTCAATAAACTAAAAACAATGTGTGCCTACAAAAATTTGAGCATAAACCAATTAAATTATTTTATGTCATTGTGTTTTTATGGATTAAGCAAATAAACAGATATTGATGTTAAAAACAGTTTCTTATTTAAAGAGTTCTATTAAATTTTAGAATCACTTCAACACTCAACATTTTTTTTTACATATCGACGCTTGAAAGGCAAACTTTACTAAGCGACAATAACTGCTTTGTACATAAATGATAGGCAATAACTATATTCGATGCACAAAAAAAATATATTTCTAGGTCTATTAAAATCATTTCAATCCTACAGCTACTAGCTAGATTCTACTACAGCTAAATTCGTTAAAATAAATTTTGTTTTCAGGTATTTCAACTTTAAATTAGTCTACTGTAAAGTTAACGCATTGTCGCTTAGTCACATTTGCCTTTCAAGTGTCGATATGCTCTTGCATGATTTCTTGAAACTATTTTGCTTACATATTGTTTTTTACCTAAAAATAATAATTGCTTGTTTAAAAGGTTTAATAAGAACAAAACATATTTACACAATATTACTCAATGCTGATTTTATTGTAAATTAACAATAATTTATTTGCAACAGCTTAATTAGAGAAATCTGCATTAGAATAAACTTAACAAAGCACATTAATTACAATAAACTTTAACTTTTTGAAATAATGTTTAAATATTTTCTCAGAGCGTTTATGTTCTTCATGTTTTCTTTGAGTTGTAACTGAATATTTGAACATTCAACAACATATGATAATGTTGTTTGAAATATTTTTTGCGCCATATGCAGGTTCTGCGGCACCAAAACACCAAACCAATGTAGTGGAACTATAGTGTTTTCTTTGTTTTGGTACAATTTTAGTTTCGTCATTCCATCTTCTTCAATTGTTTTACACATTATTGAAGCAGAAAAATCGGGACTACTTTCAGTGGGTAATTTGGTTGTACTCACAGAACTTTGTCCCATAATGTATCGAGACTTCGCAAGGTGAATGCTTCCATTGTTAACATTAGATTCTATGTTCAATTCACACTTTATTTTTTGCTCTAAAAGGTCAAGTTGTCTCAAAATTACTTTATCCAATAAATCGTGAGCTGGTTCAATATTTGACATGGTGCAATGTTGATTGTCGAGAAATCCTTACCTATATAACTTTGAATTGTTGAGGGAAAATTAAAATGGTATACAGCACATTTTCTATCAAATAGTGAAGAAAATATTATCTTAAATAAATAACTTTCATCACAAGATTCACAAGCTTAAAGCACAGGATCACGAGTTGCTTCTGCACAGATTAATAAATTAGTTTACTATTTTTATAGGATTTTATGACCTGGTAACTGAGACCTTTAAGTCATGTCTTATTTTAATTTATATTCATATTTTTATGAAAAATGATTATTATGGAGTGAAATGCAATGAAGATGATTAATTTGAGACATTAATTAACTGGGATGAAATTAAATGAAATGAAATGGGATGAAATATAATCTCAGTAAAATGGTGGTCATTTACTAAGATTTTTTCAATGGACTTTTTGGAAGATCCCGAGAAGTTACGTCCAGCGGCTTTGTTTCATTTTCCCACATTTGTGCACTTTCACAGATATTAAACAGTTAATAAACCACCATTATTACACATTTAAACCCGAAGAAGAGGAATGAAGTTGTGTGATTTGTTTTATTTTGTCTATTTAGTATTTCTTCAGGTTTAAATGTGTAATAACGGTGGTTTATTATCTGTTTAATATCTGTGTGTCTTCGCCTTTCGATATTTACAAATAGAATGTCTATTGGTGGTTTGTGGATCGTGGCAAAAACACACTCTGTGTACAAAATTTTAACGAATTTGGTTGTTGGCACCGTAATTAATAATGTAATTTCAAAGACAGTGCCTAGTCATTATTTTCAAATTTTCAACTATGCATACATATCTTCGTTTACGATTATATAAATAATAGCGCCATATTGATGGATTTTTGAGCTGTAATATGCTGTTATAATTGGGCATTTTTTCACTCATATTCTCTTGTTCTCACTTCTTCTTACCACTACCATTCTTGGAGGTCATACAAAATCGATATCCAAAATTTTGGAATATACAAACTTCGCGTTACACACCTTATTAGTCTGTGAGAGTAATTATTTAACGTTCCAAATTCCACAGCACACCTGACGGCTCATGCATTGCGCAGCACCGTCGATACACGTCTACACGTCATGATGAACTGACCTTTACTACTTCAATTTAAGACAGCAGGCAGCCACAGCATAGGCCACAGTTCTCGTCGATGATTTCGACGGGACATTTAGCTCATAACATCAGCCCGCTGACTTGTTCGTCAAATTTTGAGAGTGGATTGCGATTCCTTTAAACGATAGCTTAAGCACAAGTGACAGAGTTAGTTGAACTGTAAAGACTCCTTTAGAGGCGATTGGGGGTTATTGAGAAGTCCTACTTCTCGTGGCTAAACCTGTGCTTGTCTACCCATTCCAAGAAGTACTCCGAGCCAGTAAGATGAAATTACCATACAAAGATGAAGTACCACACATTCCAGTATACGGTAGTTTTCCAATTACAGAGCATAATGCGACTCAATGGCACACAATGCCGAATTATGCTGAAGCTTAATTGAAACGTGAAATAGTTTTCAAATGCATCAGCAGAGTGCGCTAAGTTCAATGTTGAAAAGAATATATTCATGGAGTTAGCAACCTCATTAATGTATAAATAATGTGGTAAACAATAATAATTGGTTGAAAACTATTTACGGTTATTTTAAGTAATTTGGATTTTGATTATTTCATTAACATTTTTTTTCGTTTTGAGTATTTTTTTTAAATGAGTTCTATGAAAATTATATAGTTTTTAATTGAATCATCCATACTTATATTTATTTTTTTAGCACAGTTTGAATAACTTTGATTATTTCCAAGAAACTACGACGAAACGAAAGACTTTCAAATTTTTTCAACAATAAATAATATTACTAACGATAATATAAACAAAATTTCGATCAATGCCAACTTAAAGAAAAAACACTTGTCAATTTTCTGTCACTGAGTCGGTATCATTGCGAGTATCACGCGAGAGCAGTACTTTTGAGAGTGCTTGATTGTGCGAAGGCCGGTTACAGTGCTTCACCGACCGTCTGTGCGTACGTTCCGTCCTGACGGTACGCATTAACCGATCGTCAGTTTGCTTCATTCAGTGCTCTCCTGACCAACAATCTGACCAGATTGGTATAGTCGGTACGCAAAAGGGAAGCGTTTGCAAATAGTTTAATTGCTGCTTATTATTTTCGAAAACGTTTAAGGAACGTTTTAAGTTTTTTTAATTATTTCAGAATGTCTATCAAGTTTTGATGAATCAGCACATACTTCTTGCCAGGCCTTTAACTTGGCATCGCGATCTTTATATAACACGTGGCCTTTGTCCCACAGCGGTTCACGAACTTCGGTGATTGGGCGCTCGGTGTCGATATATTTGGTCACGTTTAATATGAAATCGCTTTTTTTGATGATGATACCCACATCCGTACGGTCGGTCCACCGATCGGTGCAGCACTGAACGCGTTTATTTGTTTCCATTGCGCGTCGGTCGACCGACGACACGCATGCGGACGCGCTAGACCGACGGTCCTCGTACGCAGTGCATTGCAATATACGCGTGCGTACGGTCAGTCCAGCACTGTAATGATTTATGAATTTTCATATAAACGACAAGCGCGACTGACGTACGCACAGACGGTCGGTGGAGCACTGTAACCGGCCGAAGCGTTGCTGTAGTTGGAACATTCAACGTTGAGCATTATCCCGCTTAATGCGCTCCAGTGCTGTCATTGGAAAACAGGGAATATCATTTTTCATAAAAATTAGAACATAAATTAAAATAAGACGTGACTCAAAGGTCTAGGTTACCAGGTTATAAAATCCCTTATTTTTTTTATTAAGTGTATAATCATCGCATGGGCTATGCGCGTGTCTTCCCATTAAGTCGCCATTTTGAAATTTAATAAGAAATGGAAATTTGAAAATATTTCATGCTGTTTGTTAGTAGATACCCAGTGTGAATTTTACTGAGATAATAATAGCTACGTTCCGAAAATAACACTAGACGATGTCGGACAAAAAGCGTTTACTGAACGATCTTAGAGTAATAGACTTGCGTGCCGAATTAGAGAAACGTAACCTAGACAAGAGCGGTGTTCGTGGTGTTCTGATACAACGCCTGTCGAAGGTAACATGACGTGCTTAAATTATCGCATTTCTGAAAAAGTTAAGCCACTAAATTTTTTTAAATTATATATTTCTAGTATTTGGAAGAGGAGGGACATGATCCGACCACTTTTAAATTTGAATTGACGACCTCTGACGCAAAGACACCTTCAAAGCGAACAAGGCGAACGGAAAGCTCCCTAGAGCAGGAAAGCGACGAGACGCCGCTTATGGAAGATATGATCGTACAGGACGACGCTGGGGAAGAAGAAGAAATTGAACAGAACATTAAACAAAAATCAAGTGACGAACCTAACAGCAAATCCAATATGGAAGTTGACGAAAGTGATAAAAATAGTAGAAAAAGAGAATTAAAGGATGATCAAGAAACCACCCCGGCTAAAAAACCCTGTATTCATAAAGAAAAGAATGATGAAGACCATAAAGAAAACACAGATGCAGATGATAGTATCAACTTAGATATTGGAGATGACGAATTACTTAATGAGGAGGTATGTTTCTATTTCTTCAGTGTAACTGTAAAACTACCATCGGCAAATACTAAAGTCACAAATGGGTACATGATGGAAGTAGATTAAAGTATCCACATCAATGTTCTATTGTTTGTTGTGTATATAAAAATATAAAGTGCAATAAAATGAAAGTTCACTTTATTTATTTAATTGTCTAGCTAGCCTAACAACTGCAAAAAGCTGACAGTTTACCTTCTCTGTTGCTATATTTACGGTTCTAAATCAAGATAGTTAAAATATTGGAAATAAGCCAATTTCATACTCTCATCCTTATCTCTTGCAGACTGACACCAACACCAAAAGTAATAAAAAAGGTAAGTTTCATTGGATTAATTTGATTTCAGTTGAACTGAGTTAAAACTAATATGACTTTAATAATTGCATTGCAATGCCAATTACATATGACCACTGGAGACATCATTTAATATTATACTAAATCAAATACAGTATGAGTAAAAAAACAGTGCAAATAGTGTATTGCTTCTAGGAAGCAACAACTTTTCTTGAAATTTGTCTATTCTATCAGTGAAATTTAAAAGTATATTGAAAAAAAATGTGTTGATCGGAAAGTGGTACAATTTAAAATGAAGTAGGTGCTGATTTGATTTGACTGAGATGGCCACAACAAGGAATCAATGCAATGCATTTGAAGAAACGTGCAATGCACTCTGCTGTGTCAAGTAAAAATGAATCCTGAATTGCTGCAATTACCTCTTGGAGAAAGTTATGCCCCAGTGCAAATTGACAGAGCTGACCTCCCTGATTTGTGTTCCTCATTACAAGGTGATACCAGTGTCTACAGAATGTAAAAAAATTATTATAATGGACATTGTGACTCAGGGCTCCTATAATACAGATGGTGGTGCTAATCTCCAATCGAGTTTTCAGGTCAAAATTTTATGTACTTACATCATCAAGTGAGACAACAAGGAAGATTTTTAAGCAAGATATTAAGAGTTCTACAGGCAAGAGCCAGTGCCGGCCGCTCCAATACTAATGAGCGACCAGTGCTGCCTCCTCTCACAACTGATACTGGTGTAGATGATGGTGAGAACGAGGACAACACGGGGACGACCAACGAGAATACCACACAGGACACTGCTGCTGCTGGCTGCGATTCCATCTCAACGGAGGATCATCAAGTTAATGCAGAAACTTCAGCCATTAGGTTGGTGTACGTCGAACGGCAGCTGCTTCGCCCCGTCACGCAACTATTCTGCTCCGATTGTCATGTATACGTTAATTTAATTTTTCTTATCACTACAAAGTTTTGCATTAATTTACCATAAACTGGATATTGCTGACCTGGAATAATCTACAGCTGACATCATCAACACAGAGGATCCAGTCTGGAAAATGAAANAACTTCAGCCATTAGGTTGGTGTACGTCGAACGGCAGCTGCTTCGCCCCGTCACGCAACTATTCTGCTCCGATTGTCATGTATACGTTAATTTAATTTTTCTTATCACTACAAAGTTTTGCATTAATTTACCATAAACTGGATATTGCTGACCTGGAATAATCTACAGCTGACATCATCAACACAGAGGATCCAGTCTGGAAAATGAAAAGGAACAGCAGGCAATTTCTGCAAGATTAACATATCTTGCTTAGAAGATAAAACAACAGAGTTCAGGTGTGAACAATGCAACAAGCAGCGGAACCAGCCTTCGAGTTTTCGGCCACAACAACAACGTGCAACGTGAATCAACCGAGTCTTCGAGCTGCTTTCTAACTTCATGAACAGTTGAATAATTATGCAAAACTTTGTAGTTGATTATTGTATTTCTGTATCATTCACCATCAAGATATAAAGGTTTCACAAACTAGAATTTATGTTGATAAAGGTATAAATATAACAGTAGCAATTTAAGCTTTAAGTACACTGTTTTTTCTTATTTTTGCAGCAACGAGGATGACAAACATGATAATCAACAGAAAGGTATGACAATAATATTGTTATGACAAAGTGCATCTTTTTTGTTTATTAATATTACAGTAAATTTGTGTTTTTTCAACAGATGAGAAGGAAAAAGATAATGAAGGTGACAAAAAGGAAAAGAAAGATGAAAGTAAAGAGAGTGGTGCTCGTAATCTCTGGATAAGTGGATTATCAGGGGACACTCGTGCCAAAGACCTGAAGCAACTCTGCAGTAAACATGGAAAAGTATAAAGCTAATTTAAATCAGATAGATGCCATTGATTTTATGTTAATAAAGTAACAGCACAATTGTATCATCAAAATCATAATTTTACCTTTAGGTAATTGGAGCGAAAGTAGTAACAACAGCGAGATGGCCTGGATCACGTTGTTTTGGATATGTTACCGTGGCTACAGCACAAGATGCGGAAAACTGCATCAAAAATTTGCACAGAACAGGTAACTTTTGGGTATCAAGAAATTTTGCAATTTAAAAATACGAAATTCTATAACATTTTATAAGAACACTTTAAATTCAGTACATATTAGTAATTAACTTTGTAATATGATCTGATTCTCAGAGCTACATGGTCGCATGATTTCTGTTGAGAAGGCTAAATCGGAATCTGAGTCGTCATCCCGTAGACAACCAGTGGTGCGGCCTGAACGACGGCCAAGTAAGGACAAGAAGGAAGAAAGTAAAGAAAATGAGGTTTGTAACATATAGTCCTTACTTGAGCTCCCAAGTCCTTAAAATAATTAACGCTAAATATATTTTCCTACGAAACAAATTTTATTTCAGGAAGTAAAAGACGAAAATAAAGATATCAAAATTAAAAAGGAAGGGGATGTGTCAGCTTCTGAGAGCAATCGCTCTACATCTCGCACACGAGAAAAGTCTCATCGCTCTGATAGGGTGAGGTGAACATTGCATATTTTATTAATTATATTTTAATTTATTTCTTGTATGTCTAATCATTTTTTTTCTTTAGGAAAAGCCTAAAAGGAGCACTAAAAGTAATGAGCGAAGACGATCCCCTAGAGAAGTGCTGTCATTTTCGAAAATATGGGTAATTTTATTTCATATTCTTTTTACACATAACTTCATTGGTAATTTTGGGTAGTTGATTTAAACTCAATATATTTCTTAATTGCTCATAGCCCCAATAAGTATGACTACCCCATAGTGGTTGCGACTTGGACACGGCGGAGTACACACGTACGTCGTCTGCCCCCGCACGGGAGGGGTGGCACCGTGACCTTAAGGAAGTTAGCATCGATGGCGACGAGCCGTGGAAGGCTATACTCGACTTCTGGGAGTGCACTATATCACAGAAGGAGGTTAGCATCGATGGCGACGAGCCGTGGAAGGCTATACTCGACTTCTGCGAGTGCAATATATCACAGAAGGAGGTTAGCATCGATGGCGACGAGCCGTGGAAGGCTATACTCGACTTCTGCGAGTGCACTATCTCACAGAAGGAGGTTAGCATCGATGGCGACGAGCCGTGGAAGGCTATACTCGACTTCTGCGAGTGCACTATCTCACAGAAGGAGGTTAGCATCGATGGCGACGAGCCGTGGAAGGCTATACTCGACTTCTGCGAGTGCACTATCTCACAGAAGGAGGTTAGCATCGATGGCGACGAGCCGTGGAAGGCTATGCTCGACTTCTGCGAGTGCACTATCTCACAGAAGGAGGTTAGCATCGATGGCGACGAGCCGTGGAAGGCTATGCTCGACTTCTGCGAGTGCACTATCTCACAGAAGGAGGTTAGCATCGATGGCGACGAGCCGTGGAAGGCTATACTCGACTTCTGGGAGTGCACTATCTCACAGAAGGAGGTTAGCATCCATGGCGACGAGCCGTGGAAGAGGCTATACTCGACTTCTGCGAGTGCACTATCTCACAGAAGGAGGTGGCGGGGCGCGTGAGAGACGCGGACGGAGGGGGCCAGGGAAGCGTATGTCGCCCAAGCCCTGGCCCTCTTAAGTGTTTCGGGTCGCCCTTACATGTCGATCTGGGTGCCGGCAAGGGGGGCCTAAGAAGACGACGTGCAAGCTGTTTTACGCAAGAGTCGTTTTTCGTAATGGGAATTATTAAATCAAGTTTATAATAAATAGATTATTAAAAGATATTTTTTTTGTATATAGAAAGAGCGTGACGTCGCCCGGGCCCGTGAGCGGTCCCGCGCCGCCCGCGAGGAGGAGCGCCGCCGTCGCGCCGCTGAGGAAGCCTTGCGGGAACGCGAGCGCCGACAGCGACAGGAGAAACATCGTCTCGCGCTCGAGAGAGAGAAACTCCGTGCTGAACGGTAAATATACAACCGGTTATAAAACTTTATTTATTTTGACTTCCAGGTACTAAATACAAAGGGCCTGGCTGACAACAAAAAATTTCGAAGACTTAAGACTTAGGTTGATTCCTTTTTTATTTCTGTGACCAGATCTGGTAAATGTATTTTAATGCAATTGGGTGGGTAAATTTATTTTCCCTATGTTATGTGGTAATTAACGAAATGTAAATATTTTGAAATTTTCTGTTGTTAATTTCATAATTATCAGCATATATGATAAAGCAATCTGATGACACTTTACAAATACTTAGCTATTAAAAAATTATAATTCATCGACACATTTTAGTGAAAAAATTGAACGTGAGAAAAATGAACTCCTGCGATTAGAGCGTGAGCGACATAGATTGGAACGTGAGAAACTTGAGCTTGAGAGGTTGGAACTGAAAAGAGCACAACTCAGGTATCTAAATTTAGATTAATTTAAAACTTTCAAGTTTTTTTTTTTTTTTATTGCTCCTAAAATCGCTTAATACTCATAAATCACCTCCTTGTCAATAAAAAAAATGTCTGTACAGATTAGAGGAAGAACGTCGTAAGCGCGGGTACGAGAGCACCAGCGGCGGAGGGTCTGGCGGTGGTGGGTACCGCGGGGGTGTAGAGCCGGCCTACGAGCGCGAGCGGCACAAGCGGGCCGCTCCGCCCCCGCCCCCGCCGCCCCGCGCCCACTTTGACGCACCCCCTCCACCGCGCTTCGACACCGCGCCGCGCGACCGTGACCGCGACTACAAGCGCGACTACCCGCGACACGTCTCCTGTTAGTCCCCGCTCTTACTACCACTAGCCCACTGAGTTTCTCGCCGGATCTTCTCAGTAGGTCGCGTTTCTGATCCGGTGGTAGATTCTGCGAAGCACGGCTCTTGCTAGGGTTCGAGTTAGCAACGTCGTCAGGCTTGAGCCCCGCGAGCTCACCTACTAGTTAGTTACGCTGATATAGCCTCTCAAGACTCAGCTTAGGTAGGAAAAAAAACTACCACTTAACACTGGCCACCACCTCTAAACTATACTGCACGGTAGGCCAGTGGTCGGGTCGCCGATGCCGCCGGTCCGCTATCCTGTGGGCGCAAGGACAAGAGACGCCCTGCGCTATCTTGTCAATCAGTTGAATTATCCGAGGTTCAGATAAGTAATTTGTCGTTCCGATATAATAATTGGCGCAACTATTATCTCCATTTTAGAAAATTCACAGTATTGATCTTAAATAAAACAAGAAACAGAAATTTATTGCCCAATAGCTATTGTAATGTCACAATTCAATTTACATTGCGCCATCCGGAACTACAACAACGCAAACCTACCCAGCGTCAATACGAATTCGTCTTTTTATTCGGGTCTTCAATTTTACAATATAATTTGTATATACAGGGAAAATTTGAAAAGTAGGATGGAGGGATATCCCCGTGCTTATGCCGCAAGTGTCGAGATTAAGTAGGTACCAAGTATTTCATTAATAATTATACAAAAACTTTTCACTTCCAGCGAGTGCAATTAAATACTCGAGCAACGGAAGCACTAACGATGACGCGAGGCAACCAATACCGCCTGGAACTAGACCGAAGGAACCCGGGTGTGTAGCTATATTTACTTGAAAACTTCCATTGATTTAAATAATAATTGATGATATATAAAAAAAATTAATTTATTTAATATGCAGCCGTTCGTATGACTCCCGTGAAAGTCGTTCATACCGCCCGTCGCCGCCAGCCAAGCCAGAGGTTCGCTGGAACACTGCGCCGCGATATACTGATTCGGCACCCCCCACCAAAGGTAAAGACTGCCATAACGTTAATAAAACAATAAACCAATAATGGGGACAAAAATCGTAATTTTATAGAAAATTTTATTATCCTCCTCCTAATATTATGGCATACTTGAAGTGTTATGAAGATGAAAAAGTAAACTTTTCAGAAAAAAAAACTGTTCCATTATAGGTCCATAATTCAGGAATCAACTGATAAAAAATAAAAATATTTTAGGTTCACTTTACTTTGTATACTACTTTTAAAGTACTGACAAAATTCTAGTAGTGAGAATTATACTTAAATGCTAGTTTGATTGGCTAGGTAGTAGTGGCGGCGGCGGTGGTGGCGGAGGCGGGGGCGGCGGCGGCGGCAGCAGCGAGGTGTGGAGCGGGGACACGCGATACACCGGCTACGAGGCGCGCTCCTACCAGTCCTACCAGCCGCCGCCGCCGGGTGCCTCCTACCCCGACAGATACGCACCGCCCTCTCGAGACTATCCACGCAAATACTAGGTCTGCATACTACCGCTAACATCAGTGTCCTTAGTGTGAGTTTTTAACGTTCTCGATAGCGTAAAAGTTAGCTCTTATTTGTATGGAATGGGATCGTTTGCTTACGTTTGCCGTTAGGGGCGCTGTTCCAACTGCATACAAATTTGGATTAACTTTTACGCTATCGAGAAAGTTAAAAAACTCGCACTAAGCACACAGGAGGCCTAACTGTAATAATTAAATAGATACATAATTATACTTCAAAAGCATAATACTACTGCTGTTTCTTTACCGTTCTGGTTCTATACTATTGTTATATGTATCCAGGTATTTGAATTTCAAGTTCATAAATACATTGAAAATTATCATGATTTAAAAACTACAGTCCCGCAAATGGAGCATAAAAAACTGAAATCTTCAACATATCTTGTGTTTATTACAGGATTTAACAAAAGTTGAATGCAGTGCCGATTTTCAAGATCTATTTGTGATGGAGAATTCGTAGCTTCGTAAAGTTTGTTTGTAACATGTGAATTAAGTCATTCCGTATTGTGTGCATTGTTTGAAGAAATTTTATTTCATACATTAAATACATTAAAAACTTATGAAGGTGTAATAGTTTTATAAAAATGTAAAACATGTGTAATAATGTGCAGGACTTTTTACTATTATAGAATACTTAAAAGAGGTCTTTTAAGTAATAAAATTGATCAATATGAAAATATTACAAAAAACGTGTGTTAAGTTTAGAAAATGTGTAAAATATCCACATTAAGGACTTCAGAAAGCATATTGGGAATAATTCAATAAAAGGTACACCTACAATTAATAAATGTGATTTTTTTGTTTAATGCATTTTAATGGAAACTCATTTCGAACTCTACTTTAAACCCTTTCAACTTTGTCTGGATCACCAGGGTTCTATTTTTAAAGTAATGTTTTATGGGCAACCATAAATTTCAATTTCACTGAACTAGAAACTAGCGGCGCAACCTAATCATGTTCACAAATTGAACTGTTCGAATGATTGTGTCAATTTGGTTACGCCAACAACTGCTAACGCGTGCACGGCTTATCATTGGTTTCTAGAACTTACGCAATCTCCATTAGATTAACGCTGTTTGGTGTCAAAGTCACGAACCTGGTTACCCAGTGAAATATCACCCTAAATCACAGATGATCAAATATTACATTAATACTAATTTCTTGACTAGATAAATAAATGTAATACGAACCAGGTTAAAAAGTTTGCTTTTAAAGTCTTATTAATTATGTGTCAATCTCGTCAAACGAAAGTTTGAAAAATTAACTCTACAATTTAGCTGATTGAAAATTGACAAGTACTGTCTTTAACATCCCCATTAATTTATTTTTGATAATAACAAAAAATAAAGCTACCTCGACAATATAGTACAATTTGATCTGTTAATATATTTTGTTTGTAGAATCTGCACTAACAGTCACGTGGTCCGAGTAGTGTCTGATGGATGACGAAAAATTCAACTCAACATTTTTAAAAATCGTTAGAAACTTGTTTTGAAAATGCATTTTTCAAATGCTAATGAAAACTGCACTTTAAAATGATACGGGATAACCATTATAGTCCGTTGTGAGTATTTCATCAATCTCAATTCTTATCGGAAGACCTTATTCGTTTCGATCGACCGTATGTAAAATATTGAATTTATGTGAATAATTCTGGAAAATCAATACCTGAAAGTTAGGAAGATTCTCCAGACTTTATTTTACTGGCAAAACTGCTCTGCCAAAGCGATCTAGTGGGGTTGCTACTGCTCTGCTCATTTCTGTCTTCAAAGAGCATTCAGATTTGAAGGGTGGGGTAGCCGTTGTACTATAAAGTGAGACTTCATTCATATCTCAGACCAGTCCATACCGTGGGCCCCGAAGGTCAAATATTTAGGCGTCACCCTCGACAGAAGGATGACATTCCGCCCTCATATTAAGACGGTACGCGACCGTGCCGCCGTCATTCTAGGACGTCTCTACCCGATGATATGCAGGCGAAGTAAAATGTCCCTTAGAAATAAGGTGACAATCTACAAAACTTGTATACGCCCCGTCATGACCTATGCAAGTGTAGTGTTCGCCCACGCGGCCCGCACTCACTTAAAATCCTTCCAAATTATTCAATCCCGTTTTTGCAGGATAGCCGTCGGAGCCCCGTGGTTCGTCAGGAACGTCGACCTCCATGACGACCTGGACTTAGAGTCCACCAGTAAGTATATGCAGTCGGCGTCGATGCGCCACTTCGATAAAGCGGCACGACACGAGAACCCTCTCATCGTGGCCGCCGGTAACTACATTCCCGATCCTGCGGACAGAATGGAAAGCAGTCGACGTCGCCCAAAACACGTCATCTCGGATCCTCCCGATCCACTAACGGTGCTTCTAGGTACTTCAAGCACCGGTCACCGTTCTCGTCGAACCCGTCGCTTGCGACGAAGGGCTCGACGAGTAAATTAACTCTCAGACACAGCCCACTGAGTTTCTCGCCGGATCTTCTCAGTGGGTCGCGTTTCCGATCCGGTGGTAGATTCTGCGAAGCACGACTCTTGCTAGGGTTCGTGTTAGCATCGTCGTCAGGTTTGAGCCCCGTGAGCTCACCTACTAGTTACGGTTACGCTGGAATAGCTGCTCCAGGCTACCAGCTTAGGTAGGAAAAAAAAAAATTAAAAAAAATAGGTGAGTAGCGACACTTATGTGGTTGATGGATGACTCCGGTAACAACGTAAAACCTGGGCTGTGAGCTCGTTCACCCATCTAAGCAATAAAATATATTGTTTACCTATCCCTTCAAAATATTAATAATTTAAGTTTTTTTTTTGTGTTTTTTTTTGCATTGGCATTGGCCAACTTGGTCCATAAACACAACCCACTGAGTTAGTTTCTCGCCGATTCTTTTCAGTGGGTCGCGATTTCGAACCAGTGGTAGATTCAGCGAAATATTGCTCTCACTAGGGCTAGTGTTAGCAAGTCTTCTCAGGCTAAACCCTGTGAACAGTCCACGCGTAGTTGGAATAGCCCCATAAGGTACCAAAAATCATTCTTGTTACGGTAAAACCCAAATCTTACTGTGTCAACGTAGTGAGTGAAAAATCTCAGGTTACAGCCCCGTGAACTTACCTACTCGCTCGGTCACGCTGGCATAGCCTCAAAGCTACCATCTTAGGAAGGAAAAAAAAGAGTGTAACATTGGAAAGTCCAATTCTTGGGGCAATAGGACTGAGACGAAAACTGTGCTAAAAATAGAGCATTAGAAGCACAACGATGCCTTAAGATTTAACTAAGAAAGTAACAAATTGAAAAACTTCATTCGACGTTTTATGTGATGTTACCTTATTCATGCTCTTCCAGATTTTTTCAGTCGTGGTTAAGGACTAAGGGCAAATTCGGATATTGTAAAATTGTAAATTGCGTACCGTAGTTGCTTTGTTCAGTGTATGTAGCAATAAAAAAATGTCACAATAAATCAGTTTTTTTAATTTTTTTATTGCTTAGATGGGTGGACGAGCTCACAGCCCACCTGGTGTTAAGTGGTTACTGGAGCCCATAGACATCTACAACTTAAATGCGCCACCCACCTTAAGATATAAGTTCTAAGGCCTCAAGTATAGTTACAACGGCTGCCCCACCCTTCAAACCGAAACGCATTACTGCTTCACGGCAGAAATAGGCGGGGTGGTGGTACCACCCGCGTGGACTCACGAGGTCCTACCACCAGTTCAACGTGTTAAGGACGAACAGATTTTTTTAAAGGTTTGGCTACCACTACCAAAGGTTTGAAATTAATAAAAAAAAGAGTTGAGACATTTGTTCAAAGTTATTTATTCAAGATTTTTTCGCAATGAGATAAATTTACAATTTATTATTCAAATGTCGAAACGGACATTTTCATTATATTCGGCGGTTTTTTGTTATAATGAAAAAAATAATTTAATCAAATTATTAGGGAAGTTTATTCTGGCATTTAAAATTGAACCTAATTTTGAATTGCTTTATAACAATTGAAACATAAGCATGTGGCAGTTAGTCAGATCCAGTTTCATTACAATCATCACATTGCGATGTGTTTTATACTGCTCGTCATCTATAATAATAAAGACATTACAAAACAAAGTTGTAGTTGTAGTATACAATTACAACGGTAGCAAGTTCGCTAACTTGTTATATAGCCCAGCACCTTTCATCTTTAAATACGTTTGCTACGTACTACTAGCACATTGTTGCTCTATAGTTTTGGTGTTTCAAATGATTAAAGTTGTCAACAAAAAGAGTTGTCTGCGTTGGTATGTAAAGATTATTTTGTGCTGAATAATTATGAAGCAAAATACGCGTGTCCGCGTGATTTTCGGCTGGTGGCTCTACAGAATTCAAATTGAGCGTTTTTAATGCTTCTACAGCATCTTTCTGGCCTTGAGCGGCGGCAAGACGGAGCAAACGCGTAGCCGTTTCAGAGTTTTGCTGAAGCCCACCTCGACCCTGGCCGTAATAAATACCCAAGTTGTATAGAGCGCCTGGATGATGCAATGTCGCAGCCGATTTATATAACTCCATTGCCTAAAAATACAATATATATTTTTATATACATTGTTTATTACATGTACATTATACAACAATTATATGGTCCCAAAAAGATTGGATTGCAATGCAAGTTTCTCATATTTTCTTAATATTATAAATAATATATAATAATAAAAGCATAGATTCATTGGCCAAACTAGTAGGAACAATATGTATAACAATAACTCTTCTTTATTTCCTGTCTTCAATGTCCTATGATATTACAATATTTATGAATAAACTATTTTAAGCAATGAGAAAAATAAAGTGGTATTAAGCTATACACACTCAATCACTCTACTTATTTACTGGTGCTAGCAAGTCTTGTTTGCCCAGACAAACATATGCCCTGTCCTTTTCTGCTGAGAGGCAGTAATGTAATCCAGTTTGAAGGATGTCTCAAGATGGGTGGGTTGGCAGCATATATATTATGTTATTTTAGGCTCTGGTATCCACCTAATCCTAATCCCAGATGGGCCCCTGAGTTTGCTCACCAATTTATGCAAAAAAAACACTAGACTAGTTAACAAATGTGTCAAAAATACAGTATTGTTAGTTTTGATATTTAAAGAATATAAAGATTGTTACCATTTTCTCATTAACAGACACTCCCAGACCCATTTCATAACATAAGCCTAAATTATACAGTGCTGGTGCATGATCACGATTTGCAGCTGACCTGAAATAATCATCCATTACAGTTTTGTAATGTGTGTTTTTGTAGCCTGTTTTTTTTCTGAACTTTATAAGACGACAATCAAATAACTCATAAATCAATTTCATATGAATAGTAAAAAAAGCTTAACCTTAGAAGATTGAGTCCATCTTCATAATGTCCATTTTCTATAGCAGCTAAACCCAGCTGATTCTCAATAGAATTTAAGACTTGTCCCAGATCATTTTCACTTGAATTTTTCCTTTCAGTTAAATTTTCTTCACTTTCTTCAATCTTTTCATTAGAAATGGAATGGACAGAAGGAGTAAATGTACTGATAATTTTCTCAATTCTAACTGGAGAAGTTTGATGAAATCCATTGTTTATGGAACATATGAAATATGGCCGTAAACTATTCACAATATGTGACAAGGTAGGACATTTCTTTTGATACTGATTACTGTGGTATTTGTATTTTATATGAATCAGCTGACTTGTGTACCAGCCAATTATTAATCCACTGCTCTGAAAAGTAGAATTAAAGATATCGACGCTTGAAAGGCAAATATGACTAAGCGACAATAACTGCTTTGTACATAAATGATAGGCAATAACCATATTCAATGCGCAAAAAANTGACAAGGTAGGACATTTCTTTTGATACTGATTACTGTGGTATTTGTATTTTATATGAATCAGCTGACTTGTGTACCAGCCAATTATTAATCCACTGCTCTGAAAAGTAGAATTAAAGATATCGACGCTTGAAAGGCAAATATGACTAAGCGACAATAACTGCTTTGTACATAAATGATAGGCAATAACCATATTCAATGCGCAAAAAATTATATTTCTAGGTCTATTAAAATCATTTCAATCTTACAGCTACTACCTAGATTCCACTACAGCTAGATTCGTTAAAATAAATTTTGTTTTCAGGTATTTCAACTTTAAATTAGTCTACTGTAAAGTTCACGGTTTGTCACTTAGTCACGTTTGCCTTTCAAGCGTCGATATGTATCTGGTACTAAATTTTTTACCTAACGTCACCTAAAATGCTGTAGCTCTGAAATTCAGTTACAATTCTTTATAATAATAAGCGCCAACAAAGACAACAATTATAAATATAGCACAAGTAAACAGTTTCTTTATTTAGTTTTTGTAAAATTAATAATCAAACTTGTCCTTTTAACTTTTGTTATAAAAAGTTTGATGATTATTATAAAGAAAATAATGTCATCTCTGCTGAAGACATTCAAATTATGAGCAATATGGAGCCAGATGCTTCTTTAAAATATAATACAGATTTCATTAATTTAAAAATACACTTAGTGCCCTGACTATACTGCTGTGGTGAGGGTTGTGGATTTAAAACTTATATTGAACAAACATTCATGTGAATATCAATCAGATCTTTGCCTAGGAATTTAATATCTATGTAAGTGTATTTAAACATACAGCAGGGATGAATTACACAGTCGTCTTGTATATGTTGTTGTAATATAAAAAACTAACATTTAACTATTTGAAAGATTTTAGCTGAAAGAGTTACAGTTCTTGGCCAAATGCTTGTTTGATGGTATTTGATTCTACTTTTCCATAAAACCCGTAAACTTTCTATGCGACTCAGGGCCTGAGATTGGACCGGCCAGTCCAAGGTTTTTGTGCAATATCATGACCTACTGCTTACGGCTCTGTTGCTGCTCTTTAAAGTTTGTTATGATGGTTTAAGATGAAAAAATTATTTTTCTGAAAAAGTATATTCATTCATTACATCCGCTTGGAAATTAAATTTGGTTAAAAAATATTGAAACACGTAATTTGTGTAACAAAAAAATTATCTGTAAAAAAAATAGGCTCACCCATGTAATGGCATCAATCCAAGTTCTGTGCTCAAAATTCCATCGTTTGCTGTTTGTCCCGTCATTCCTACACGAGCTCAAGCATTTATAAGATGAAAACCAACGAGATGGAGTACATAGACTTTTTTCATCAGATGAACTCGAACTGTTAACAACACCAACAGTGCTACGGTTCTCAAATTGGGCTACACTTCTTTCAAAGGTATCTCGTATACGCCGTGAGACGTATTTCCACATGATTACATTTAAATTAATATTTACGTGTATTTTAAATCAATATGTGTACACTTTCATAGCGAATTTAATAACATCATCGCGTTTGCATTTCTTAAACTTATTTATTTTTTATTTGTTAAAGTTAGCGTTCAAACTCCTGTTGATACTTGATAGCCCACTTCAACCACATAATTCATTGTGTTAATCTATGGTAGTGTAAGCTGTAAAGTAAAAAGTGTGTAAAATAAACCGAGAAATGTATGGTGGGAATACCAGATGTCTAGTTTTTTTTTCTTCAAGATTAAATGTGGATTAATTGAATTAAAATGAAACAAAATCCTACAATTTCACTGTGAGATTATTGTAATAAATGATTTCAACTTCAACTTACATTTCATTTTTAAGAATCTGAATTCCTTCGGTTATTTCTTATCCTACCTTATTTAATTATATTTAATTTCATTCTATAATAATTTATTTCAGTTCAGTCGATTCCATTTGACTTTTCATTTTAATATAGAAATTACTTCGATCTCTAATAACAAAAGATTTAAGTGTAAAGGCTGCACATTCCTTTTGCCTCTGATGTACAACTCAAGTAAAACGTGAAAACAAAAATTATAATTTTTATATTTGGAATTTGTAGGTACATATATGTATGGGAAAAGGTATATATTTAAAGGTATTTAAGAACAGCTTTTGCCCGCGAATTCGTTCGCGTGGAATAGTTACTTTGGCATAACGCTAAATTTTACCCGCGACTTCATTTACGTATAAAGTGAAAATCTTTTTGAATAATAGAATGTTAAGGAGCTATTTAAGGTACCAAAATCAAACTTTTTAACCGACTTCAAAAGAGGCTATCAATTCGACCACTATTTTTTATCTATGTGTTCACCGATTTTTTTTTTCTTTTATTTCTTAGATGGATGTACGAGCTCACAGCCCACCTGGTGTTAAGTGGTTACTGGAGCCCATAGACACCTACAACGTAAGTGCGCCACCCACCTCGAGATATAAGTTCTAAGCTCTCAGTATAGTTACAACGGGTACCCTACCCTTCGAACCGAAACGCATTACTGCCTCACGGCGGAAATAGGCGGGGTGGTGGTACCTACCCGTGCGGACTCCCAAGAGGTCCTACCACCAGAATTCTCGAGAATGCTTGACCGATTCTGATAATCTTTTTTTCTTTTTTTTGTTCGAAAGGGTTGACTTCCCGAATGATCCTGTAATCATCAAGATCTGATGATGGGATTCTGAAAAAATCCAGAAAAAATATTTTCATAGCCTGTCTTGAAGTGATTTGGGTGTTTCTTGTTATTCTTTTTATACTGTGTCGCTGCGCACCGGCCGGCCGGCACCCTGTAAGTACATTAATATTACACGCTTGATCATTATTTTGCTGCGATGTTATTTTAAAACTGCGATATCTTCTCATACTCATTAAAATCAAGTGTGGCTAAATTTAATTAAAATTAAATACTTGTAATGAAAAACGTATTTATTTGGATAGGGATTAATATCATCTTTATAAAAACACCTTCACAAATAATGCTTTATTTTAGAATAAATTTGGTTAGCATATAAAACTTTATAGTGAGCCAACCATAAAATATAGAGATAAAATAATTTTAAAGGGGAACAATATTTGTCATACATTATTTTAGCGAAACTTTAACTATTTCCGCAGCGCACGCAGCAGAAGCTCTCAAAAGAAAAAAAAACGATTATGAAACATTCTTTATTAGTGCTCCGCTCATAGATTTATACACTTAATATATTCAAGGCTCCGCTTGTATTGATCTTAGCGTGATGTTATATAGCCTTCCTTAATAAATGAGCTATCTAACACTGAACAAATTTTTCAAATCGGACCTGTAGTTTGAATGCATTTACTACCAGATCGAAATCTGATTGCTGATGACTGGCCCGAAAATCTGCGGGTTGATGTTATAGCTGAATCTCACGTCGAATTTTTCGACGAGGATAGTGAATCGTGATATGGCTGCTACCAGCTTTAGAATTAGGAGCGTCCAACAGCATTTCGAGGGATCAGGTGAATCCCTTGCATAATGTAAAAATGTATATTGCGTGTCATCGTTTAAAAATTTTTTACGCAAATTTTAAATGTTTTGTCACCATACATTTAAATCGTGAAACTTCGCGGTGATATCGGTCTGTAATAGTATTAACATCTACACCGGTTAGCGTATGAAAATAAATCTCAAAGACCACATTTAAAAAAAAACATACGATTTGCTAGAAGCTCTTTAAGTGCTGTCGTGTTGATAGTATTCGACAGATCCCGATCCCAGTTGGTGTTTTTTTTTCCTCAAATAATTATAAAAAATAGTGAAATGAAAAGAGAATGGAGACTGGAAAACAAGATGATTCTTTCATTCTACCATCAGACTGGCCACAATTTATCACGAGAATCACGACAATCACTATGTTGGATAAAAAAGGGTTTTTCACTATAGTATACAGTAGCAGCGTCCTGGTAGTAGCATCGACCTTTACAAAACACATTCCGCCGAAGGAGCAATCACATTTTTAGGTTCTTCTACAGTGCCTACATTAATGACTCATCCGCCATATGACTACATATATACCGCAGACTTCGAATTTTGCTATTTATTTCCGTTAAAAAAAGAAAAACTCGAGTTTCAAGACACCGAAAAAATGGTGATAAATTATGAAATTTCCGTTTGGGGAGAGCGTCTTATAAAAGGTGGGATTATCTTTGTAGAAAAGTGTCCATTGATTTTCAGTGGTGTTACNCCTACATTAATGACTCATCCGCCATATGACTACATATATACCGCAGACTTCGAATTTTGCTATTTATTTCCGTTAAAAAAAGAAAAACTCGAGTTTCAAGACACCGAAAAAATGGTGATAAATTATGAAATTTCCGTTTGGGGAGAGCGTCTTATAAAAGGTGGGATTATCTTTGTAGAAAAGTGTCCATTGATTTTCAGTGGTGTTACCATATTAATTAATGCTTAATTATTGAAGGAATGGATTTTAAAAAAAATACATAAATGACTTAGGCACATACATGCACATACATGATGTTGTTTTGTTCTAATGCCGGCCACTGACATGCGCGCATATTCGTACATTGTACGAATGTTTGCGCGCATGTGAAGGGCCGTCAAACATTCATTCGCAAACCTAGCGGCTGTGCAAATGGGTTCGGTGCTCGATTTGCGAACCCGTTTGCGCTTCCTCCCACTTGTTTACGAATGTCTCACGAATTTCTCCTCCTTTTTAATTCGTCAATAGAACATTGAAGAGAAAAAGAGTTTTGAATTCTTTTCCAGACATCATTAACAGCCATGCTGTTTTTATGGGATTTCTTTTGATGAAGATACGCTACATAGTAGACGTCACGAACTATGAAAATGGCGATACGTCCGTTACCTTCGCAATCGTCGGCGCAACTGGGCAAACGAATGTGTGGGAGACTACGCGAAGGTTCGCGGTTCGCGCGCTTTGATGTCTCTTAAAAAACCGACACAGCTTGGAAAACCACGAATGTAGCGAAAACTTTGTAAAATAATTTGCAAATGTCGTCCTACACTTGCGGGTTGCGTATTCGTGTGCATGTGAGTGACCGGTGTTAGTCTAATAACTTTCAATGTCACCTTGGTACTTTTCGAATATGGATATACAATAATTTTATAAAATTAAACAAAAAGTAATTTGAATCTTTTATTTTTTTGACAATTATTATGGAGGCTACGAAAAACTTTTTTTATTAACTTTAAAATACTAACTGGAACTGAACTGGAATATTATGTTTAAATTAATAAACTTCTACTTTAAAAATAATGTTACAGATTTAAACATTATTCTACTTTTTACAACTGAATTTATTATGGAATATTTACTGACATGGCTGAGAATTATGGTTTTAATATGTATACCACAGAACATAATATTTAAAGCATCATAGTATCTATTTAAAGATTCTCTATTCTAAATTGGTGGAAATCTGCCTCACATCTTATCACTCTGTGACTTTTCAAGAAGTCACAAACAAAACTTTTCACTTCATACTCCTCTGAAAATGAAAGTATTTCTTACTTCAGAACTAACTATTTCATTAAAATGAATATCAACCATTGACAGGATTACCTGGATAGTGGCTGCACTGATAAATCAAATTAATTAGATGTTTCGCTAATGCTTTGAACAGTGCTTTCCCTTTAATATGACCTTTTGTGTATACAGGAGTAAGTATTTTAACAACCCAGGGAGCAATTCTTTCTTTACAACTCAGAACAAACTCAGGGGTTTCTTCTAATGGCGATAGTATGCTTTCATCATCACTGTCTGGTCCAAATAAATTAGCAAACAATTCTTTGATCTAAAACAAAAACAAAAAATTACCAAATTTAAATAATTGAGCTTTAAAAAGATTAAGCAAAGCTCTGCATCAGTATCTATATACCCTTGCTAATTTTTTTCTATTTGAATCTCCAATAAGATCAAGTATTTCAAATAATTTCACTTTTAAAAAATATTCTTCACATAACCACTTGCTTGGATTTTGCTTCTTATGTTGTAGTGTTTGTGCTTTTTGTTGTTGCAGTTTTTGGTCTTCACGTGCAGAATTATCTTTGGTGTTATTAACAAGCATGTCTGCTAATGATGCCAGCTTTTCATCTAGTGACTTTATTTGTTTTGCATGATTTTCAATAACTGATGTATTTACATTGCTAGCATCATTATTTACTGTGTAATCTTCAAATAAGTTACCATCAGTAGGCATGTTGCAGAGAGTTGTTTCGAATAAATCTTCATCATTTTTATTCCCATGAAACAGTTTTTCCAGTTGCATCATTAACTCATCATGTGTGTCAAGATCATCAACTGGCTTTGGCATATTAAGTTTTGGTGAAATACTGTCCGGTTTAGATATAATGTCAGATTGTGGTATTGTTTCCATAGCATGAATATCTTTGGTAATTACTGGATTTTGAGCCTCTGGATGCATATTAATGACAACCGGTATTTTATATTGATCATTCAATGGTGTTATATGTCGCTTGTTACTCTCAAGTGTACTTTNAAGATCATCAACTGGCTTTGGCATATTAAGTTTTGGTGAAATACTGTCCGGTTTAGATATAATGTCAGATTGTGGTATTGTTTCCATAGCATGAATATCTTTGGTAATTACTGGATTTTGAGCCTCTGGATGCATATTAATGACAACCGGTATTTTATATTGATCATTCAATGGTGTTATATGTCGCTTGTTACTCTCAGGTGTACTTTGAGTATCATTTTTACGTCTTCTCTTAAGTTTCATACAAACACATGGACAAGTACAAGCATTTTGATTGATAAATGTTGTTTGAACTTTTTTATCATTTTCTGGATGCTTATTTAGGTATTCATATAATTTTTTATTAATCTTTTTATTCTTTGTATCTTTTTTTAATTCCTGAACCTACAACAAAACTTTGTTTTATTTTTTTAAATTAATGATTAAAACAATTTTATTTGTTAATATTATGCACATGTACCACAGATCCAATATATTTTCTATAAATTTGTACAATCATACATTTTTGTGCTGCTTTCATTTCTATGTTTTTAGCACATCTCCAAATAGCACTGGGAAAATGGAGTTTTTGGTGTTGAATTCGGTGGCTTGTTTCATAGTTAACTTTTAAGAGTTGCACCATATAATCCATATAAGATTTGCGGACCTTAAATAACAAAAAACTATTATTATCGAATTATGAATTTAAATTAATTAACTATTGTTTTATTTGTAAGGAAAGGAAACAAAACAATTGTATTCTATAAATGTGAGCAAGAGTTATCACTAACCAGCAACTGGGATGCAAGCATGCCAATTTTTTATCTCTAATACTGGCTTTGGGAGTTCATAAAAATTAAGGTTTTCGGGAGACGATTTAATGTAATTTCGTTTTAAACATTGTTTTATCTTATTTTTGTTCCGGTGTTTCGATGCATTCATTTTACCTTAGTAATTAAGTTACTCAACAGATAAAATTGCCATAGATTTGTAGTGAATCTAATTTTTTATAAATTTATTATTGAAAGTAATTATACCCGAGAAATTAGAAGGTGAGGTTCAGACGCATACGCCGGCAGAGGCATAATTATTTCGTCGTATTCACTAAGAAGTTGCTCCACAATTTGATCTTGATCATCATTATTGATTGCACCGTCCATTATGGTTACAGAGTTGAATTGACGACAGTAGTCGCGTATCGTTACTTTTAAAAACTACCCATAAATCTTCTATTAAATGTAGGTATTATCTATGCCCATCAAACTGGATTTTCATTGAAATTTTAAATAAGTAGCTACCCTCTAATGTTATGATATGAATTGAAATTTCGCACGGAAATTTAATGCATAACCAAAGACTACATACCTACCTACACTATAATCCTGACGGAAGAAACTCCACAATAACTAAGTGATTTAAAAAGGATTATCTTTATCTATGAATGGGCTTCGACCATTTTTTTTAAATAAAATCACATAACTGAATAGTGTCGCTGATTACAGGCAACCAATTCTTTATGAAAAATATTTTAAAATTACATACTAATACATTTAATAAATTTTTCAACCTTTGTTTGTAGTCAAATTACGTCCTCATTGGCTTTAATCAAATAGAAACTTTCGCCTATCTTTCTAAATGCTCTGTGTATGACTGTATGACTCTATTGTGAACTTTATTCCGATTTCCGATCATTTGGATAGACTCAAGTTTTTTCTAATTTCAAAGCATGAACGTAGTTACGACATGAACACTCTTAATATCACTTGATTAGAAATACGGCGTATAATTGGAACATTTTTTAGAGATTTTGTACTTATTAATTACATAAATGTTTTCCCTACCTATTCCAGGTTCTCGCGGATGGGTGAACTTACAACCTGCTCAATCTGAGAAAGTTTGTTAATACTAGCTCTAGCAAGAGGAGTGTTTCGCAGAATCTATCACCGGATCGGAATTTAAGCTGCCGTAATAACACGTTTAAGCATGACGAAATGAAATTCTAAATTAAATAAAATTAATCAATTCACACAATGCCGGGTTCCCGGTAAAAAAGTCATTTAATCACTTTTCCACACATTTTTTCAGAGATTGTGCTGTTTAAACTTCTACCCTCTTTTAGTCTGTCAGGTACTTACGTTGTTGTGTAAATTTCGCAGCTATTTTAATTAAGCGTGTAATCTATGCTCCATTTTACGTTGTAATCTAACTGACTTTTTGGCGGGAACGCGAGGAGTGAAGTTGTGTGATTTGATTAATTTTGTCTATTTAGTGTTTCTTCAGGTTTAAATAATAAATAATAATAAATAAATATTTACTAACAATCACGCCACGTTAACTGGTCCCGTGATAAGTTCGTAAAGAACTTGTGTTACAGGTACCAGATAACGGATTTAAATGTAAGATTTTTATTATACGCATACATATATTTAATATACATCCATAACCCTGGAAAAGACATTTATATTTATCATACAAATATCTTCCCTTGGCGGGATTCGAACCCGCGACCCCCTTGTGTAGTGACCATGTCACTTACCACTACACCAGATGGCCGTTATGTGTAATAACGGTGGTTTATTAACTGTTTAATATCTGTGAAAGTGCAAAAATGTGGGAAAATGAAATAAAGCCGCTGGACGTAACTTCTCGGGATCCTCCAAAAAGTCAACTGATAAAATCTCCGTAAATATTTGACTAAGATTTATTTCATCTCATATCATCTCATCTTATTTAATTTAATTTCATTCTGGTTGATTAATGTCTCAAATTAATCATCTTCACTTAATTTCATTTTACTCCATATAATTTTTCATAAAATTAAGAATATTAAATATTAAAGTAGGACATGACCTAAAAGTGTTAGTTACCAGGTCATAAAATCTCTTAAAAAAAGTAGTGAACATAGATTATACACTTCGTATTTCTAATTTCTAGTGTAAGCTAACGCTAAGCATCGCGTGTAAGCATTCTAAAAGTTCCTTGTTCAATAACGTAAACTACTTTTGATTACTATGGCGGATTCAACAGTTTCCGATGTGACTAAGATGAAAGTTGTTGAACTACGTAAAGAATTAAAATCACGTGGACTTTCATACGCCGGCGACAAAGCAGAGTTAATCGCTAGACTACAAGCTGCAATTATATCTCAAGATGAACACACCGACATCAACTTTGAATTTGACGAAATGGACTCGGACGGAGTTTTTGAAGACGANATTACTATGGCGGATTCAACAGTTTCCGATGTGACTAAGATGAAAGTTGTTGAACTACGTAAAGAATTAAAATCACGTGGACTTTCATACGCCGGCGACAAAGCAGAGTTAATCGCTAGACTACAAGCTGCAATTATATCTCAAGATGAACACACCGACATCAACTTTGAATTTGACGAAATGGACTCGGACGGAGTTTTTGAAGACGAAGAAGTTAAAAGCCAAACAGACGTACTTGATGATACTGCCGTGGACACTTTAAACGAAGATTTAGTTCTTTCGGAACAGTCTTCTACTGCGACAATCGCTGTAGAAACAAAATCAACACGAACATTAAAACGCAAAACCAACGCAGAAACCAAAGATAAAAGTGCAGAAAATGCTAGTGCAAAGAAAATTGTGTTGAATAGACCCTCATCAATTTCACTTGTCAGTTCTAAAACTGTTGATGATCAAATTAATGAAAAATCTGTAGAGCCGAAAACGCCATCTGAAAATAATGTCATTAAAATAAATACTGATCTAGATCCAAAGAAAAGGTTAGAGTTGCGTGCTAAAAGATTTGGTTTGCCTATTAAAATGTCAGAGTCTGAGAGAAAGGAAGCCAGGAAACAAAGGTTTAATCAAAATGATAATCAGAACACCTTCACTAGTACAGGGACGTTAAACGAAAATATGGAAAAACTTAGAAAGCGAGCAGAGAGGTTTGGTGAATCTGTTTCCAAAATAATGACAGATATTGAACTAAAGGAGAAATTGGAAAAACGTAAAGCCAAATTTGGTGGTGTTGCATAGAACATGTTTCTGATAATGGAAAGTCTACTCTAACAAATTAAGATTAGTATATAAGTATTGTTTTAAATAAATAAAACATTCTACTAAGTCAATATTTGTTAAGCATTTTAATTACATATTAAATCATTCGTTCATATTATAGAATGGCAATTCTTGAAAATCATCAATTATGTGATGGATGACTTGGTTTTGGGAAGAATTTTTACTAATTTCATTAGTATTAAAATCTTGTGGTATATGTATTGCATATTCCATAAAAGGTTCTTTATGAATATTAGCCCAGCGAATAGCTACATCTTTCAATAAACACTTTCGAAATGCCATACAATGCATGTGTTGAAATTTCTGATAACGAATTCTTGAAAAACCCATTAAGGCAAATGCATAACGCCAGCACTTCATTGTTTTGCTATTTGCTCCAACATGTTTTGAATCCGGTGTGGTAACAGTAAGCAACCCTCCAGGTTTCAATATGTCATAGGCTTTTTGACATGCAGTCATTCGAAGCTGGGAAGTTGGAATATATTCTAATAAAAAACAAAATGTCACACTTTCATAGCTATTTTCTCCTATTTCTTTAACTTTATTGTCTTCAATTACGGTTCTAGTGCCAATTGGTGTATCTAAAAAATCGCACTGTAATACAGACTCATTAGCAGGGCATAAATCGATAGCAAAAACATCAAAATAATTATATAACTTAAAAGGATTATAGCAACTGCCAACATCAACCAACTTCAGTACTTCTGAAAATGATTCTACAGTGTTTAATTTTAGTTGCAGTTTATTTGCTATGTTTTCTTCTTGTTCACGGTAATGTAAGTAAGTTTTGTTTATGAAATATTCATAACAAATTTTTGCTGTCCAATCTATTCTTGATATAGTCTCACTGTGTTCCCAATATGTTGTAGCCAATTTTTCCATACACTGTGCATATTTTTTAAGGATCTCTGTATTTTTGCTATGTGCCTTCCAAGCTTTCTCGACCCCGATTTGACTTGTGGAGTTTCTTAGGGCAGAATGCACATCTTTTAGAAATGTAGATAAAGCTTTTTGTTCTTCGGATGCCATTCTATTAAAAAAGAAACTTGAATTTTCAGAGCAAATCGATTGCTTTTATGTTCTATTTACACAGAGCAATAGTTACAATTATTAATTAACAGCTGTTGTGACTATATGTTGAAAGTAAAAGTAAAGTCGCGAGCAGTAATGCTGTATTGTTTTTTATTCTATAAGCATGATTAACGCTGATAGATTAGGTCGCACACAATTAATACTTAATTACTCATAATATTAATAACATTAGGTTAAGTTTATATTATTAGAGGTACATACATACTGTACATACAATTACATAGCTCTACTAATTTTTTTTCCTACGGAATTTTATGACCTGGTAACTAATACTTTTAGGTCATGTCTTGTTTTAATTTTTATTCTTATTTTTATCAATAATGGTAATAGGAAGTGAAATGAAATGAAATGAAGATCATTAATTTGAGACATTAATCAACTGGGATGAAATTAAATGAAATGAGATGAGATGATATGATGGGATGAAATATCTCAATGAAATGGTGGTCATTTACTGAGATTTTTTCAGTGGACTTTTTGGAGGATCCCGAGAAGTTACGTCCAGTGGCTTTGTTTCATTTTCCCACATTTGTGCACTTTCACGGATATTAAACAGTTAATAAACCACCATTATTACACATTTAAACCTGAAGAAACACTAAATAGACCAAATAAAACAAATCACACAACTTCACTCCTCGCGTTCCCGCCAAAAAGGCCACTGTACATAGATACTTGTTGCACAGATCATTAATTGGAGTAGAGTTCTATTTTTGCGACTAGAAAGGCAAAGGTATCATACCATACATTCTAATCTATACTAATATTATAAAGAGGAAAGATTTGTTTGTTTGTTTCGAATAGGCTCCGAAACTGCAGGACCGATTTGAAAAATTCTTTTTTGATTTGAAGCCGACATTGTCCCTAATGAACATAGGCTACTTTTTAAAAAAAAAAAATTATTTTATTTTTTTGGTTTCATGTGTGTTTTAATGTTTCCGAAGCGAAGCGAGGGCGGGTCGCTAGTCTTTTATAATTTTGTCAATGAAAAATGATTATAATATGAAGTGAAATGAAATGAAGTTCCTTAATTTGGAACATTAATCAATTGGCATGAATTTTTTTTTTATTGCCCTTGTAGGCAGACGAGTATACGGCCCACCTGATGGTGAGTGGTTACCGTCGCCCATGGACTTCAGCAATGCCAGGGGCAGAGCCAAGCCGCTGCCTACCGCTTAATACTCTCCACAAGTCTCGTTGTAAGAAGGACATGTCATAGCGCTCGGGAAACACCGTGGAAGGGAGCTCGTTCCATAGCCGGATGGTACGTGGCAAGAAAGACTTCTGGAAACGCACTGTCGATGAACGCAGCGGTTCCAGATAATATGGATGAACTCTGCTCCGATGGCGGGCGGTGCCATGATAAAAAGGAGATGAGGGGATCATCTCAAACAATTCCTCAGAGCACTCCCCATAAAACATACGATACAGAATACAGAGGGAACCGAAGTCCCGCCGAGCACCCTGAGGTTCCAAACGATCCGTGAAGATCGGATTATGGGCAATCCGAACGGCCCTTTTCTGTATGAAGTCAAATGGATGAGGTGAGATGATATAGGATGAAATATAATCTCAGTAAAATGGTGGTAATTCACTGAGACTTTCACTGAACATTTTTGGATGAGAAGCTACGTTCAGCGGCTTTGTTTCGTTTTGTTAGGTTGTTCCCGCCAAAAAGTCTCATTAATTGGAGCAAGTGAATGTGTTGAATTGTACATTTTAAAATTGGACAAACAAAGAGAGCGTAGTTTATTGAGCCAATACTTTCACTAAGAATGCCAGTCATAACTGTTTTGTTTTGTACATTTGAAAGATTTAAAAAATGCCACTGCTTTTGTTTGCTTTACAGAAGTTTTGAGGGAACTTATCTGGAATAAGGCAGTGTAGTGTAAGCTATCAATGGTGAATACAAATGTAATTTTATTCGTTATTAACATAAATATATATATATTTTTTAAATATACACGTACCCAACGAGCCTTCACGTTGAGAAAATTGAACATAAGATTAACTTAGTTTTATTTACTGATCTTTGTCATCACTAATGAATTCCTACGGGTACGTAATTCCACTAAAAAATAATCATGCATTGCAATTTGAAGAGCAGTACAACCGTTAAAATAAATACACTTGAGTCTTCAGTATATTCTTGATGTCAGTTGCTTGCTGATGTTGAGAGATACGTGCTTTTTCAAATATATAAAACTAAATTAAAGTCACCGATTTATAGGAAATGAAAGCAGCAGGTGCTAAGTGTATAAATAGACCGAGGGTCTAATTATCGATCAGACCTAACCCATGCATCAGCCCGCTGAGTTTCTCGCCGGTTCTTCTCAGTGGGTCGTTATTCCGATCCGGTAGTAGATTTGCGAAGCTACTGCTTTTGAGCTGTTAGTCTCCTTCGGTGGCGCTCGGGCAGCTGTTAGCTAATCTCACCCCTCCTGGTCCTCCTCCTACCTATCAGTGCGTTCTCACGAAGCCCTCACCATAAATAAAAACTTATTTTACAATATTATTTTGAAATTATCTTTAAGCTTAAGTACTGCGTGTGCCGTGAGTATCCACTATAGGCGCAGACATACCACAATGGTCATTCAGAGACATGAGGGCTGACGAGTATAACAAACCGAAACGTGGATTTATTAGAATTAACAATGTGGATCACGTTAGAATATTTTTTTTGTCTTAATTACTCGTAGTAGGTTCATATAAAAACGAATTCATCAGATAATTGTTCCCTCTATTTGATAACAGCCCTGAATTTATATAACAAAAATACTGTTAGGATTAATATTAGGCACTACGGATCATGAACTTCTGCAGGATTTCAACCTTATTACAGCGAATGTTCCTAAATTTAACCTTTATTACAAAAACAAAAGGAGTTTGAAATGGCGGCATGGTCGGTATGACTACCTGGCAAAGTGGGTGCGAGGGGCCCCGGCAGTCCTTCCAAGGCTCGAGATTTTTAGCAAGTTTTGTGTAGCGGATTTATATGCATACGGGTCACAGAGTGTTTAATGGTTAATATACCAAAACTCATCGATATTATAACGTGAATAGCACTACCTACTTTGAGACATGAGAAACAAGGATTAGTACCTATCATTTGACAGAAGTAGGTACACTATCTACTTTGATCATAGTTAGTCTTCAACTAATTAAATAAATACACGAAATTTAACAGGTGCGAAGTCAGTGTGTGTGTTTCAATCAGCTGATATCACATGCCCTTTTTAGAGTTTGGAGAACCTGCTGGAGTAGGCGGGTCGCACTATTGCGTTTGCTTTGTTTTCGTGTTACTTCCGGCTTACGAAAGCAACCAGAAGTTGAGATTTTTACAATTAACAGTAATTGTTTTTTTTTAAATTCATGTTAATTGGATTTTTATATATTTTTTTTACTTTCGTGTGTTGAAATTGTATTACGGATATTAATTTTTGTGAAATAAAAGTGTGTTGAATGACGTGACTTCGAACTAGAAGATACAGATTGTTCATCAATTGCTCGAAAAGTGTTTAACGAAAGCGATATCACAGAAATAGTGCTTATTTAAGAAACACTCAATTCACTCACTCAATTCACACGATTACTTCCGATATAAATTCACATCATTTGACATATGGCTAGCCTTGTTTTTTACTACTTACTAAGAATCATATAATTTAAGGGTTGGCGGAAGAATAGTTCGTTATGTTCAAGTGCTCTTTATTCCGCAACTATTTACTTTGGAATATTATTTTGTCGTGGTATCGTCTATTCTGTAAGAACACTATCAACAGTTTTCGAATTGATATACCTTTGGTGGAATACCCTATACATATATACATATACGGGGTGTCCCACATTAATATTATTATTCAGCGCCTGTCGCCACGATTTTACCGTTATTAAAAAATATATTATATACTCGACAGGTTGCGCAATACATATGAGTGGTTTTTCTCAACAAAGCCTTTGAAATGAAACGAATTTAACGCAAAAAAATTGAACTCTAAGATATTTAGAAAAATTTACATAACCTAAATTTAATTACATATACACTCGAAATTTTAATATTTATATAAGCGACCAGGGGCGCAGCTTCTAGTGTTCCTTGTGTATTAAAATATAATCCCTGTGCAATAGAAACATTGATTTTATATATTTTTTAAATATTTGTGGGTTTGTATATACATACTGATAATTATTTTCAAACTGTTTTCATAATAAAAATAAAACTCTATAAAACATTTATTTCTTTATAAGAGTTTCCAACAAGAGATACACTTTTCCATCTCTAACAAAATATGTAATACCAATTTTCATGACATCAGTAAATAAATTTGTGGTTTTATAAATATGTACATACTCATTTATTTTTAGGAAATTCGCTTTTTTTCTAATGTGTTCTGTTAATTTATTTCAATCAATTATTGAATGAATATTGTTCAACAAATATTATTACTATTATTCTACGAAGCCAGCCCCATTTTATGTAGAAGATTAATAAGAAGAATTGACATTATTAACAAATTAAATTGTGATACTGTAAGTAATTATATGGCTGCAAAACCACTTTTGATATGTGCAACTTCAGCCAATCAGCAAATCAATTTATTATTCGAATAACTGTTTTAATCAAAGACTAAAGTAAAATGAATACACAACTATATTTTAATATTATATAATTTAATTAGGGTACATACAAACATTTTGTAATGTTGGAGTATAATAATTAATCGAACTAATAAGCACTTTCATCAAATAGCTAGTGAAAGAGTGTGTAAGTAGTTTTCCAACCATAATATTCAACTGCAATAAAACCAAATTAATAAAATTAAGAGGAGTCAGTAGGTTTCGAGTAGAGAGAAACACAATATCTACAAGTTGTCAATCAACATTGAACTGGAGCGCGGCAAAGAAAAGATTATATTTTTATACTCTACGACTACCTCTATCACGCTCGTGGCGGCTCCCACGCCTTCAAATAAATACTATAACTCAACGTCAACAAAACCGGTGCCGGTCGAGAGCCGCGGTGTCCGCGCGGGATGACGGCGGCCACGGCCTCGACCGGATCGATCGAAACATTCCACCACTATAACTCCTCTAAGACAAAGGAAACCACACTGATATTTCGAAAGCCAACGAAACGAACGTATCCCAAGCGTTCACTAGGAGGAGTCAGCGAGAAACGAGGAGCGGCGGGCGGCTAGCGTCAGTGGGCATCCGCGGCGGCGTCGGCGCGGGGCCGCACCGGCAGCTTGGTGCGCGGCGTCGGCTTGACGCGGGGGGCGGGGGGAGCGGGGCGCGGCGCGCGGCGCGGACGGGCGCGGGGCGGGCCCGGGGCGCGGGCGGGGCGCGAGCCGGCGCCGCGCGACCTAGCGACGCCAGCATCAATCCGCGCAGCAACGCCGCACGACTCTCTGTCTCTGACGCGCTCGCAGTACTCGCACCTCCTGTGTACCAGATTTCATTATTACACCTCAAATATTTTATTCCAAAATATCAGAAAGATCGACATGTGAACGAGCTGACCGTCCAACTATTGTTAAGTATTTACCGGAGTCCATGGGCATCAACGTCAATGCTATCACCTATCTTGAGACAGGACTTTCAAGTTTTTATACGTATAACGGCTCCCCCGCCTCAGACACCTGAGAAATACGCGGCCCCCTACTATCAGTAAACTTTTTTTTAATTATTATTGAAGGATTACTGGTGGCCCGAAGACCTTTCCAATTTCACAAGGACAGATGGGCGAGCAAAGGCTCAGCCAGGCAGGGTGGGATTTGGTAACAGCTGCTCGAGCGCTTCCGAAGAAGACCTAACAACTCAGAGCAACTTTTTTTATTGCTTAGATGGGTGGACGAGCTCACAGTCCACCTGGTGTAAAGTGGTTACTAGAGCCCGTAGACATCTACAACGTAAATGCGCCACCCACCTTGAGATATTAAGTCTAAGGTCTCAGTATAGTTACAACGGCTGCCCCACCCTTCAAACCGAAACGCATTACTGCTTCACGGCAGAAATAGGCAAGGCGGTGGTACCTACCCGCGCGGACTCACAACAGGTCCTACCATCAGTAAAAAGTTATAACGGGTACCGTATACACGGAGACTATGTGTGAACGTAAGCCCACTGAGTTTCTCGCCGGATCTTCTCAGTGGGCCGCGTTTCCGATCCGGTGGTAGATTCTGCGAAGCACGGCTCTTGCTAGGGTTCGTGTTAGCAACGTCAACAGGTTTGAGCCCCGTGAGCTCACCTACTAGTTAAGGCGACGCTGATATATCCTCTCAAGGCTATCAGTTTAGGTAGGAAAAAATAAAATAAAAAAAAGTGAACGTAGCCTTACCCAGGAAAGAGGCGAGCAGGAACTGTGAGTCGCTGCTGTCGTGCTGCAGCTGCTGCAGTTGCGCGGCGGGCTGGGGCGCGGGGGGCGGCGCGGCCGTCGAACTGGCGGCCCCGCGTCGCGGCAACCGCTCCAGCTGCTGTCGCGCCGCCTGCGCACGCACACACAACGTGACGTACGCGATCGTTCAACATACACGTCTACGTACAAGGGCGGATCCAGCTTCGGCGTCAGGAGGGGGTCACATAGTCAAAATTTTCGATGCGTTCGTTCCCAAACGTTTGCCATCATACAAAGTTATTATATTAAATTAATTAAATATTGAAGGTATGTAGTTACAGAAAGTCTGTATGGTGACAAAACATGTAAATAAAATCATTATGTTCAATTAGTGATCCATCTAAGTCCTGGAACCAGCTCAGGGGGGGGTCATGACCCCACGACCCCCCCCTGGATCCGTACGTCTACGTACACTCTTAGGCGTGTAACACACACACACGACGTAAGTCTTAAACGCGATTTAAATTTATATAGAAGAGGCAAAGCGACGACACGATGCGTCATTATATAGGCTGATTTCGTTGCGATAGCACGTCTTCCTCTTCAGATGACGAAGATGCGCTTGCTTTGCTGCAACACATTAGTGTTGTGACTGCTAGTTCATGCTGCTAGTCATTATTTGTGGAACTCTAGAGAAGGTTTTAGAAATAGATAAATATGAAAATTCCCGGAATTAAATATAAGTAACAATTTTGTTTTTCCTTTGACGTGTCCCCCGTCGGACGGATTCCTTTTGTTTGTTTTAAGTTAGTTTTATACAAAAGTTTAGGTCTTTTATTTATCGATTCAGGTACTACGAAGCCTGCCGGGTCAACTAGTCTTTAATATAATTGACAGACGATATTTCGGTAGATAACTTATACGAAGAATTTAACTTGTTGAAAAGAAAGTTTTGTATACAAATGTTTTGAAGCGGCATCGTGGCTGCGCCGCGCCGAACTACTCGCCGTTTGTGTGTATTTCGCGCCTTAAAGGTTGGTTTCTTACGGCGTTGTCTTGCACGTTTATTTGCAGTATACATCTTAACGAATGAATAGTGCACATACATTGTGCATGTCGTTTGTACTCCAAAAAGCCGTACACTGCTTATGCGTTTAAACGAATACTCAACGGAGTTGTTAAGCAAATCGAATGAACTTTAACGTTGGCGCATAGTATATATAGCTCTGTCTCGTTCACACGTTCGTTTTTACACGAATGAAAATCTCCTGTACGAACACCCGGGTGATTGTACGTTAAAATAACGAATACAAAGAAAACGTGCAGGACAATGCCGTGTGAACCCAACCTTACTGTATGCAACTGCACCCAATTTAAGTGTATTTCATTACTTAGTCCTGATATTCTGTATAAAACAACTATAAGAACTCTACATTGCTTAAAGTCTGTTGTCAAATTGAGAATAGATTAAATATTGTTGTTTGTCTTTAACATTTTTGTCTAAAGTGTATTAGTCTTGGCGAGATCTGTGATTACAAGAATTATAATAGTATTTGACAATAGAATAGTGTACAAACTTATAGTTTCAACTAATTATAGTCAAATTTCGACCTCCGGGGGACCACTTGTAAATGTAAACGAGTGAGATGGAGAAGAAATAAATAATAGTTTAAAAAAACTAAAAAACACGCTTTATATAAAATTCAACTAAAAAATAGAAAATAAATTTTAATAAATTTAAATTGAAAATAGTGTATTGTCATCGATCCTCAATAACGACTACAAAGTTCGAATGAAATCTGACCATTTAAAGTGGGTCAAAATCGCGTCTAAAGGAGTCAATTACAAACATACATACAAGTGAAGCTAATATAAAGCGTGTAATAACGAGCGAGATGGAGAAGAAATAAAAGTGATATTGACAGTTGCCTGGTGTCGTTCGAGCTGCAGCTGCATCTGTAGCTGCTGGAGCTGGCTGGGAGTGCCGGGCTGCGCGCCGCGCCGCACGCCCGACAGCTGGGAGAGGAGCTCCGCGATCGGATCCACCACCGCGTCCCGGGACGACGGCGACAGCGACGAGATCCCGCCCCCGCCGGTGCTGTTCAACAAACACAACGCATATTCTTTCAACTATGATCAAACTTCAAACTGATGAATCGGCGGTAAAATTTATCTTCTACCGAAACCTAATCTGTCTAATCTAATACTATATTTTTAGGTTTTGCCTATTACCTTACTAGTTGTTACCATATGCGGCGTCTCCGGAGTGGACTAAGAAAAGTTTTTTTTAGTCCACCACCAGTTTATTTAGTCTAAGTTTCCAGTCCATAAATAAATAAACAATAAGACCATCGTCTTTTCGCATTAAAAGTGTGCAATTTCAAAAAACATTCAAAATTGAGTTAATATGCGGAATCATTTGGTATCACAAGTATATTTCTCATAAATACTGTCAAAAGAGCGTAGTTTAGATTTTGTTTTTTTTTNAAAGTTTTTTTTAGTCCACCACCAGTTTATTTAGTCTAAGTTTCCAGTCCATAAATAAATAAACAATAAGACCATCGTCTTTTCGCATTAAAAGTGTGCAATTTCAAAAAACATTCAAAATTGAGTTAATATGCGGAATCATTTGGTATCACAAGTATATTTCTCATAAATACTGTCAAAAGAGCGTAGTTTAGATTTTTTTTTTTTTTTGTTTTCCTATGTTTTGACTACTATGAACAAAATTAATACATAATTTTATCTTACTTTAAAAGACAGATAATATAACTGGTAAAAAATAAATGTTGCAAAGATGATTAATATTAAAAATATCACATGTTAAACCTTTAAAACACTCTCCTGTAAAATTAGTATACAGTTTTTTTTACATTATACAGTTTATACAGTTTAAATGAGAGAAGACGAATATTTGAATGCCCGCTGAGTTTTTTGCCAGTTCTTCTCAGGACGGAGGCTAGTTTTTGTGAATTGGCGGTAGTTCTTTTGACGTTCAACAAGTATGTACAGTCCGCGCGCGAGCTCCGAGGATTCGGGGGCTGAAGAAGCGGGCGGGCGTGCACCGCGCCCGACCGTCGCTTCATACCCCGCACTCTCCCGGTACTAGTGTCGACCTTAACGTGAGAGTACGCTTACCGACTCGTTACGTGTGATTTCTAATATAAATAGTCTTACACTTATAAGTCTTTTTGTTTGCACAAATAGCCATTTAATTTGATGAAAAAGGAATGGCGAGCACTAGCATAATAAACATGTCTTAGCATTAGAGGAACATTACTGGCAAAAGGATGGCTTAATGGAGGATGTTGTCGAATCATTTATTATTGAAGTACGTGAGGAGAGTGACAATAGTACATCAAATTTCTCAACTACTGATTAATCTGATTGCGAGAGTAATTAATAAGATTTCACGTTCATTTTGTTCAATAAGTATCAGTTCATTAAATTAAATTCATACGTGATCAATTTTTATTTATTTATTTGAAGTACATAATACCCTCATAAAACTATTTTATAATTTACACTCGACCGAAGGCTTAAGATGTGTTAGTATCGATAGCGCAATATCGACTAATTACAACACTAGCTCATTACGTCAACATTCCTTAAAATTCCTCAGATCGCGCGCGGAATGTACTTTCATTGATGCTGAATAAAAAAAATTTTTTTTATTTGATTGATTTATTTTGAATACGAACCTGAACTGCATGTTAGTACGGCGCGCGCGACTCACGCCGCGACCGGAGTGGGGCATGCGTCGTACTCCGCCATGCCGGATACCACTGGGTTCATCGTGCGTTATGTCAAGGATTTCATATTAGTACGAATGACAAACATAATTTCAAAAAAAAATCCATAGTATATCATAATATGTCATAACCAAACATTGACCAATTAATATTATTATTATTTTCAGATCAAATATACACGCAGGATATAGGATAGGTAATGTAAAAAAAAAACATATCGTAATAAATTACCCCAGCGAGTGCCTATTGACTGTTGTTTAAAAAATCTTAAAATTCTGTCCATCTTAGAGCATTAGCACAAAAAAATATTTAAATTCATTAAAATACAAAACTTGCCTTTTTTATATTGGCAATAAATACGGCCATAAATAAAATACGTCATATTGTCTACATTAACATCTAAAAACTGTTGTGCTCCCGATCTGTCACTCTCTGGGCGTAAATTGCGCACAGCCTATAAACATAGCAAGCAACACAGCGTATTTCCCTATGCTGAAGCATTTAAATTTTATGCTAAAACTTTTAATTATTAAAAAGGATATCAAAAAAGAGATGAGATCTCTAGACCCGGTCCTGTGCTCGAGTGTAAGATGGCCAGCAAAGTCATCCGTGACGAAATTAGGCTCACCACCTGGCATTGATGCACACACCGGACAAACTACCTGAAAATTGAGGAAAGAATGGAAATACATGTTAATTGTGCCACACTGGTTGGTTCTCTCTCTCTATCTATCTATCTCTCTCTCTCTTCCTAGTTATTCATCGCAGGTGGCGGTGGGGTTAGCTTTCCTTATTTTTCTGCTCCACCTTGATCTGTCTTCGACATAATCGTCGCTAACATTGCATTCCCTCTTGTCTTGGATCTTCTACTAGGACTCTGACCGTGGAGGTCGAGCTGCTTCGCCAAAATTTGTTTCTTTTATTGCCCTTGTAGGCAGTTGAACATACGGCTCACCTGATGGTGGTTACCGCAAAAGGCGCCACGGGTGCCACAATCTCATCCATAAGCTATTAAATGATTTCTAAATTCGTTAATAAGTAAAATCACGAACCAGAAAACACACTATTGCCTTTATTACAGGATTTAAGTAGGATTGCTGACAATGGGTATTAATTCTCCCTTAAAACGACTCAAGTCTCTGATAATGTTGTCGAGAATACTATTGGTTTAACTGTATTGTAAACATGAAGATTTGAAATGCGTTACTGTTTTAAATTAAACATAGGGACCAATAATTATAAACAATTTATTAAAATAATATTATGTTTCAACCGTAACTTACGGCAAGGGTTGTGTCAGCGTGTTCCGCCGTTACATGCTCCATGAGACCAGTGTCGGTAAAACCCATGCGGTTACAAAAAGGACACGTGTACGCCTGTGACTGTTCCAATGTTAATGCTTCTCCTCCATAATATAAATCTGAAATTTTAGAAATGATTGTTTATTATCTATTCACTGCAATTCAAATTATAAAGGATTTCATAATTTAGTGGTTTATACTGTCAATGTTGCCAATGCCAAGAAAGTTCATTCTGCAATAAGAGACCCATAAGCGGTACCAGAGGAAAAGTCTTCAGTGGTTAATGTTAGGAATCAAAAAATTATCGTTGTTTGAAAGTTAATGTTTATTTCATCAACATCGCCCTACTGACTCAAAGGAAGGATATTCACTAATAAGCTCAAGCTGACAAAGTCACAAACTGCTCCCGTATTATAAAATATAGTAAATGAAAAGCCATATATTTTTATTTATTTAAATGTTCTTAAATTCCATTACATTTACGTTTACTATTTAAAACAGAGCTGCAATTTTATTTCATTGTACTTTTATTGATACATGGAGTTTAGGCTTAAACCAATTTTAAACTTAAAAAAGGCATCATTTCACCTTAATGCAATCAATAATTCTTAAATCAAGTTTCACCATCTGATTTAAATATTTTTTTAGAATTCGGGTGGCTTAGATCTCCTCAAATAATTATGATTTTGAAGAAGCGAGTAATTAGACAGTCTAGATATTAAATGGTATATTTGAAAAAATTAACTTTCGGAATCTAAAATAGAGTTTAAATATCAAGTTTCCAGTATCCCTCGCTAGATGTCGCTATCAGGAATCTTAAAGTGCTATGATTGTTTTCCGGTAGCAACTTTTGCTTTCGACTCCTAAGGTTGAATAACTTGAAATTAATTTAAAATTATTCATAACAAAACATGAAAAATATGTAAAAAAATGTAATATGCAACTATGTTTTCGTCTACTCGTATTTTATTTGAATTTATAAAGTTAGTTTTCCTTGTAATTTAGATATATAATATTAAAATAAGTAAGTAAAGATTATAATGTGATATAAATTAAAATATTATTCTTTATTTTTTGCTGTGCGATATTATTAATGAAGTTGCTTCAGTAATTTCAAAGAAAAGTATTGTATGAACTATTCAATGGTATTAACAAATAGCAGACATCACATTGGTCTCATACAAAAAAAGGTTTCGAATATTGAATTTAACCGCTCCACAGGATTTCTAGTATGATTGTATCATGAGCAGATTTGTTAGCTACGTGGCAACCTGCAGTATAAGCTAAGCAGTGATGTGTTAAACAACCACCGTTAACCTAAATACATAAAAAGTCAAAGAAATTCAAATAGTGTTCCTATCAACAAAAATCAAGAATTCACTTCAAAATTAACGATATTCTCGTTCTGTGAATCAAGCATTAAAGTGATGACCCCTCGATGACCCCAGAATAGGTCGGAAAAATTAAAAATAAAAATTGTGGCATTATGGGTTAGAGAAAAGATAAACACATTTACATTTTCTAATTAATAAAACCCAATTACTAAATATTCCATTAAATCTACTAGTAATTTCTGTTCGAACAATGTTATGGGTTGCCCATTCCCAGCAAAAGATTTACACTCCAAGAGTTAATGTAGATCTATCTACCTATAAACTGAAAACTACAAATCAATTTGTACCCCTTAGTCCTGGTTTCGCTTATCATAGTTTTGATACACCATGTAATAATTAGTACTAATGGTGTTAATTTTGTTATGCTGGGTATGCTGGTATTTTAGTAAAAGTAGTGAACTAGCAAGTGACAAAATGTGAATTAGGAAATAAAATTGCAACTTGTAAAAAAAGTATATCATAAAGAGTTTTGTTTTGCTTTCATTCCCACACTTAGGACTGATTCAATTTGATTGTTTACTATTAAGCTTTGCTGAATTCTAGAAATCTTATATTTTATTTATTTTAGGTCATGCATATCATTTTACAATTTTTAGTCTTTATAATATAGAAATCACATCATAGTATTTACTATTTATTTTGAGATCACTATATAAGTACTGATTTATTTGGAGCTGGGTATAATATATTCTGTTTTGTTAAGGGACGTATTAGTTAAATACAAGATGGTTTGTCTTACCAAAATCACTTCTAGAAAGAATGCACTGCATGGGGTGTTCGGTAGTGTGTTGATTCGTGGTAGCGCCGGACTCGTAGCAAGTAGCGCACAAGTCGTAATCGATGCAAATCAAACATTTGTATCGTCGTCCTCTAAAGTTATTTTTCAAACAAGAATCACAGCTGACTCCTGAAATTTGTCAATAAATACAATGACGACATAACTGTTCTTTGTTCTTCAGTAAAATATATTTATTCCGCTTAATAACTATGTGTTCAACTATTTTATCAGGTCTGTTCTTAAATTTCGCAATAAAATTCAGTCACAAAAGCATCTACCAAATTTTGATTATCATTACCCACCTTCATGGCGATTCATTTTCGCCAGAGAACGTCGTTGAAAAAACACTTGTTGGCACCAAAAAGGCCTCTATTTTGGGAGCTATTAAATTTACTAATGTAAAATAGGCAGCACAACAAATTATTATTAACAAAATACAAGGTTTATAACAAAAATTTCCAAGCAAACCTAACCCAACCAGGTCATAATGACGTCACATGAATGAATGACAAATACATTTTACACAGATGAAACAAATTCATTTTGCAGAGACCATAATGTACATAGTTTTCTTTTCACAAAATGAATTTTACCAAGACCAATACTATTTAGGGATCTTAAGAAACAACAAAGTAGCAAATGATTATGCATTATGATAAATGATTTTTAAGTGACCATTGAAGCTCTAACACTCATCTGGTACAAGACCGAGCTATCACAATCCGATCACCCCAATCTCGATGCGGACGCTTTCGATCACTGTGTATGCGGTGAAACAACACATCTTAAGATCTTAAGATCTAACACAGGTCACTCACATGCGCACGAATACGCAAACCCGCAAGTGTAGGACGACATTTGCGAATGATTATGCAAAGTTTTCGCTGCATTCGTGGTTTTCCAAGCTGTGTCGCTTTTTTACCAGACATCAAAGCGCGCGAACCTCAAACCTTCGCGTAGTCTCCCACACATTCGCTTGCCCAGTTGCGCCGACGATTGCGAAGGTAACGGACGTATCGCGATTTTCATAATTCGTGACGTATACTATGTAGCGTATCTTCATTAAAAGAAATGCCATAAAAACAGCATGGCTGTTAATGATGTCTGGGAAAGAATTCAAAAATCTTTTTCTTTTCAATGTTCTATTGACAAATTAAAAAGGAGGAGAAATTCGTGAGACATTCGTAAACAAGTGTAGGAGGAAGCGCAAACGGGTTCTCAAATTGAATATGCGAACCCATTTGCACAGCCGCTAGGTTTGCGAATGCATGTTTGACGGCCGGTTACCTATTTCAAACGTCTATACTTTTCTTTTGTTGCCATAATATTAAAAATGTATGCTTTCAACAAATGTTTTTATTAGTTTTATTATAGTTTATACTCCAAACTATTGCTATTAACTCAAAGAGCAAAGAAGACAAAATTGCCACCACCGTCAAGTGTGTCAATGTCGTGTTGAAGTTCTTTTTTCCTTCTTAATTAATTTGTAGGATTAAGTATTATTTTGGCGGGAACACGAGGAGACAAGTTTATGTATTGTTTTATTTATTTATTTAATATATTTTGTACGCACAGCTGTTAGAAAAAACACGCCAATAAGGATACAGAGTACAAGGGCACTACTTATTTCATGTTGAAATCTCTTCCAGTAGGCCCGCAAAAGGAAAGAAGAATTACTTTATTATGTTTTACTTTGTTAATGTAATGTTTCTTCTCCAAAAAGTCCACTGAAAATTCTAATGAGATTATATTTCAATCCATATCATCTCGGTTTCATCCCAATTTATTAATGTATCTTATTAAACAACTTCATTTCTTTCGTTCCATAACATTTTTCATAAAACATAATATTTATTTAAAAGATTAAGCTGTATGATGCTTGATACGTATGCGTTTTCAGTTGGAAAAACGAAACACTAGGTACTTTAAGCTATGGTGTTTTTAAACTGGCTATAGCTTTGAGGACTTTTTGGCGGGAACGCGAGGAGCGGAGATGTGTGATTTGTTTTATTTTGTCTATTTAGTGTTTCTTCAGCTTTAAATGTGTAATAACGATGGTTTATTGACTGTTCTGTGTATCTGTGAAAGTGCGCAAATGTGGGAAAATGAAACAAATCCGCTGGACGTAAGTTCTCGGGATCCTCTAAAAAGTCCACAGAAAAAATCTCAGTAAATGACCACCATTTTACTGAGATTATATTTCATTCCATATCATCTCATTTCATTTAATTTCATCACAGTTGATTAATGTGTCAAATTAATCATCTTCATTTCATTTCATTTATCTCCATATTATCATTTTTCATAAAAATAAGAATATAAATTAAAATAGGACACGACTTAAAGGTCTTAGTTACCAGGTCATAAAATCCCTTAAAAAAAGCTATAGCTTTGAAGTTTCCAAGTTTGTTGTGTGTATTATCTATGATCACATTATTCACTCATCACTCTGCTAGTTCAAATTTCATTCAGTCAGGCAGATAGATTTTGGAGAATATTTAGGAAAACCATTCTAAAGTAAACATATCCAAGGAGACGGAATAGAAGCTAAAAAAAATTGCTTCCTACTAGTTCCTACTATTCATGAAGATTTTCTGCAGTGAGAAGTGTAAAGCAAAATTTGCTTTCTATCGGTATTGAAATGTAAATTACACACCTCCATTTTTGCAATATTAAAAAAATATTGACAATAAAATTTACGCGGGAATTGCTCCGGCAAAATCCGTTGTTAATTTTACAAAATGACTGATGCTTTGTGCCACTTAGTTGTTGATGGGAACGACGTTTTGGAATTCAAACTAGGTAAGCACGCTGTCTGGATAACAGTTAATTTTTGAAAAGAAAATGAAATGTATAATTGTATTTGAACACATTGTAGACATTACAATAAGTTTTATTGATTCCCAAAAAAAGCCCCAACGATCTCGGTTTCCATTGCTATTTAAATTTATATGCAGATGTAGATAAAGGTTGTGATCATTATTTTTTTCAGTGAGGTCGGTAGATGATCTCGAAAATGAAGAGACAAGCTTTGGTCCCGACATGTGTCACCAGGTATTTGGAGAGAATGAGAATATATTTGGATATACAGATCTACACATTAAATTATATTACAGTGCAGGAAGTCTTCAAACATATCTAGGAATTGATTACACTGATAAGGTATTATTATTTATTTCTATATTATTTTTAAATTTTATTTGAAACTAGCGACCCACCCTCGCTTCGCTTCGGAATCATTAAATTTTATTATTGATAGCAGAGTCCCGCGATGTTACATGCGATTATTGTTGAACCGCGGGTGAGGCCGCGGGGCGAATCTAGTCTAAAAAAGTAGCCTACGTTACTCCTTAAATCATCAGCTACCTATTAGTGGAGTCTCATCAAAATCGGTCCAGCCGTTCCAGAGATTAGTCGGAACAAACAAACAGAAAGACCGACAAAAATTGTAAAAAATGTTATTTTGGTGTATGTACCGTATATACATAGTTGATGCACAATACAATGGTTTATTAGATATGCATGTAATAAAAAGCGGTTATTTCGATACTACAAACAGACACTAATTTTATTTATATGTATAGATATAAACCAAATATCTATTCTTAGCCATTTGATTTACGACCAAGTTTAAAAAAAATTGTATTCTATTTATTGAAGAGCTTTAAAAAAATCTAAAGATTTAGTACTTTTTCGTGTACAAATAACACAATTAATTTTTTTCTGTATTACAATTATAATTAATAGATCGAACCAAGTAAGTCAGAAGGAATGAAAGCAGATGATGTTGAGGGTGCTCTGACTAAAGTTATAGCACCAGGGTATATCACTAATTTGGATCACTTTGTGTCACAATTAAAGAAAGATGAGTCATTCACACCACATGGAAAAATGCTGCATGCATTCAATGTAACCCCTTGTAAGTTTTTTTTTTTTCATTTCCTGGGTTTTTATTACTAAAGCAGAAAATAAATATTCATAAAATTAAGTTTCCCAGAAATATTTTTATTCTGGTCTCACATATTAAACTAACATTCCATAAATATTATGGATAAGAATGATGATATCATGCACAACTATTTCTGGATTTCGGTATGGTACCTGTACATGTAAAAGTGAACTCTGAATGATGAGATTAAATTAAAAACCTTAAACAACCATCATTTGTGTAGTAGTTGCTTTTAAATGTATAGTAATGTAAAATATGTCCTTGATTTGTGGAATTCTCTAGACAAGTCAGATGGGTAGATGATAAGCTACCATTAGTATATCAACAGACCTTAAGCCACAGATACATATACTATATGTTACAGTGTTTTAGTTGCATTTTTTTCTGTAACTCGGGCTCCTGCAGTTTCTTGTGAACTGTATAATAAGACCCCAGAAGATTGCACATTAATATATTATAATAATTTACTATTGGATACAGTTTGATACATATATTTTGTATATAAGTCAAGGGTCTCAATTGTCATAACAAGCTGTGCATAAAATGTAACCTCTGTAATTAAAAATATTAAATGAAAATAATACCCAAGTTCATTTGTTAAACGACATAAAATTTATCAATTTGATCTAATGGTCATTGTGTAAACTATTAAAATATTCATATTTTCTGATTTAAAATTTAATTTTTCAAATTGAATCTGAATTTACAGTTGATGGAGAGAGCAGATCATTTGAAGTATATTATTGTGAGACTTCAACTCAAGGTTTTCTAGAATACCATCAACGTTTACAAACATTTCTCCTGTGGTATGTAGATGCAGCGTCATTCATAGATGTTGATGATGATCAGTGGACATTCTTCACAGTGTAAGTTGTTATTGCATGTGTATTTATGGTATTAGGTGCTTTAGAGTCTTTATTATTAAAACTAAGAGATATGTCTGGTGCTAGAAATGTAAGCTGCCGAAAATTCAATAGGTTGTTACTTTTATTACCATTAGTATAAATAAAATTATAAATATAAATAACAGCAAGCACCAGTCACCATTCAGTTTGAACAAGTTGAAAGAGTTCAACTAACACCTTAAACAATAGACATAACCTACTGAGTGTCTCGCTGGATCTTCTCAGTCGGTCGCGATTCTGTTTTGACGCTAGATTCTGCAAACTACTGATTTTGCTAGAGCTAGTATTAGCAAATCCTTCCAGTTTGAGCTCTGTGAATTCATCCAACAGTCCATGTGTAGTTGAAATAGTGTGTCAGATTATGAATGATTAGGTTGGGGAAAGAATATTAAGAAATCTATAATTACTAAAGAAAATTTATTTAATTCTCTTAGAAGCAATTAAAAATACTAGACCTATATTTTTAGCACCAACTTACATGGTTTATTTAATCCATCCTGAAGAATGAGGCTCATGGCGAGGATAACCTTTGTAATAAACAATTGATAGAGAGTTCTGTTCTGTGCCTTTTTTATTTTTGGGCCTGGGTTGAGTCTCCTTAGATATCCAAACTGAGCAGGCGTCTTGATGTGTAGTAGTACCAAACCCATCCACTAAAGAGCTCTCCTGTACAGTCGCCTGAGATTGTGAGCCCTGCTGGAACAGAACCCGAGAGAGGTAGGAGAGGCAATTGCGCTCGGCACTTTAAATAGACGCGCAGCCACCCCGAGGACTCCTGACCGGACGGGGTCGTGATGATGATGGCGATGATGATGATCGCAAAAGCGCATCGCGGTGATCCACCGAGCTCACTGGTACGGTCACCAACTCAGTGGGTTGCGTATTTCGATTAGTTCGGTTGTAGAACTCTTCCTCGTAATTGATGAGTAGACGAGAACGGTGACCAGTGCTTGAAAAGCCTAAAAGCACTGAATGTGTATCCGGATCCGACAAGAAATGTTTCGGGCGATGGCGGCTTCAAATGCCCAGCGCCTGCACAGCATTATAGTTTTTAAAATGAGAACATTCAGAACAGGTTTTTATGTTCCAGTTTTGAGAAATATCAAACGAGTGAAGGCAGTGTTCGATACGCTACAGCTGCCTATGCAACTGTATACAGATACTATGCCTATCCAAACCATCAACGTCCACGAATCTCACAAGTTCTCACATTACCGCCCTTCAGAAAACTCGGAATTTGTGCACAAATGTTACAGGTAATACTGTCATGAAATTTACTCACCTATTGTGATAGAAAGTGATATTTATAATTCATGGACAAAGATAAACCTTTTTGTAAAACATAGAAAAGCTCAGCCTTAATCCAATTTTGCTTCATAAAAGATATGACACTATGTTGTGGTTATAGTCACCTACAAATTGAATGAAGTGATATTGAAAAATGCATATGACATTATTATGTGATCAGTTAATCACCCTGGTCCATACATATTATGTAGATTACGTTTACCTTATTCAGTTAGTTGAGTTAAATTTTTGATTGCTTAAATGGAAAATTTAACCAATAAAATGTTACTAGTATTTTCAATCTGTATTTTTAGGCCATATACTCTCACTTTATAATAATACCTGAAGTGATAGATCTCACAGTTGAAGACCCCTCACCTGACTTTCAAAGGGTTAGAGATTATGTTGATGCTAAGAACTGTGAAAGATTACCGGCATTTCAGCCAGCTGCCTTATACTTAGGGTATGTGTTGCTTTTTCTATTTGTAATGTTGTATTAATTGATTCTAAAATTGATCAATGTAAACTTCTTTTGCATATCGAAATAATCCAATTATGTAATGTTTCTTGAAGGTTCTCAGCTGAAATGGCGATCCAGGCGCGAAATAAATTTAAAATAAACAAAAAACAAGCAAGGAGAATTTATGAAATATTGCGTTTGAAGAATACAAATACTTCTGATAAGACTGCATATTTGAATTATAGATTAGATGTTAAGAACAGACTGAATGCTCCATTTCAGGTACCAATTTAATATTTTTATTGTACTTGGATGAATAAACTAAAACACGACCCACCTGGTTTTAAAGTGGTTAACAGAATCCATCAATATAACCAACGTCCCAACCTCCAAATTCAGTACACATGGCTACTTCATAACAGAAGTAAATGGTGATACTTATTCCTGCTAGCAGCAACATTGAAAACAAACCAGATTCTTACATTATCATGCAATAATTTATTTTCACTATCCTAAATAATAAAAAATAGATACTTTTATTTTAAACTTAGAAAACATACATGCTCAGCATTGAAATATTATATTATGTAATTTGAATTCTATCATAGTTTAAGGGACTCAGTTTTCAGTAAGATATTATGTATAGACTAGAATAGTTTTTTTGTGTTCTAATTTTATGCTTTTTTATTTCATATTTTTTATTGTATTCATCAGTAAAACAGCTAACCTGTTGTTCAGTGGTTACCAGAACCCATACATATCACAATGTGAACAATGTCCTATACCTTGAGAAATGTGATTGAAGTTTCAATTGTATTGTATAATGGCTATCATATCATTACCCTTCAAACCGAAAAACATTATTGCTTCGTGGTAGTAATAGGTAGAATGCTAGTACCTAATAATGCAATCTACCATTAGCAAGACTAACTAAATGGAGAAGTCCTTTCAGTTTCTTCCTAACCAATGGTTATATAAGTGATTCTCAACCACTGTGTCACAGGCACTTTTTGCTGCCAAATTTTACATTCAAAATTACTATTATAGTATTTTACACACGTATGTAGTAAGAGGTAAGAAACAACTTTTATCTTTTTCTTTCTGTATTGTAAAATTTTTAAATCCGTAAAAGTGTACCGTGATACCAAATCGGGTTGAGAATCACTGGACCGTTATATCATTCTTTTTCAGTAACAGAATATGATGTTGATTATATTTTATAGAAAAAGAAGCTAGAAATGAAAAAGCTTCAGAAGGTATTGAAACCTGAAGAGTTTGTAGCTACTGTGACAGTTACTGGTGCTAATGAGACACAGGCGAGACTCTCCAGTCAATACCACTCGCTCGAGATCGAGTACCGCCGCGTCATACATCGGATGGAACAAGACTAATGCTCGGAACCATCAGGCGGAGTTTGCAGGCTGCCCTTTACAACTCCATTATCGTGTGAAATTATAGGGACGAAGATTACTAAATTGTGCATGAGGACAAAAAATAATTATGTTTGATTAAAGTGAAGTGTACTTATTATATGTCACGAGCTTTGGATATTCGACAGTACCATTTTTTTAATTATATAAATGATAAATTTCATAAATGCTCAATATTAACAAGTTTATTACCTATTATTTTGTCCAGTAATACTATTATTGTAAGATTATAAGATTCTTTCCAATGATTCCAATGTCACATTTTCTGATAATCCACGTTAATAAAGTTTTTTGAAATAATTAACGCCCGAATGTTGATTGAGGATCGTCAGTCACTAGAAAATTAATTCATTAATGCCTCTCAATATTTGGGCATTATTTATTTTGTTATGAATGCTGTGTGAACGTGATTTTGAAATAAAACAAATTTTGGAGTTACGCTGAAGTATATATTTGAAGTCGTCCTTTCAACTCAAATAAAAGGTAAAATGCTAAAATTAAAACTGATACTTGTTACGATAAACATAATTACGTAAAGAGAATCAGTTGACACAAATCACAGATGTTGCCTCAGTGCGTTCATGACGTTACAGTTAACGTATTTTTATTGGAACACTTTCCAATAGCCTTTCCACTTTTCTTTCACGAGATCATTAAAAACATTACTTTTTTTTTTTTAAATAAATGCACATGCATCCTCAACCGAGAACCCCTTTTTAAATTTGAACTCTGTCCAAATTGTTTTCTGAAGGTAAAAAATTTAATTGAATACAGTTGGAAAATTACTTGAGTACTAAGTAGAGAAATTAATGACAATATGAACTTGAAATAATTTCTAGAAATGTCCTGATCGGTCTTAAAAAATGCATAAATTACTTTTTTAACATTTTTAGTTACGATTTTTACGAAATATATTGGTAGACTATTTCTAATTTCTTATATCGATTCGTAGATTCTGATTACACAATTTTCGATAAAATATGATATGCGACTTTCAAGTTTTATGTTGTCAACGAATGCCAAATATAATTGTTATTTGTTTCCTATTTTCATTGTGGCTGTTATTAGTTTTTGAAGGGTTCTCTTTCATCCGTCCTCTGTGCGTTCAGTGTGCTTAGTGCGAGTTTTTTAACGTTCTCGATAGCGTAAAAGTTAACTCATATTTGTATGGAATTAGATCGTTTGCGTATGTTTGCCGCTAGGGGCGCTGTTCCTACTGCATACAAAATTGGATTAACTTTTACGCTATCGAGAACGTTAAAAAATTCGTACTAAGCACACAGCGAAGAGGAGCGTCTCTGCATCAAACCTTACATCTCTGAGGACTAGTGACGGTAGGTACCACTTACAACTAAAAAGTTTTTCTCAAAACAAAACACAAACCTAATATCTAAAAAATGCGAGTATAAGGAAATTTAGTAGTACAAGTGTAACTCTGAAGCCTCTATTCTGCCCATAGATTACACACACAATATTCTTACCGATCGAGTGAAGTTTTCACAAAATATAAATTTAGGTATAATAACCGGCAAACTTCTTGAGCATTTGTTGACGTAGTGGGGGTAAGTTTGCGCATGGTACACTCACGTGCAAAAACATTATGTACTCTGCGTCATAATGCTATTAAATTATTAAAATCAACATATGTATTTATTTATATATTTATTAGAACATCAACAAAACATATAGGTTAATAATTGTAATAATTTAATCTTGGGGTAAAATAGATATTCCTTCTATTAAGTCAAAACTAGAGCTGTTGCCAGGTCTTGGTTCAGTTGAAGCGAAGCTGGTATTTGTAATTTTTTTTTCGTTATCATAATCTTGACCATCATCATCATCACTGTTTTCATCACCCGAGTCGCTATCATCGTGATGAGTCGACATAGGGCTCATCGGCGTAGTTTACAACTCGGTCGATTCGGTCTTCTTTTTTGTCTATAATTAATTATTTTTTGAAGATATTCGATTCGTAGTAATCGAATGTTACTTTTTTCATTTACCAGCTTCCGATTATTTTCTGTTCTTTTTTTCCATCTGAAGCCTAGCTCTTTCATAATTCGTCGTAAGCTTCATTCCGAGCCATTAAAATTTATATCTTCTTTAAATTTTTCGAAGCCTTTCTACGGTACGGAGTTTCGCTGCTTGTTATGTAGTTATTATGATTACATCTTTTTATTACAGATTGAACGAAACTATCCATTCCGGTAACTTTCTTCTTCCCTGATCTTTTCTTACCCGGAGTCCGAAACACGGCGAGCAAGCCAGAGCCTTTAGCTTCGTTAATAATGCACCTAACAGTACTCACTGATGTTTTTGTTGCTTCCGAAGTCTGTTTTAATTTTTCCATATCATTCTTCCCCTGTTTTATAATGAAGCAATATACGTCGTACACAAATTTTCTACCCTTTCTTTTAAGTACTACACCAGTTTGTCACGGCATAGTGTATGTTTTATAAAAAATCAACAAACACTCAACAAATAGCAATGGCAACAAAGTCCACAAGCAATTATAACAAATAACTTAACGATTAATAACGATAGACTTTCCACTGTACGCAAGCGTACTTTTGGGAGCAAGCGGAATGAGGGCGCGGTGCGGGACGCAGGGTTCGACTGATCTACCAATAACGCGCTCGATACGATTTCCCCTGCCGTCGCGCCTCACCCTCACCACCAAAGTGATCTAAAATTCGGTTCTGCGCAGTCAAGGTCATTTGCTCAAGAAGTTTGCCGATTACTATAACAGTTAAAATTATTCTTGAAATAAACAAATACATAACTTAGTGCCTAATAAACAAAACATAAATTAATTTAGTATTGATTTTCGATGACGAACCATATAATTTTTCAAATTAAACTGACATAATGAAAATGATTAGAATAGGAGAATACATATATAGATAAGTTGTTCTTATTTCGAACGACATCATTCAGTACGTAAGCCCGTCTACTAATAACAGTCCTAAACTATTATTCGCTAATACTGTTTAAATGTGTATTTTGAAATTAGCAAGAGAATTAAGCTTTAATCGTTCGATTGATCCGAGGCTGGTTTTTCAATGGAACAAAAATAATGGCAAAGTGCTAATAGCTGTCTACACGACCAACAAATTCGGTCAGCCATTACATCCTTAGGCGGCTTCTATTTGTAGCTACCGATGTGCGACAACACTGCACATAATATACAAAAGCATATTATTTAATTATATATTATATATTATTATTATTATTATTATGGAGTTATCGGACTACCCCACAATCCATTTAATTAAATTATCCTGGCTGAAAACGCCCCTTCATTTACTGACATAAACATATCCTGTAATGAAAAACAAGCCTCGTATTACACGGCCATAGGGAAACTACACATACCTACATAAGTACGTAAAGTATATAATATTTTGGCAAAAAACGTTATTATGATAAATAGCCAAAGTGAAACTTTTATTACGTCGACTCAAACTTTTTCATCTGTGTGTTGCATGTCGCGTGACGGTCGGCCGCGGAGTAGGGATAAAGTGAAAGGCGCTCGTCAGAGCAGCAAAGGCCAATATGGCGACGCCTATAGTTCGCAGCAGCTGACCGTGTAGTATATAGGCTATTACTCATTTGTGTCAGTGCTCCACGCTATTTTGTTTTTGTTTTTGTCAGTGTTTAATGTAAATGTTGTTTGTCAGAGTTAAATGTCTATAATGTGAAGAAAAGTTTCACTTTTACCGTGGTTTCATAAAAGCACACGATCCTTTTTTTTCTTTTCATCAATACAAAGATTACATTAGAAGCATTCGTTTCAATGCAACACTACAAGTACATAAACCTAGTTGATTATGTCTTTATGACTACTCAACAAACACTACGAAAGGCGTTTTAAGAAGTCACTTGTTTCAGTTTCGACTTATTCCCTAAGAAAAAATTGATAATATTTTTTCTTTTACCTGGACGGTGACAGATGTTACAATTACGCCGGCTCCAAATATGAGTTATAAGAAGCTACTAATACAATAATAATATACTCAGAGAATCGTTCAACTAATGCAATGATTACTCCGAAAACTACTAGTAGTTATGTAGTGAAACTAAAATACGATTATTGATTATTATTATTATGAGATGAGGCCAAAAGACTTGATAAGTAATATTGAAATTGTTTAAGTTATTAATGAGATCGCGAAATGCTGTCTGCCACGTAGTAAGATTCGCCGAACCACTCGCTGTGTTCGTTCAGATACCTGGAGAAAAATAAAATAATATTTTAATTCGTCCCAATCAAATATAATATGAACGAAATAGTCGATATTTTTTTCCAACTTACTGAACAAACATGTCAATGTGCCTGACAATGAGCCGCAGCTTGCAGTCCGGCATTTGAGAAGCGTTTAAAAAGTCCGGTAATCGCACTGCAATGAGAATATTCATTATTACAATTATGAACTTTTAGTAGCGGATCATATAATTTCGTAATACAAGGCAATCGGACACTGTTAACAAAAAAAAAACCGTTATGAAGCTTTAACATTTTTGGGAGACAATACCTTTTTTTTTTAATCGATAAATTGTAAGAATTCTGACATTTTTTATGTCTAGCTGAGCATCAATCACAATTCAGTGTGTTTAATTGTAATTTATCAATAGAATAGTGAATCGCTAGTAGTTTCTGTTGGCCCCAAATGACGTCACCGGTCGTAACTGAGTTTTGTAAAAGAGTGCGTGGTACTTTTGAAAAAACTATGTCCGGTTCCCTGTTGTAACGGTAGGTAGCCCGCTGAGTTTCTCGCCGGATCTTCTTAGTGGGTCGCGTTTCCGATCCGGTGGTAGATTCTGCGAAGCACTGCTCGTGCTAGGGCCAGTGTTAGCAGGCTTGAGACCCGAAAGCTCATCTACACGTTAGGATTACGCTGACAGTCCGTTAAGGCTTAAGCTTAGGTAGGAAAAACAACAACGGTAGGTAATCAGTATACGCACCAAAGAGGCGCGCAAGATGAATAGCGCCATAGACGCGGCACGGCAAGTGTTCGGTGCCGTCGCGAGGAATCATTTGCCATTTAGCGACCTAAGAAATAATATGTTTTATGTATGAAAAAAAAAAACCACACACACACAATGAATTAACTATAGCTGTAATTTATCTCTTCAAATTATTAGATACTAGCAGCTCGCTCCCGGTTTCGCTCGGGTAGTAGCGCACGCGATTTAAACTTTAGGTAAAAAATACTTTAGGTAAATTTTTTTCACCCAGCGTAACATTATTGGAGTTTTAGTAAGAAACCCAACATTTTTTTGCAGAATATACAGAGTATGTCACCCAGGGATGGTGTAGTTTGCCAAAATTTTGCACAGAATTATTCAAATCGATTTAGTAGTTTCGGAGCCTATTCAATAGAAACAAACAATCAAATCTTTCCTGTTTACAATATCAGTACGTATTCATCGAAGTCTGAATGTAAATGGATTCATGTATATCATGTCAAATGTTGTCAAACTTTCAGTGCTGTATTGTTAGAGTCACAAGGGGGCTACCGTGAACCGAATAAAGATACTAATATTTAATACTTATAGATATCACAGAATATAAGAAATCTAATAATGGCCTGAATCGCGCTGGCGACATTTACAAGATAGGCTTGCTTATGTCAAAGTTAAAACAGATTTCGACGGTTGACCTCCCGGAGTGACCAAGAACCCTCGTTCGATGGAAGATCATTAATGTCGTTACCTCAAACTAATTTTTCAATTTTTAATCGAAGCATGCGAGATATACTCCCATCATGTGTAACTTCATTCACTTGAACAATGACGGAAAAATATGAAGAAAGCGGAAGTGTCGTAACTAGAAAAACTCAACTTTACACCAGAGCCATAAAACTATGAAAAAAATTAATATCTCATATTATATTTATAGAGATAGAAAGTTGAAAATTTTTAGTTTTCTATACTAATATATAAATCTACAGTGGTTTTTACGGATGTTCCGTTATAACTTATAACTGAACCATGCATCCGATTGACTTGAAACTTGGTATCCATGTAGAAAATACATGTACTTAATGGATAAGCTAATATTTATATGAGTGTTGGACTCCCTAATAATAATGACAATAAATAATAATGTTAATTTTAAATTCCCAACGAATCGGACGGGTACAGCTAGTTTATTTATATTATCTAAAGGCTATCTGGTTATATTATTATCAATACATACCAATTTTTTACTTTAGTAGTTAATTTTCTTTCTTACAATAATTACGCTTTCTTCCGTCATTATTACAATAAAAACCAATTTAATATTGTGAAGAGCGGCGGAATTTTCTTTCTTGTCTTTGGAATGTATCTACCTACGTGTTTGTAAATTTCGATGAACACTTAAATCTATTATATGAATCTATGTATGTATATGTGATTGTGTATATATATGTATGTATATACTTTTTTTTTGTGTTTGTATTTGTAACTTAATATAAATTTCATTGCACCTACCACTATTCACTCTGCACTACCTTTGGTTAACTGGTAGAGAATGCCTTAGGCATTAAGTCCGCCAATGTAAATTTTACATGAAGTGTAATAAATAAATAAATTTATTCGCACTTGGTCATACCCAAAAAACGTATACGCTACCTTTTCCAAGAGCAGCGAGAGCGGAGTGCGAGTGCTGGTGGATACGGGAGCTGTTTTCGGTGGATGGGTCCAACCTTCGCTCATGGACGAGCCGCTACTTCCCACGCTGAAAAATTTTTGTAAAACTAACCTGTGAATTATTATTATATTCTAAGTTGTTAGTACACAATGAAATGTTTTAAAACTAGGGTTAGGACGGGTGTAGCTTACTATGCTTATAGGTGCGTGGTATAAAGGGCTCTATTAGGGAATTGGCCCATCTGATGTAAGATGTTCTATATTATAATTATTTGTATATTATATTTCTTTAATATATTACGAATGATGATCACTCTAGACCAAAACCAGCTTTTAGGTTAAGGTAGTTTTGAAATGAATTTTTATTTTTTGTTTTATTATTATTATTATTTTATTCTGAAATTGTAGTTATTGTTAATGAATGTTATATGGATGCAAAATCTGAAGTAAATGAAATAAATAAAGAATAGCCCAAAATTAATACTGCTGATTATTTTGAGCCATGAAGTATTTCTCGGTTACCGTAATTTAATAGGATAGCGACTCTTAACGGGACGAGCGATTATTTCGCAGCACAAAAAGGTTAATAGATTTTACAGCCTTTTTCCTTTTTTTTTGTATTTTCATCAATAATACATTTGTTCTGTGTTTCCATCTCATTTTTATTATTATTATAAAAACGATTTAACGTAAAACTGAAATGTGAGCGAAGAGACAGTTTTATTTTATTTATTTTATTTTTTATAACTTCATATACTAGAAAGCATAAAGGCGGACTTAATGCCATAGGCATTCTCTAACTGACTACCTTAGGGGAGTGCAGAGATGAAGCTTGGTAGGTGTAGTGTGAAGGTGATATTACTTAAACACATGTGTATATATAACATCCATAATATTTATAGATACAAATACTCCTACTTAAATAAATACATATACATAAATATATAGATACACATAATATCATAAATATATACATATAAAAACATATATAAACAAAATATATTATCAATTAGATGACTCTGCTAACTCTCTGAGAAACAGTTTTGTTAGTGTTTTGTATTGTAGTTTTATTATTTTATTGCTGCTGTCCATGAGTGACACACTTCAAAATGAACCAACGCGGACGTAATTTACGGTAACCCATTAAAATCTAAACACTACTAAAATCGGCTGTCAAATTACATTTTTTTATTGCTAAAATGGGTGAACGAGCTCACAGCCCACCTGGTGATATGTGGCTACCGGAGCCCGTAGACATCAACGACGTAAATGCCGCCATTCACTTTGAGACATGAGTTCTAAGTCTCAGTTTTTACAGTACAACGGCTGCCCCAACTGTGAAACCGTATTCTGCCGTGTCACGTGTCATAAAAAGCAGCCAGTAATTACGCAAATTCTAATTTTTCGGGTTTGATTTTTATTACACACCATAGTTTGTCAAACCCTTTTTCTGTGCACAATAACATACGATATTTTAAAAGGAGTATTCTTCAATAAATATTTCATTTCGTTATTTGTCTTAAATATTTTACGTCCTTTTTTAGATAATCTTCTTAGCGTTTATTCATGGAAAGCGCCCACGCCAATATCTCAGGAATTTCAATTACGGACGCATGTATAATTGCGTGCAATATTCTAAGCTAAATGATCTTGCTTGGAATTGTATTTCCGTGTACCTACCCTACCTACCGCCAGCAAGTATCACATTTCACAGTACATTGCGTAATATGTACGCCGTTTGGTGTAATCGGACGCATGTATGTGCGTAGCGTTTATTTTTGCACCACAGTATAGAATAAAACTCGGCCGACTTGGCTTCATTTAGTTATTCTACAGTCTACAGATCGAAGTTGAAACGTGACTTAGAAATAACGTTTTTATTGTAATTACCATTAGTTTTAGAATGAAACGCGAAATAAAATAAAATGTATACAGAAAATTTCGTGTCTATGCTTCTTGTTGATCTGTTAACCTTTATCTATGGCTGATCCCGGCCATCATCTGTTTACGATTACAATAAAAATGTAGTGTCAAATTGGACTTTTTGGCGGGAACGCGAGGAGTGAAGTTGTGTGATTTGTTTTATTTTGTCTATTTAGTGTTTCTTCGGGTTTAAATGTGTAATAATGGTGGTTTATTAACCGTTTAATATCTGTGAAAGTGCACAAATGTGGGAAAATGAAACAAAGCCGCTGGACGTAACTTCTCGGGATCCTCCAAAAAGTCCACTGAAAAATCTNCGTGCTGCGATAGACGACTGGCCGCGCAGATTGAAGGCCTGTATTCAAAATCACGGAGGTCATTTTGAATAAACTTTAGTGTCATAAGAATCTATGTTTTGTTAAGTTTATTTTGGTATATGAATGGTTACATAATGAATAAACTTGTTTCAATTATTTTACATTAAACATGTGACAGAATTTATGACCTGACTAGGTATGTATGTGGTATAAAGGGCTCTATTAGGGAATTGGCCCATCTGATGTAAGATGTTCTATATTATAATTATTTCTATATTATATTATGAATGGTAAGCACTCTGGATCAAAACCAGCTTATAGGTAAGGGTGGTTTTGAAATAAATGTTTATTTTTTGTTTTATTATTATTATTTTATTCTGAAATTGTAGTTATTGTTAATGAATGTTATATGGATGCAAAATTAGAAGTAAATGAAATAAATAAAGAATAGCCCAAAATTAATACCGCTGATTATTTTGAGCCGTGAAGTCTTTCTCGGTTACCATTATTTAATAGGATAGCGACTCTAACGGGACGAGCGATTATTTCGCAGCACAAAAAGGTTAATAGATTTTACAGCCTTTTTCCTTCTTTTTTTTTTGTATTTTCATCATTATTACATTTGTTCGGTGTTTCCATCTCATTTTTATTATTATTATAAAAACGATTTAACGTAAAACTGAAATGTGAGCGAAGTGACATAGTTTTGTTATTGTATTGCTGCTGTCCATAAGTGACACTTCAAAATGAACCAACGCGGACGTAATTTACGGTAACCCATTAAAATCTAAACACTACTAAAATCGACTGTCAAATTACACTTTTTTATTGCTAAAATGGGTGAACGAGCTCACAGCCCACCTGGTGATATGTGGTTACCGGAGCCCGTGAACATCAACAACTTATATGCCGCCATTCACTTTGAGACATGAGTTCTAAGTCTCAGTTTTTACAGTACAACGGCTGCCCCAACTGTGAAACCATATTCTGCGGTGTCACGTGTCATACAAAGCAGCCTATCACCAGCAATAACGCAAATTCTAATTTTTCAGGTTTGATTTTTATTACTCACCATAGTTTGTCAAACCCTTTTTCTGTGCACAATAACATACGATATTTTAAAACGAGTATTCTTCAATAAATATTTCAATAAATATTTCGTTATTTGTCTTAAATATTTTACGTCCTTTTTTAGATAATCTTCTTAGCGTTTATACACGGAAAGCGCCCACGCCAATATCTCAAGAATTTCAATTACGGACGTATGTATAATTGCGTGCTATAATTTAAGTTAAATGATCTTGCTTGGCATTGTATTTCCGTGTACCTACCCTACCTACCGCCAGCAAGTATCACATTTCACAGTACATTGCGTAATATGTACGCCGTTTCGCACGCATGTATGTACGCATGTAATCGGACGCATGTCTGAGCGTAGCGTTTATTTTTGCACCACAGTATAGAATAAAACTCGGCCGACTTGGCTTCATTTAGTTATTGGAGACCACAGATCGAAGTTGAAACGTGATTTCGAAATAACGTTTTCATTGTAATTACCATTAGTTTTAGAATGATGCGAAATAAAATAAAATGTATACAGAAAGTTTCGTGTCTATGCTTCTTGTTGACCTTTTAACCTTTATCTGTGGCTGATTCCGGCCATAATCTGTTTACGATTACAATAATTACTGAGATTATATTTCATCCCATTTCATTTCATTTAATTTCATCCCAGTTGATTAATGTCTCAAATTAATCATCTTCATTTCATTTCACTCCATATTATCATTTTTCATAAAAAATATGAATTTAAATTAAAATAAGACATGACTTAAAGGTCTCAGTTACCAGGTCATAAAATCACTTAAAAAAAATGTAGTGTCAAATTGGAGTTTTTGGCGGGAACGCGAGGAGTGAACTTATGTGATTTGTTTTATTTTGTCTATTTAGTGTTTCTTCAGGTTTAAATGTGTAATAACGGTAGTTTATTAAATGCTTAGTATCTGTGAAAATACACAAATGTGGGAAAATGAAACAAAACCGCTGGATGTAGCTTCTCGTGATCCTACAAAAACCCCACTGAAAAAGTCTCGGTAAACAACCACCATTTTACTGAGATTATATTTCATCCCATATCATCTCCTTTCATTTAATTTCATCCCAGTTGATTAATTTCTCAAATTAATCATCTTCATTTCATTTCATTTCACTCCATATTATCATTTTGCATAAAAATAAGATTATAAATTAAGATAAGACTTGACCTTAAAGGTCTTAGTTAACAGGTCATAAAAATCCTTAAAAAATTAATTAATCCGTAAAAATCCAACTCCTGCTTTAGCGAGCGGTTCTAAATTGCTATACGAAATTCGATCTAAACAAAACTTATACACGAATATACAGCCCACTGAGTTTCTCGTCGGATCGTCACAGTGGGTCGCGTTTCCGATCCGCTAGTAAATTCGGCAAAGTCTTCGAGATTGAGCCCCTGTGAGCTCGCCTAGACGTTCGGTGAAGATAGCTATAACCCCTTGAAGTTACTGGCGGTAGGTAGAAAAAAAACATTGATGTTAAAAAATAAGCTATATATTTACCTGGACGAAAGTGTTTCGAATGTCCTCGGTTCGCCAGTCGAGGTCGAAGGTGCCGGCTCCTCGTTTTCAGATTGCGAAACAACGGACTTGTGAGAACGAAGCCTGTATAATTCACCACAAACTTCAGCACAGAACAATACGTTAATTATAAACAATGTTATTGTATGAGTTCTTGTCGTCATAAGCAGACTGCCCGTGATCACGCTCGGAACAGCGCCGAAATACCGGGCACTCATTAAATGCAATGATCATGATGGGAATTAATTCAATTAGTAATAGTGTTTATAAAGCAGACAGCCGCGAATCTTTATTTATTTATTTTTTATTGCTTAGATGTGTGGACGAGCTCACAGCCCATCTGGTGTTAAGTGGTTACTGGAGCCCATTGACATCTACAACGTAAATGCGCCACCCGCATTGAGATATAAGTTCTAAGGTCTCAAGTATAGTTACAACGGCTGCCCCACCCTTCAAACCGAAACGCATTACTGCTTCACGGCAGAAATAGGCAGGGCGGTGGTACCTTCTTCTTCTTCTCATAATTTAGCCTCTTTACTGCCATGTAGGTCACCGGTGTCCTACGTGGCGCAATTAAGTAATTATGTTGATTTCTGTTACTCGGGTGGGGGTGACCTACATAGCAGTCAAAAGGTTAAGAATATAAAGGCGTAAAGCCCTAAAGTGTTATAATGTTTCCTCCATGTTTATAGCAAGACGGCTCAAGGCAATCTATACAAAGACATTAGAGACATAAGGTCTAATATACATTGTTTTAAACTCCTATTGATTTTAGTTTTCGTATCATTATTTCTTTAAACAATTTATTATACTTGCAATACATCGAGACTAAGAAAAGTATATAGGCAATTCTGTAGAAGCGAAACCTTCAATTGTATATCTGTCTCGTTCTCTCGCATACTAAATATTATATTAACATAGGTTTGTCATTTTTAGTCGTTTTTCGTTTCATCGATTTTAAAGTAAGAACAGACGAATACCATTCAAAATTTGAAATAGTGAGTTCGACCTCATGATTATATGCCGAAATATAGAATTATACATTAAAATCTAAGTATATATCGAGGAGTGAAAGGCTATATTTCGACTTAAGCGACATTTTTGTAACATAACAGGAGCGCTATTCAAAGTTTAAAACTTGAAAATAATTCTTCTTCTAAGTCGTACAATCCTGGCGGAGTGGTCGCGGTTACGTATGGCTTTTGAGGGACTTCTCAATCTCTATTTGTGGCGGTACGTGTACATTCAGTAAGGGAACACTTCGTAGATGACTTAAGTCTGTCCACCTTTTGGATGATATTATAACAATATTATAACAAAAAAAAAAAACTTCAGCTATTTGAATTGGTTAAACTTTATTAAAGTCCCAATTAAAAATATCGAAATGCTGTTTGTTACTAATAGCAAATAAAACGGAACTTTAATTATTATTATTATTTTTCCTACCTGTTCTAGTAATCTCGAGGGGTTATTCTAGATTCATCGAGCTAGTAGGTGAGCTCACGGGGCTCAAGCCGGGAGTGGTACTAACACTGGCCCCAGCAAGAGCAGTGCTTCGCAGAATCTACCACCGGATCGGAAACGCGACCCACTGAGAAGATCCGGCGAGAGACTCAGTGGGCTTTAATTATTAAGAGAAATGTCGCGTATTAAGCGAAATAAATAGCCTTTCATCCCTCGATATGAATCTATGTCATTGTGTTTGAGTGGCGAACTCACCTCCTGGCTCCGATGCGACGCGCGGCGCCGGCGGGGGCGGAGGCGGGGGCGGGGGCGCCGTCCTCGCTGACGTCATCAGCGACGGTCTCCTCGGCGGCCGAATCAGTCTTAGAAGCTTCTTTCTCGACGCTTTCACCGGTCATCACTTCTTCGTCCTCCTGATTGTTCTCTTCCATAGTTACAGAACCTTCTTCGATCTCTTCCTCTTCAAAATTGAAAATCCAGTTTTCTTTAGCATTAAGAAGCACAGCAGAAAGGCACGTTTAATAAAATGGCTGAATATTAAAAATAAACAGCTAAATAGTGTATCGAGATTTCTTTTGCTGCTTACACAAGCTTACGTTCTATATAGTCAAATGAGTTAATGAGTGCTCACGGTTGTCAGTCCTATACTTATATAACATTATTATAATGGCATGAGCAACGCCTCGATATAAGTATTCAACTCATTTGCCTGCCTCAAGCAATATAGCAATCAAAAGGCTGCTATCAAATTCGAACTATTGATTAAAAAAACATATACATATATGTCGTTTATAAATATTTAGGATTAGAAATAATTATGATATTTTTCGTATTTTATTGGTATTCCAATATTATTTCTGATGTTTCGAATGTACTTTAGAGTTTTCGTGGTCGCGGACGCCTGAAATATTATTTATCTACATTTGAATACTGCGCTAACTACCGTCAAATATTGTAAAAAAAAGCGTACGTGCCTATAAAGTACACATGTCAGAAGTGAAACTTTTTTGGCGAACTAATTTATAAGTCTTGCTTATATTTATACAAATCCAAAACTTTAGATTTCCGAGACTTAGAGGAAGGGAAAAAGGAAGATATGTTCCCGCCAAAAGTCTGTCAAATGTCAATCTCAAACCTCAGTGTTGACAGTCACATTATGTTTAGATTTCTAAATTGTAAATGACTAATATTTTGCCAATTGAATTGACTAATTTAATTTCATGCTATTTGATTAATGTTCCAAATTCTTTTCATTTCATTTCAATTCCTATTAAAAAATTTCACAAAAAAATTATAACATATTAGGCTGTATAGTATGATACATTTGCCTTTCCAGTTGGAAAAAGACAACAACAACTACTACTGACATTTGACAAGTACTTAATTTCCATAGTACCATGACATGGGGTAAATTGGGATCCTGGGGTAAATTGGGACAAACCTGCGGAAGATTCTCAAAGTACCTGTAGCACGGAATCTACCTAATTTTGTTTATGTTAATATTTATCAATGTATAGAAGAAAAACCAAGTTAACTATGGAAGTACTAAATATGAGTTAAGTTGGTCCCAAAAATTCGTCAAATTAAATTAAAAATAGTGGTTGAAAAGTGCGTTTTAAAACAGCTTAAAGAACTTTTTAAAAAAGTAATATTATCGTTGTTTTTTCAATAAGATCACAGTTTATATAAGTTTTTAATACACCTGGAAATACCACAACAAACGGTAAGTTGCAATATTCTTATTTTAAATACAATATTTCGACAAAATAAAAAATTTATATTTTTTCCTTTCTTTTTGGGGAAAATTGGGACGTATGTGGGGTAATTTGGAACGAGACTGGAAAAATTAGGGACGAGAAAACACAAAATTGGAACGCCAAAAGACAAAATAGGTATGGCTTGTTAGGGTTGTCACTGATATCTTATAATAGATTTTTTAGCCTATACTATCACTCAATGGCGTGATGTAAAGAAGGTTAATGTGTTTATCAGTTAGTTTATGTAAGTACTATAGGTAAAAGAAAAGTATATATATAATTACATTTTTTCGCGACATTTACCTTGTAATATCTGCCCCGTCGTATGTCCTTTATAGCATAAAATAAAATTAAAAATTAAAAAGAATTCAAACGAATCAAAACTTTTGTTATTTCAGAATCTGTTCACGCGTCGAATCATGATTTTTTTAACATTCACAACGCACAGACAAATAAAAACAGGCCTCAGATTTTAAATGTAACATTAATTAAAAATCCGAGATGTCTAGGCTCCAATTATGAGTGAGTGAATTAATTGAGTTTAGTTGGATTGTATTCATCATTTCGGTCCATATAAATAATTGTATGGCACCTACCTACCTACCTATATATCGCAGTACCGCGAACTGACAACCCTTACAAATATCCCAATTTAACCCTTACCCGTGTCAATTTACCCCGAAAGCGGGGTAAATTGGGATTGCCATTATTTTTCCGATTATTTCTTTAAATTGAATAATTAAAATAATGTAACGGTTTTTATCACCTAGGTACGTTCAAGACTCAACTTAATTCTTTGGTTGAGCAGTGACTATTTAATTGGAACTATTTTAAAATTCAATCTGAAGGTCGATTTTGTCCCTATTTACCCCATTTTACGGTAGTTTGATGTCACTTCCGTTGCATACCTGCGTGACGTTCTGTAAAAATTTTACCCTTATGCGCCTAAAGAAGTTTCACTTCAAAAATAATTGATATTTACGTTTCGTTGCACCCGGTGCAGTTAAATAGAACTAACGCTATCTTAAGGTCTGGCTGTTTGTTTCAAATAATAAATACGAGATTCAATTGAAGATCTAATGCAATTACCTTCATTGTTTTCACAGTCGGTTGGATCCGGTGGCAAGTGAGAATACTCTGGTATTTTTGGGCTCTTGAGATCTTCTTCGACCGAAACGACGGTGGACTCGTCCTGGGAGTGACATTCTTCTTCTTCAAACACATATTTCAGTTTCTCACCTTCTTGCCTGCGTATAAAGTATTGCTCTCATTTAGATTCACCAGCGAAAATATATCGTTACGGACGTTACGTTTATTTCACATAAATAGTACCGTAAAATCGGGGGAATCGGGACACTTTGAAGTCGTCGTGACCTAAAGGATAAGACGTCCGGTGCATTCGTTTATAGCGATGCACCGGTCTTCGAATCCCGCAGGCGGGTACCAATTTTTCTAATGAAATACGTACTCAACAAATGTTCACGATTGACTTCCACGGTGAAGGAATAATATCGTGTAATAAAAATCAAACCCGCAAAATTATAATTTGCGTAATTACTGGTGGTAGGACCTCTTGAGAGTCAGCGCGGGTAGATACCACTACCCTGCCTATTTCTGCCGTAAAGCAGTTATGCGTTTCGGTTTGAAGGGCGGGGCAGCCGTTGTAACTATACTGAGATCTTAGAACTTATATCTCAAGGTGGGTGGCGGCATTTACGTTGTAGATATCTATGGGCTCCAGTAACCACTTAACACCAGGTGGGCTGTGAGCTTGTCCACTCACCTAAGCAATAAAAAAAAGTTCGGATTCTCTAAAATTACCACGTATCTAATACAACCGATATATTTCATTGGTATTTAAACTAATTTCAAATTGTTGTTTTAATTCCCTAATATACAACCGTTGAGTCGACATTGCGAAAATAAATAAAAAAAAGATTAGTAAATAACAAGAAAAAAATGTTTGTGATTTCTTACTCGTCTATGAATTTCCCGCAGATCTCATGGTACTGATGCAGTTCTTGCTTGTAGAGGAGATGGCCGCGGAGAATGAAGTCGAAGTACACACGGATCCCGTCCGCGACTTCACGTACAAGGTTTAACCTATACAATAGTTTTTATTTACGAATGGACACAGGAACAGGCAAAGGCATCCCCGTATCGTTTACCCTAAGAGAGGCGAGTTTATTGTTGGACTGATATGTTTCGTTAACGCAGAAAAACCAATAATATATATACAGCGTGATTATTTTCTTAAAGAAACAAGTAAAGCCGTAGAAACACTTCATGTGAGCTGATAATTTATTCATTTAATAGAAGTTAAAAGAGAAGTAAAATAAATAGATAGATGTATATTAAGATTACTAATTAAAAAAAAAAAAACTCGTTTTAATAGCAAGCTGAACTAAATAAAAAAAGTTATAACTTTGGTAATCATTGTCAAGCACATATTTAGATGTTAAGTCATATTAATTAAAGTATTGTATTATTATAGGTCCTTGATACGTGTGCAAATTTTCAACTTTATCGGACATTTTGAACTTGGTAAAAAAAAACATTAAAAATTTTCTTTGATTCGCTTTAATATAACAGAAAAGGACAGAACCTAATAGGTATTAGTCTCAGTCTTGAATTTTTTTCTATGCAAAAATAATAATAAATTAATAATAATAAAATAGCCTAGAATATTTTTAATAAATAATTTAATTTAAAAATAGCCTGGAATATATAATTAGGTTCAAATAAATAGCGTAGTATGTTGTAGTAAAGTAGTATATTATAATAAATTTGAGCATAACTAGAACACGTTTACGGTATAATCTTACGTTTTTTTTTAAAATGCTATTTCTTTAATAAACAACGCGAGATTAAACGCTGACAGTAGTTTTAATTACGCCCACGTCTCGCTACAACCGAAGAACAATTCTCTGAATCTGTGAACACGAAACAATTTTGATAATATTGCGCACCTGCAGGAGACGTCCTGTAAGTCTGGCCTTTGTGGCGGGTCGTGCCGCGCCCTCGGCTGGTGCCAGGCCCCGGCGCGCGCATACCATTTCACGAACGACTCTAGGATCTCGACAACACAGGGGCTGGCCGGCAGTCTAGACAGCCGACCGCGTTTCACCACTATGTGGAAATCGAACGTGAGCCGATCCCTAACCAAAATAACATTCATAATTTATTTCACATAAATAGTACCATAAAATCGGGGGAATCGGGACACTTTGAAGTCGTCGTGACCTAAAGGATAAGACGTCCGGTGCATTCGTTTATAGCGATGCACCGGTGTTCGAATCCCGCAGGCGGGTACCAATTTTTCTAATGAAATACGTACTCAACAAATGTTCACGATTGACATCCACGGTGAAGGAATAACATCGTGTAATAAAAATCAAACCCGCAAAATTATAATTTGCGTAATTACTGGTGGTAGGACCTCTTGTGAGTCCACACGGGTAGGCACCGCCACCCTGCTTATTTCTACCGTGAGGCAGTAATGCGTTTCGGTTTGAAGGGTGGGGCAGCCGTTGTAACTAACTATACTGAGACCTTAGAACTTATATCTCATTTGCGCATATGGCGCATTTACGTTGTAGATGTCTATGGGCTCCAGTAACCACTTAACACCACGACGGCTGTGAGCTCGTCCACCCATCTAAACAATAAAAATAAAACTTTTTTAGTTCGACATTGATTTTTATCGTTTTTTTTTTTTTTTTTGTACTTATAGTAATAAAACGGAGATTATAATGTTTCCGGTAGTTTAAATTTTCATTTATAATGCATTAAGATATAGTTTATTAAAGATTAATAATAAAAAGTTACAAAAACTCAATCATGGTATGGGGACAATTATGTTTTTCGATAGGGCTGGCACTATTTTGTTGTTGGTACTACCTGATTTTAGGTAATTAACATTTTAACATCTTTAATGAGTTACAAAACATTGATGACTGAATTAAACTATTTAATATTCTTAGTAATTTTCAGGTCAATAAAGTTAAATCTCTAACAACCCGACAAAAGTAATGTGACATCCCAGATTTGTCCCTATTCTACCTCTAGTCCCTATTCCCCCCAATCTACTATAGGTATTTTAGTAGTAGCTAACTTTGTTCTTTCAGTCTTTCGCATCTTACGGTTCATACATAACAAATTATAATGAACGTATAATATACTTTATACTAACTAGGTACTAACCACTACGGTATACCAATATTTGTTTAAAATATGCAAGGATAGTCTGAGACTGTCTTAGCGGCTAATATTCGTTGAAATAGTTAATTTAATTAAAGTAGAAGTAGTGGACTTCATAATAATGCAAATCAAATGAAGTTAAGATTGCAAATAATTTATTTATAAATTGATTGAAAAAATGTTATTGATAAATCGTTTTATTAATTTCAAAACGCATTAACTTATTATTGACAGACGGACTAACAGACGGTTTGGTACTAAGCGGTTATCAATGCAACTTGAATATCGATCGCCCACTTCGAGACTTGGGGTCGTAGTGTTAGAATAACTGCCTTATTTAATACACCGTCCATATGAACGTATAGGAATAATAAAAATTTAAATAATAAAGCAAATCGATATGCGAATTTAATCAATGTAGTCGAAGGGAATTAAATATACATATCCTTATTGTATCAAGGTGGGTAGCGGCATTTACGTTGTAGATGTCTATGGGCTCCGGTAGCCACTTAACACCAGATAGGCCGAGAGCTCGTCCACCCATCTAAGCAATAAAAAAAGGTTTTAGTTAAGAAAATCCTAGTTACAATTTAAAGTCCTTACCTGATAGGGAATGGTAACGTGATGTGAGCTCTCCCGACTGGAGGGTTATTGTTAGGCGGCGGAGAACGAGGCTGAGAGTTGGCAGCGGAAGCAGATGATGAATCCGTGTCGGCCGTTTCGACTTCTGAATAAACCGTATCCAAGAAAATAGATATCAAAATTCAAGAGCACTTTATCGTAAAGCATAAACCTCTAAAAGTCCTGTAAAAAAAAACCTGTGCGTGCATATTCCAACATTTATAAATATTGAAACATTCTCTAGATCAAATATAATATTTGCTAGCCACTGTGACGACAACTGTTCCAACTTTGAAATCCAAGAAAACTAGATGTAAAAATTCAAGAGTACGTTATCATAAACTATAAATCTGTAAAAGTCTGTTGAAAAAGCTTGTGCGCGTACCTACATCTATTTTCATAAATATTTAAACATTATCTACATCAAATATAATATCTGCGAGCCACTGTGACGACTGTTTCAATTTCTAATCATAAAGTATAAATCTGTTTAAAAAATCTGTGTTGCATCTATTTTAATAAAAAATTAATAATAATATCATTTCTGCAAGCCTTCGATCATTGTTCAACGAAGCTACAACCAATTAAATTACGAAAATCCGATAGAGTTGCAACAGACAGTCTTTCTCCCCATAGCCGTTTTCCAATCAAATAATAGGTATACATATGTTGAGGTAGCAGACTCTCCGGAACGCTAATAACGATCGCTTCCCCCTAGGTGTGCTATAGATTATGGTTATATTTACCGTCTGGCTGGGTACTTGTCGAAGAGCCGTCGTCGCTAAAGCCATGACGGGTGCGCTTGGCGGGCCCCGCCCCGGCGGCGCTTGTACTACCACCCTTCTTTCGTTCCCGACGGTACAAGTAAGCCCCTCTAACAAAAAAAACCCCAATGTTAGGTATCGGAAATACTGCGATGCAATTCTATAATGGTTTTTCACAAACTAATAAAATCAAAGGTTTTTCTTTACAATTACGCTTTTTTTTTTGTTTGGAATATTCACTTTGCAAATCAGGATGCACAATGCGGATTTAATTTTTTTTTATTGTTTTTTAATAAACAATAAATCCTAGATACAAATAAATTATACTTTTCATTACACACGCCATCATGTATTCGAATTATACGCTTAATATATGTCTAGGTACCTAGGTCTATAGGTATGTACTACGTGGCTAGGTTTCATGCGCAATAGCTAACGGGGATGTTTGCGTTGCCTAGGGCGTGGCTGTTGCAGACAATGAACTGCAGAAATTTTATACAATGTTCAAATGTTATGTATCGAAAATCGATTTTTTGTTGTTAAAACATAGATTTACATGAAATCGAGAAATAAGAGTTGTTATAGGCCTAATTCTGATCGGAAAATATTTAATTAATTTTAAAAGGAATTTTAGTAGTTAAGACCTAAAATGCATAAGAATACAGTAAATTGTCTATAACGACTTATTAAACTTATTCATATTAAAGATTCATTGAAGTGTTACTAGCGACCCGCCCTCGCTTCGCTTCGGAAACTGTAATTTATTATTGATTTCTCCACTATTTAATGGATGGTATTATACACATAAACCTTCATCTTCAATCACTCTATCTATTAAAAAAAACCGCATCAAAATCCGTTGCGTAGTTTTAAAGATTTAAGCATACATAGGGATATAGGGACAGAGAAAGCAACTTTGTTTTATACTATGTAGTGATGAATACTTACAACTGAAGCTGTGATTTTTCAGCTAAATCACGTTGCAGCTGTCGATTTTCCTCTGTATCTTTGAGAACGAAGTCTTCACTGACGCAGCGATCCCACGAAGAGTTCCATCCTTGGAAATGGATTAGATACTCAACAGTTCTACGCCCTCGTTTGTCTTTGCTCTCTACGACTTCAAGAACCTGTTTATTTATTAATATAATTAAATAGTATTTTACTTAGACACACTATAAATTCTTTGTTCAATACATTTTAACGGAAATTTCACTATTTTATTAATTTTTTTTCAATATGTTTTTTTACTGGTGGTAGGACCGCTTGTGAGTCCGCGCGGGTAGGTACCACCACCCGGTCTATTTCTGCCATGAAGCAGTAATGCGTTTCGGTTTGAAGGGTGGGGCAGCCGTTGTAAGTATACTTGAGACCTTAGAACTTATATCTCAAGGTGGGTGGCGCATTTACGTTTTAGATGTCTATGGGCTCCAGTATCTACTTAACACCAGGTGGGCTGTGAGCTCGTCCACTCATCTTAGCAACAAAAAAAAAACAGACATAATATAAATTCTTTGTTTGATACATTCTAATGGAAATTTTACTTTTTTATTATAATATGTTTTCAATATTATATTTGGATATCAATATTTTCAGTTTCAATAAATATCATTATATTCATTAAAATGTTGATATGATTTGACTACACATGAGCTGTTGCACTTCCAATGTGCGAGATAGGGTGTGGTCACGGTTTGCTTTGTTCATGCAAATTCTTGAAATGAATATAAAGAAATCATTTCCTATTATATTTTTGCTCCAATTATAATGAGCAGATAGGTTTAGGTAGGATTTTGTTGTATTTTATAGAAAATTAAGATTGACGTTTGTAAAAAAAAAGCTCTATAATAGAAAATATTAAAGTTTTATAATTTTTCATTCCGTTTCTTTGTGATAAGCAAGTTTAAGTGGTTTTTGAAAAAGTTACTAAATAATGTAGAGCATGTATCATTATATAGTAATATATTAATTTATTTAAGATTATACATCTCAAGTCTGGTCTGGGTGTGGCTATCAATAAAATAATATATTTTATGCAACTTGCTTTGCTTTTTAAAGCAATATTTGATTGGAATATTTTTTAAGTAACATGATGCCAAAAGCAAATGCATTATTTGGATTATGTTCTCATCAAAATTTTTAAAGCTAGCACTCTTATTTTTTTTTCCATATTATATATATTTCTATTATTTGAATTGTAATTATATAACATTAATTATATACAAAGAAAGTTTTGGGTGTGGTCAACTTTTAAATGTTCTTTAGTAAAACAGATTCTGATTTTCACAAGTAAATGAAAGGATTTTTTATATTTTTAAATTAAGGTTCTGTCTTAAGGTTTTTATTCATATATTTAAAACATATATTTATATATATATATATATTGGTAGATTCTCCGTTTTTTGTTTAAAAATAAATATTATTTAAAAAAAGAAGTATTTTACCTTGGAATCATAAAGCACCTTGGCTTTAGTAGGGTCTGGCTCGTAGCACAGGACTCGTTCCCCCTCAGTGAATTTATATCGTAGCCCCCGTGTAGAGACCATTGTTAACTGATGCCTTGCCCAAAACCGATGGGAACTTAATAAAATCACTCCATTTAACAAATGCGATGGTTAAATTTGTAAAATTTTAGTTAAAAACACAAATAAAAACAATGATCTGTAATAACCTAGCGATATTAACTGGTTGCGGACGTCCGAATGACTCCAGGTCGTGGTGTGCAATAGTAAAATCAGCGGTACAGTACTATTATTTTAGGTAGCGCGACACGCCCTGGACACGCCTTATATTTCTGAAAATAATTATTGTTTGGGCGTCGGCTGCTGCAGATATTTGTTTTGTTTGGTTTCTCTCAGCTGTCAGGATCTGTCAACGTCAAGTTAAAGCATTTAAACCTAAATAGTTCTTATCGTAAAAGCATAAAGCTTACATTTCAAAATGACATGTTGATCGATTTCATTCTTGTTTCTCTATTTGATATTTGGAGAGGCAAAAAATCTTAGATCATAATGCTTCAATGTAACTCTAAAACTCTATGGTTGAATGTACAAGATTATAGAGGTCAGCTAAATGTTTTCGGTCAGTTTCTGGGGATTTTAGAAGCTTTGGTTGGGACTAGGCAGTGGGTCTCCCGATTAAGCTGTTAAGAAAACTGTTGATCGCAAAATAGTGTTACTTCAATAACGTTATTTTGTGGGGAGAATAACTAGTGAGAAATGTCGAATGGATTTTACCTTTAACAAGAATACTCCATCAGTATTAAAATTGTAATTTGAAATACTAGTGGCGGCGACAAAATCCATCTAGGTAGAACGATTTCAACCTATTTGGAGGAAATTGAAAAACACTATTATCTTCAATCGTACCTATCTACCTTAAAATATGTTATAATTAAGAGCCTGCGTTTTGTGATGCCTATCCTCAAGTTTTTTTGACCAGTCGTTAACTATTGAATCCGTTCGGCCATGGAATGTACTTCCTTTGTCGATCAAGACTGGCCCAGTATTAAAATTCTGTAAAGGGATGTTGAGAAAACATTACCTTCATCATTAGTTACCACAAAAAACGCTATAAGAATAATGCTGTATTTTTATAATATTCTTCTTATTTATTACTTCTTGTCATAAAATAGTTCTTATTACTTACATACTTTATAGTACATATTTATAACTGTACCTATGTCTTTTTATTTATTTATTAATTCATAAAATGCTGTATTTTAATTAATATTTTTCTATCTCATTCAGTCAATTACTTAAGCGTTTTAAATCGTTACATCGCAAGCTATCATTATTTCTTCTATGATTTTGTTTATCTTACGGTTGCCTGGAAGATTAATAGCGATAATGCGCCCGTTGTATTTTCATGTTATGATATTTCTAAAATTTTGTTTTTATTGTTTTTACAAGAAAGCATAGTTTAATCTAAAACTCCGATAATTCGCTACGAAAAAAAAACGTTATTCTCTTTTTTAATAAAATATTCTTTTATTATTTATATTCGGAGTCCATAAAAATCAAAGCGCACAGTTTGACACATGTGCTTGTGCATTTTCATTTATTGTAAATGCTTAATTTATTGTAAATGCTCCTGTTTCAAAGGTAAAATGACGCATGACATGATTGCTTTGCAGCAGGATGGTTGTACTTATTCGTGCGGGGAGAAAAGGAAAATATCTTTTCTTATTCGACTACTATTTTTGGTAAATAGATCTTTAGAATTTTTTAACAACGGAGGGAAGATTTTCCACCGAGCGGATAATGCTGCCCCGTAGACCGACGGTTCGAATGTTGTTATTCGGAACTTGTATATATGCAAGCTTATCTTCAAAATGTAAGCGAGAATCAGGCATATGTCAAATATCTTGCGTTGTCTGATGGCTACCCGGCACAGATCTTTTCCTATGAAGGTGCCGTTTAGTATAGGTACAAAAAGCTGGTAATTTTTTATCTATATTTTTTATTTCTATCAATCAAAATATGCACTCATGGTATCGATGCATCTCTGCCAGCGTAGTGGTAATTTTCCAATACCATTGTTAAAGAACGTAGGGCTACGGGAGCCAACAAATTCTTCAAAGGCATTTTGTCAAAGGCGTCTCGGATAATTTTTTTTAACCAAGAAGCTGTGCGAACTTTTGAAAAAGTAAAAGTCTGTCGTCGCTAGGTTTGGTGGGTACCGTGAATGAAGCAAAACTTCCAACCCTAGCTGTTTTAGTTTAGGGACCGTCTTTTGTGCCGTACGAGGTCAAACGTTTTCGTGTAGGAGCAGCGGGAACGTGCGATTAAACAACGCTGGCCGGAGATTAGCGAGCTTCTCCATCCTTGTGTCCAGTTCTTCCCAGTACACATTCACAGTTATGCTGGTACCACTTGGTAAGAAGCTGTGATTAATCAATCATACCGACACTAGACCACCAACCGCTGACCATGACTTTTTAGAGGTATCTTTTAGTTGGGGCTATTTCTCGGTTTATCATTATCTTCTTTTTTATAATCATTTTTTAATTTTTCAATCAATCATCAATATTGTTTTGATGTTGATGCGTGAGTGTCGTTAGCTTTCACTATCACCTTTAATTAGTCCATGTTAATGGCCACGGATTTAATTTTTTAAATGAAAATTGTATCCATATTAATGAAAAAGAAACAAATATAGTGAAAACAAAACACTAATCAGTAAACGAATGACTGAGCTTGAAAATATAATTCGATACTTTTAAAATAAAATGCATTTGAATTTAGAATTTTTGCCTAGCCATACATACATTACATTTCAAAATGTTGTAAAGCTGCAAGTTCATAGTTGAAGACCTATTATTATTATCTAGTAGGAAATACTAAAAATAATAATAAGTGATTTGATAAATGAAAAGAGAATCTATTTGAAAATAATTTAATTTGCCTAATAAAATAAACTAATAATACAATTAAATTGTATAATTAGATTTTTAGTTTTTGGCACGTTTTAGTGGTGGTAGATGGGAGCGGAATAGGTGAAGGGGGCAGGGTATTTAGCGATAGGGGATGAGTAGGCGACAGGGGCGGAGTGCACGATAGGAGCAGAGTGTACGACCGGGGATGCGGCATAAGTAACTGGGGCAGCAATCTTGGCGACTGGTGCAGCATATGCTACTTTAGCGGCGTGGCCGAGGGGTTCTCTGTGCACGACAGCGTTGAAGCCGTTGTGGGGATCGGCGGTGTATTCAACGGTGCGCTTGGTGCCATCGGGGTCAACCACGGAGTAGGAGCCTTGAACGACATCGCCGTCGCGGGTCTCGTGTTGACTCTTCGAGTCACCAGTGACGCCATCTTGTACGTCGTATGCGAAACTGTATTGAGGGTGTGCATCGTATTCTTCGACAGCGACTTTAGCAATGGGGGCGGAGTACGACACTGGTGCTGCGTGCAATGCGGGTGCTGCGTAACCGTATTGCGCTACTGGAACCACACCGGCGCTGGCAACAGCTACCAGGCAAGCCAATACTACGAACTGTAAACAAATAACATATCAAAATATAATATTACAATACAATTAGGCAAATTGTAATGTTCGGATAAATCTACGAAACATTAAAATGTTAAACGGAAATACACTCTAATTTTAAATGGAACATTTGAAAATGTTAATGCTTCTAATCTTTATATTTATTGATAATTCGATACTGAACTTCTTTTAAATGGAACGATTTTAATAATTTTTGTGCGCACTGAATGCGTTCCTGGATACTGACAATTGAATTTGCAAAGATTTAGAATTGGGCTTGGTAGATGGCGCTACGACCATATTCCCGGATTTTTTTACTGGGCAGAACAACGTCTATCAGTTCTGCTAGTATATTATTTAAATCTATACAATCAATTTAAGGGTAAGAAAGGTAAGAGAACTAAAAGAAAATACACACACACCATAATTACACCTAATTTTTGGTATGTACAAAATAAATTAAATTGCTTCTAATGTATGTATGTAATTTATAAAATAAATTTAGTAATGAATTAATTTAACGATAGTGTTAATATTATACCTTGAATGCCATTGTACTGTGAGTGACTTGATCGTGGATCTCGAATGATATTTTACGAAGATTGCCCGTAGCTTTTATACTACCAGCGGGGGCGCACCCTTTCACTATTTGGCTGCGACGATAGGCGACCATGAGCTTTAGCCCCGAGGGGCTGATAGGTGAGTTCCTAGAAAAAAAGCAGTAAACATGAATTTTGTCATGGTCCTAGAGTTTTCTTGGTCTCGTGTAAAAAATAGTGGTGGTGTAAAATAAATATTCACTTAAGGTAGGGCGCATAGACAGCCGATCAGGTAGCTGTCACCAATTTGCCTGTTTCTGTCGTGAGGAAATCATCAGTTCCTTCACGTCAGTTCCTCCGCTGCAAGGGTGGAAAATGCTACAAAATGATACAACTGAGATTTAGATTTAATGTCTCAAGTTGGGTGTCGGCATTCATGTTCTAATATCTATGGCCTATCTTATAACCATCTGAAACAAGTGTGCTGTGAGCTTGTTCACCGACCTTTTTTTTTTTTTTGCACTCTTACACCCGACGTCCGATCTCCGTCCGGGGTCAGAACCTGGACAGAGTAGGGGGGTTCCCGCGGTCAACACTACAACCAGACACGCGGCGCCACCCCGAGGACGCCCGACCGACGGGTCGTCGAGGCGATAGTCGACAACCAACGACATCGGTCTCCGCGGTACGGCGGCCCTACCAGGCCGCCCGGGCGGTGCCGCTGGTGTTCCGGGATACCCCGCTGGGCCAGAACCAGCCTGCCAGGTCGGAACGCGATACACCGCCGACCGGGTTGCTCTTCAACAGTATGTTCGGCGACGACAGCGACGACGAAAATGCGGACCACATCGCAGTCCGCAGCCGCCGACGCGCCGTCCCGTCCTCCTGGTGCCAGCGCGCTAGAGTGACGGTAGCGTGCGGCACAGCCTCAACCCCCTTAGGTCGCCCCGTGACCATCACCGGGAGGAGACTGCCTCCTCATAGGGGCTGGAGCTGGACAAACGCCCTCCTCCGACCCCCGGCTCGACGGCGGCGGCACGGCGCCGAGAGGGAAGAAGAGCTCTCCCTCTCCCGTTCCGCCGCCTCCTTCTGCGAGATGGTGGACTCGCAGAAGTCGAGCATCGCCTGCCAGGACTCGTCGCTGCCGAGCATCGTAGCCACGACGGTCGGAAGCGACAAGTCCGGTCCTATTTTTGGGAGATACGCAGGGACGCCGTGAGACTGCAGCGCCCCCGCGATCACCGACCAGGGCAGGGTGTTGTGTGAACGCATTGGCGATGTCCAGGGACACCGCCAGTGCAACCCCGCCCCGGCTGACAGCCTCATCAGAGAGGGCGCGCACGCGCATCACCGCGTCAACTGGTCGAGCGGCCCTCCCTGAATCCGAACTGCTCCGCTGACAGATCAGGACCCACTCCCGTCAGGTGCTGGACGATGCGGGCGGCCACCACCTCGCTCGAGCAGTTTTCCCGCTTCGTCCAGCAACACGATGGGACGATACCCCGCAGGTGAGTCCGCAGGGCGTCCCTCCTTCCTTAGCAGAACAAGTCTGCCCGTCTTCCACTGCTTTGGAAACCGCCCCGACTCGAGGCAGG